CTCCCTCCCCCCACCGACCAGCACACGCCCGCCCCGGGGTCCAGGGACCGGAATCGGACCGCGCCCGTCGGATCATTGGCGACGTTGGTGATAAACGTCGGCGGCGGGGCTTAGCGCTGCCAGCAATTACCCGGCGACGGTTGAGGGGGAGGGGCGAAGCGGCCCATGGCGCCATCGGGTACCATCAGCGCTGTGGGCGCAACCGATCGCCGCGCTCGTTGCGCTGATGGCGCCGCGCCGGCGCCGGTAGTAGGGAGACGACACCACAAACCCCGTCGGCTATTGTTAGAAAACCAAAAAAGCTTAGTAGCGGGTTGCCAACCACGGTCCAGGGTTTCTTACCGATTTCTGTCCACAGGGCTCACAACCTTGGTACTTCACGGTTGCTTTTCTGCGGTTTAGAGTTTGTCATCCCCCATCCGAGCCCCGTGTCGCTGGGCGCCCAGCGCTGGCGGCTAACGGCGCCGACAGCGCTGGCAAGAAAGGTGGAATTCGTCAGTGTAGTAGTAGTAGTAGGTGGCGCCGTTTCACTTGGGCGCGATGGGCGCTTTGGGCGCTTTGGGCGACGCGCCCCCCCGTGTCGCCGCCGGTGCGAATGGCGCTGCTGTCGCCACCCGCTCCCTGAGACACCCGCTCCGTTCTGGGACAAAATCATGCCTGCCGCGATCAAGGAGAGAGAAAAAAAAAAAAAATCACCAAAAAATATCATTCACACCTCTTGGCCAGCCTAGCGACGCGCCCGCCGACACCGCCCCCAGCGCCAGCGCCGCCGGGCGCTCTGCGCTCTGCGCTCTGCTTTGGGAGGCCAGCGCCACAAAGCGCTCGTACTCTGCTGTGGCCTCTGTTTACCCTAATCCGCCCTCCCAGTGGCTCCTAAACCTCGTATCGGCGGAGCGCTCGCAAAACGTCACCGTCGGTTTCGGAGGGGCACCCGGCGCCCCTTCCAGCAGGGCACAAACATTCCTTGCATGGTGCTGATGCTGGCAGGGTTTTAGCCGCCGCGATTACGTCACCAGGTGTCGGACAAAACAATCGGCAACACAATGGCGTGGGCACGCGGGTAAAACGCTGGCAACACAGCACTCGAAGCCAGCAGCAAATCACCACCTAACACTCTGAAACACACAGTGTAACAACCACATTTTTGGCATTAATTATCCTCTAATTTAATTGGTGTATGGCGTGGTTGTTAGTAGTCTGTGGTAACCCCTCGGGAGCCCCGCCCCATGTGGTTTTTCCTGGTGCTGAAAGCAGGTACCTGAGGTTATGCACCCACGCGCTCTGCAGGCAGCCACCCACATCCACACTCTGCACCCTCTGCGAAGGGGGGGGGTGGCCTGCCCCAGCGCCACCAGACGCCTATATAAACCCCCACCACTCCCGCCGCCCTCATCTACTAATATACCGATATTTTCATGTTGCTCTCGACGTTGGTGACGGCGGCGTTGGCCGTGGCGGCCCCGGCGACGAAGTTCGTCAAACGGTTTGACTCGTGGGACTACGAGCACGATAAGCTCCAGGGGGTCAATTTAGGCGGGTGGTTTGTGTTGGAGCCCTATATTAATCCGCTGTTGTTTAAGGCGTGCCCGGGGGCGGTGGACGAGTACACTTTGACTCAGGCGTTGGGTAAAAAGAACGCCCAGATCGAATTGGAAAACCACTGGGACACCTGGTACACCAAGCAGGATTTCCAGGATATTAAGGACGCTGGTTTGAATATGGTGCGTATCCCCATCGGCTACTGGGCGTACAAGTTGCTTGACGACGACCCTTATGTTCAAGGGCAAATTAAGTACTTGGACCGCGCCCTCCAGTGGTGCCGCGAGCTCGATTTGAAGGTGTGGATCGACTTGCACGGGGCTCCCGGGTCGCAGAACGGGTTCGACAACTCCGGTAAGCGCGATCTGTACGATTTCCAAAAGGGGCTGAACGTCGATACTACCCTCTGGGTGTTGCAGCAAATCTTCTGGAAGTACGGCCACGGCACCTACTACGATACCGTGATCGGTATCGAGTTGTTGAACGAGCCGTTGGGCCCGATTTTGAACTTGGACAACTTGAAGACGTTCTACACCGCCGGTTACAAGAACTTGAGACTGACGGGTCTGGCGACCCCCGTGGTGTTCCACGACGCCTTCTTCCAAGATAAGGGGTTCTGGGACCTGTTTTTGACCGTCGACCAAGGCTACTGGTCCGTTGTGCTTGATCACCACCACTACCAGGTGTTCTCTCCTAAAGAATTGGGGCGCAACCAACAAGAACACATCGACGTTGCCTGCCAGTGGGGCGCCAACGACTCTGTTGGTTCCCACTGGGCCGTATGTGGTGAGTGGCTGGCAGCTTTGACTGACTGCGCCCCCTGGCTTAACGGTGTCGGCAGAGGTGCCCGCTGGCTGGGCGACTACGACAACTCGCCCAAGTACGGGCTGTGCGACGAGTACCTCAATTTGGACACCTGGTCCGACGACTACAAGAAGCGGGTGCGCCAGTACATTGAAGCCCAGTTGGACGCCTTTGAACAAGGTAAGGGGTGGATCTTCTGGAACTGGAAGACCGAGAATGCCCCCGAGTGGGACATGAAGCAGTTGGTCGACGCAGGGATCTTCCCCCAGCCGTTGTCCGACCGCCAGTACCCCGGCCAGTGCTCCAAGCATTAAGTTCGATAGAAGGTGATGAGTTAATTTTTCAAAAAAGAGGGAGTTATTAAAATGATCCCTGGAGGAGTCTACGTTACGTGATTCTCTCTCTATTTTATACAGCATATACACAGTTAATGATACATCGGATAGACAAATAATCTCAATTTTTAACATCCTAACCTTGATAGATCTTAACCTTGATTGAAGATTTGACATCTTAATCTTGATAGAAGTGTCTAATCCATTCTGATCGGTCTTAGTCAAAACGAACAATTTAGTCTGGTCTTAGAGAATTTCCTTTAGTCAAATCTTAGACGGGTAATTTTTCCGGAATGCTAACATTCCCTGGAAAAATGTTTAGTTTAATTTTAATTCCCTGCGGTGTTTACAAATGAAATTATCCGTGTGCCCTGGGCATTTACACGATGCTAGATTGCGCGTGTGTGCAGGGTTCTTATGCGCCAGCCCGCGTCGCTGGTCGAGACCACCCCAGAAAGCCTAAATATAGCGGCATTACCAGCAACACCACGCTACCACTAATAGGATACAAATGTGGCAGAATAAAGGGAAATCTTAGTAAAGCTTTGTCAATCAACTAACGCTAAGTAACAGCCTGGTTTAAATGCTCTAATTATTTCTCTGGAATGATCTCAGAGCTTAATTTGGCAGAATCGAAATTATTGAGACACAGCCTCGCGCAGCAACCGCTGCTTTATGAATATATTATCGTATACGTGATGTTGATATTTATCTGAAACGGCATTCAGTGGACCAAGCCCTTCTTGGCGTCGGCTACCGTCGTCGCCAACGCCGCCACGAGCACGTCGCTGGCCCGGTAAAAGTCCGCGGCCTCGGTGTACACCTGGCACGAAAACCGCGCCCACAACTTGCCGTTATGAGCGATCCACGGCACGAACTGGCGGCGGTCAAGCATGATCTCGCCGCTGTAGTTGGACCAGGCGTCGAAGTTATCGGCAAACTGCTGGTAGGGGGCGTCGAAGCGGTCCAAGGGGATTTCGACGGTGACCATGGCGATCTTGGGGTCGTTGTGAAGGTACTGAGTGCCCCACTTAGCGGCTAGGCGCTCACCGACTTCGGTGGCAAGGTCGCCACAGTATTTGTGGATGGCGGCTTCGCCGCCCACTTGCTCTCTAAAGGCAATGGCGGCGGGGATCAGCGCTATCTGGGCATAGTTGTTGGTCCCGGTGAAGAAGAAATGGTTAATAAGCCAGTCGTCGTCGTCGGTAGCGTCTGCGGGCTCGACGTACGAGTGGGAGATCGGCAACGTCTCGACCTGGTGCCAGTGGCTGCGGTCGATATAGAGCATGCCACACCCGCGAGGGACCCCGAGCCACTTGTGGAGACTGCTGACAAAGAAATCGGGGCGTGTCTCGCTAAGATTGAGGGGTAAGAGACCGACACTGTGGGCGGCATCGATGAGCGAGAGCACCAGGTGCTGGCGACAGAGCTCCACCAACCGCGGAAAGGGGACGGTGACTCCTGGCATCAGCAGCACCGCGTCAAACATGGCCAATTTGGGGCGGTGTTCGGTGAATGCCGCGGCAAACTGGGCCACTACTTCGTCGTCACTAATCGGGTAATTTAACTCCACCACCACCGGTTCCACGCCAACGGTATTCCTAAGGAACGCTACCGTCTTGGCACAGGCGCCGTACGACGTCAGCGCAATCAACACTTTATCGCCGGCTCTAAACTTAAGGCTTCGGAGCACGGTATTGACCCCGGTGGTGGTATTATTCACTAATGCAAGCCACCGGTAGTCGCAGTGGACTAAATCTGCAAGCAGCTTAAGTGCAGCAACGTAGTCGTCCCGGAGCTGGATGCGGCAGTAGCGGTCGGGGTAGGCGGCGTCGGCTTTTACGTGGGTGAAATAGGCGTCGTATACGGGGTCGGGCGTCGCCCCGTACAGCCCGTGGTTGACGGGGTTGATGTTTTCGTCGAGCGAGGCGTAGTAGGCCTTGCGGAACTCGTGGCCAAAGGGCACGGGGCGTCTCATTTTAATTGGTGGGACAATGGGAGTAAAGGGTCTCCCCCCTTTGTGGAGAATGCTGTCTATATAAAGCAGTGCGTACGGCAGCCCTGGACTGTGTGCAGGACGTGATACATATCACTGCAACCCCGATCGGAGAGCCGCACCCCCGCGTGGATCAAACGGGTAGTGCAAACGAAAGGTAGAACTGTAAATGAGGGGTGGAAGCCGCTTTTGCTATAGTTTTTTGTGATAGTATTTGCTTCAGTTTTGGCAAAACAATGTTGTTGGATGCTAACGGTGAGTCATTGACGCTAACAATGACTCAACAGAAAGTAATATGCAGTGCTAGCGATCCAAAAGGATTTATGTGAATGTAATAACTCTTCTCCCCATTCTTTCTTGTACTTTGCCTCATATCAGTATGGGGATTTCCACTGTAGCGATACCAGCCTAGCATTCCAACTAGCACGATCATCAGTGATGACTCGAAAGAGGCATTAGTGAAGCAAGGCTTCTCTAATCCTTCATTCTTATCCAACACTAACGGCATTGATTCCTTGAGTCCAACATCATAAGTTTACGTCTCGAAAACAATAATGCCATTGAGGCGTTCTTAATGCCTTTGCGTTAAAGTCAAACAATGGCCAATCGCAGCTGTCTCAGACGGAAATACACACACAACGTAAACTGCAAAAACACACGAGGTCGGAAGGAACTTGCCCATAAGACATCAAGACTTTGTAATTTTGTGGGTTTTCCTTTGGAAAATTGTGGAGATTCCTGATGCTGGCGTTAAAAGCCATAGATTCACAAACTGGGGTGTGAATGATACACACTTTCAGGAAGTAGATTCAATGGAAAACTGCAATGCATTTCACGACCAATGAAGATCAGTCATCGGTCCAGCAATGGCAATTGTTTTTCCATTGTGTATTGCGTCTGGTGTCCCCTCAAAAACAACCCAATTAAATGCTTACGCATAACAAATTAAGTAGCATCAGTCGTTTCCAATGAAAATTGAATGGATCATTCCATTATAGCTTCCCATTGATGTGTGATGGAAAGGTCAACCTCTATCGATGGACACGTCTGTAGCGATTTTCACGAAGCGCGTCTCACAACAACAAACATTGTCCTGTTGACGAGCCCCACATTCATCGTGGCTACAACAAACATTACATTGTTCGAAAGATAAAGAGGATGGAGTCATGATTGTCAACTTACACAATTGTCTTTGACTATGGACGTTTTGAAAGGAGTTACGGAAGAAGGTCGGCAACCGTGTCGACAAAGCTTGCTTCTTAATTGTGATGAGAGTTTTGGCTTTTGAGGATTTATAAGAGACTCCAAGACACCACGGTTTTAATTGGATAAGCAAATGACCCAGTTTGAAGCTTTACTGACTGATACCGACGAGACTGACTCTCAAAACGAAACGCCGAACCCATGTTCCTGCAACAACGAACAGAAAACTAACAGAGGGGCACCGGATATTGATGCTGCGATCACGCTGGTGGATGATGCAAAGAATAATGCAGTTTCAGATTGCAAAAAGGCAAAGGGTACAGGACTTCGGACAATCATCGTTCCACTCAAGTACGTTGACAGAGGATGGCTCGACCGATTTCCTGGATTTCCTCAGACAAATGACGTAACGGCCTGAGCGTCGGCTGCAAAATCCGTAGCCCAGAATTGGGCTGCGAAAAACGTAACCCAGAATTGGGATGAAAACTTGACTACTGGTACCCAGGATACGACGGTCCCTTCAGAACATAATGTACAATAAAAATGTGTGTTAAGGATTTTGATTGGCTTTGTTTTCCTGTCGAAGAAACATATTTGCTGTTTCAGTTGCCTGTTAAACTGTTCGTAAAGGCGTAGTCCTTGGCGAGCCATTTGGTCAACATGTCGAAGGCGTGGGCGGGTTGGTCCGACGGTACCATGTGGCCAGCGTCAAATACTCTTACAAACAGGAAGTGGGCATAGTTGGTGGCAAGCCCCGCCGCTTCGCCGTCAGCAGTGATCCACTGGTGAGGTTTGGCTTCGGCAAACTCGCGACCGTACTTCCACTCAAGCACTTTCGTCCACGCCTCGTTACCCAACCAATTGCAAATCCAGTCCTTATCGCCAGCATAGATGAGTACGGGGATATCTCTGTCAAGTAGATCAGCCACATACTCGTGGAACGGGCGTACATGGTCAGCCGTAGTCGAAAACGTTTCCGAGACGCTGTGATTACACAGCACAAACCCGTCGACGGCGGCCCCTACTTGGCGAATCACTTCAGGTTTCCTTAAGAACTCCACCACTCGATTGCTGAGCTCATCACAGTCGACTTCATCACATTTTAACCGCATATCGTAGGGACTACGGTGAGTATCTTTATAAGCAGAGCGCATAAGATCCTCACACAACAGGTCGGCAAACTGACACACGCTGACGTTATTTGAGGCGTAGCAGTCCTCTATGGCCTTGACACATTTGGGAGTATCCATTGTCATCTGTTCACACGCAGTGGCATTTACCACAGCAGCCACACCGCCTAAACCACACACCATCGGCTGGAAATAGGGCCATTGCACTAACGGGTTGGTGTTGCCGTTACCGATAATCACCGATGTCAAATTGAATGATCTCTCTGAGTGGTTAAGCACTTCCTGGGCGAAAGTAGGGAGATAGTGGCCACCATATGATTCGCCGGCTAAGTGGAACTCTCTGCCCTGAAACTGAGGGAACCGCTTAAAGAAGAGTTCAAGAAACACGTAGACATCGTTAGCAGCAGCATAGGTCAGATTGTGGTAGGCTAAGGGGTCGTCAGTATACGAATACCCTACACCCACTGGTTGGTCCAAAAACACCACCAGGGCATTATTATTCCACGAGTAAGGGTTAAACTCAGGCTCAATGTTAGCATTGATCAACGACGGACCTAACTCTCGAAACAAACCCGTGGTCAGCGAACACCCTGGTCCCCCGTTAAGCCAAAGAATTACGGGGTCAGTAGCCGGGTCGTTGCGCGACTCAAAGAACCAGTAAAAGAAGTGTTTCTGCAGCAGTTTCACGTCTAAGTAGCCGGTATAGTAGTTGACATCATCAAACTTGTAATCGGACTCGGATAGTTGTGGCTGGAACACTCTGAGCGTGTAATTAGGGTGTTCCTGTATTTCTGAGATATCGTATGTGGGACCCGTATCCACGTCAAAACCATCGTCAAATACCGAAATCGATGCTGTAACTGTAGCTATCGTAGCTAGCCACCCAATGCTAGTCCACCTCATCTCCACAAGGTTCCGATTTGGTGTATTTCAGCGCATTAATGGTTATCTGGGGAGTGGGGGTCAGGGGACAATTGGAGTGTATATAGTGTGGAGCCGTGCAGGCAAGTGGATGCAAAAGAACGCGTCTAATTCGAAGGGTAGTGATCTAAAACATATTTAATTGAGTCTTTGGTAGGATTACTTTTTGAACTCGTTCTGACTGCCTGAAACTGATTTGAAGCATTCAGCACTGCCTACTATAGTGGGGCAATGAATCGGATCAAAATTGTCTTCAGCATAAGTCAATACAGTCTTTTGTAAAAGAGTAATGTTCTGAAATATACTGACTCGAAAACGTTGCATCCCTTTGTAGTAGGGCAATGATCTGTTTGATTGACCTTGACTACCCTTTCAGTGTTATGAAATGTATACCTTTGTATTCTATGAATCTAGGCGCGGTCGGGACAGTGGGAGAAGTCGAAGAGATTAATCCCATCCAGCCGAAACCGCCGGTAGTGGTCGGGGATGTCGTTGCTGGCCACGAACTGTTGAAATCTCACCCAATCAGTAGCAACGGGGAGGATATCCGTGATATAGGCACTATTAGGTGTCCACCATAAACACAGGCTATCGGCCACCCCCGTAGTGTCGGCGGCGTTGGCGTAGGCCAGGTCAAAGTCGAAGCTTTGGTCGTCAGGCGTCAGTGAGCGAGTCTTGCGAGCAACAAAAAACCCCTCCATAAACTTAGGGGTACGCCGTTGTCGCAGACCAATGAAGTCGTTCGTAGGCTCGCGGATATGGTTTATTGACCCAAATGTAGGTACTGACGGGTGGCGGTCACAACCGAGGGTGGTGGCTAAATGGTGGCCAATATTGAGCTCAGTATCAGTCACTGAAGGACGTAATTTAGGCTCTGGGATGACATAGATATCGACAAGCTCATTGACTTGTGGCTGGTGAGGGTACAGCGAAAGCATATTCGTATCAATGACATCGCTCGCCAGAGCAAGCTCAAGCCACTGGTGGAGACCACCCAAGTCTTCGGGGATCGGTTGAGGGGGCAGGGACCAGCCGTGCTCCACTGAGACCAATTTCCCTGGTTTCCGCTTCGAGGAAAGACACACCAGCTGGAGCGTCATCAACGCCCATCTGAGGTCAAAATGAGAGGTATGGGCGTTGTCAATGACGGCTCTAAGCACTGACGAGTCAACGTCATAACCCTCGCAGGCTCCACAGAGCCACAAGTACTGCTCCACAAGTTTAAAGTCAGTGACGAATTCCATATCAATCACGGCGTTCTCCTCACTGGCGTACTCAATCAACTGGCGAGGAATGTTATCAAGCAGTTCACAAGTAATAACAATGGGACGTCGCAGGATGTTTACCATCTCCGTCACCAGTTGCCAGAAAGTGCGGTCCTGTTCAAAGAGGATGTGTGTATCCTCTAGAAGCACGAGCCCCTGCTTAAACGAAGCAGTTTTGCCGTCTTTGCGATGTACAGTATGCGTGGTACAATACTCCTTTAAAGTAGTATTGATATCCCTTCTTCCTCTGGCCATCCCCGTATTGATCTCGTGGACGTGGCCCTTGAGTTCCCGCATCGCTGTGTACACTGCTGTTGACTTCCCCACACCCACACGGCCATGAATAATGATTATGGGAAGAAAGATATCGTCATCGTCATCCGTTAATTGTTCATTACCGGTACCGTAGTCGTCGACGACAAAGCCACCAAGCAGGGCTAGCCGCTTCTGTTCCCGACGGCGGCGCTCAATTATAAGCTCATTACGAGGCTTTCTAAGACTCAGACTTTTAAGTCTTTCGAATGCAGAACAAATGGCGGCTTTAATCGTGTGGCGAGGGTGTTCGGCCACAAGCAGTTCCTCCATGCGGTGAGGAGCGTACTTGTTCACCCAGAGCTCATCATTATCACCGTCGGTTGATTTAGCAGTGAACCGATTGATAAACCGGTTGAAAATGGCCATGAGACACGGGTGGTGGCGTATATCGGGGATGCGTTCCTGGACCAACTGGGCGAGATTAGTCTGTTTGTAAGCCGTATAATTAAACCTCGCCGGGTCCAGTTGACTCAATTGAGGGAAACTAAAGACTTCGTCATCGTCATCATCAACTAATATGGGGACTGGGTCCCGTAAAGGCAACGGTAAGGGTAAATGCGGTAGTGTCAAGTCGTCACCGATAACGTGGAGTTGGTCACGAGTTATCGGTGGTGGCAAAAGCTCAGTAAGCTTCTGCAATGCAGTTTTCTTGATGGCGCTATCGGCCAGCGACTTCATCATCAGGGCGAAGATCAGGGCCAGCAGCGACCGGGGGCCTGTTCCTTTCACCTTTAGCGGGTTAGCACTATCGGCAACTTGTTTCAAAGCAGCCGAGTTCACTTTCAACGTCACCATATGGCGTTTGCGGGGTCGCCGCATCATCAGGGCAAGTATCGACTCGCCGCCACCCCCGCCGCCGCAAATGGGGCCAGAGCCTTTAACTTTCAACGGGTTAGGCTCGGTAATCAGCATGAGTGCCTCCGGTGTTAACTTGAGAGTGATTTTATGGGTAGAAGCTTTGGATATTGCCGGTTGGGGCAGTTTTGTTTGAGTATCCAAAATCATGATATCCTCATCTGGTTCGGATAAAAGCACCACCAGCGGTCTCTTTTGAGGCTTAGTCATAAGCAAATCCCTCAGGTTAATCGTTTTGGCGTTATGGAGGACGCGTTTCTCGAGCTCGGCCACCTGGTCGTCGCGGAGAAGACTGGTGGCCATTTCCGGCTGGGATCCCCCCACGCTATCAATTTCAGTCAAATCTTCAGCACTAGTCAGCGCCTCTGATGGTATAGGAGGCGGCAGTGACAGCGCCAAGTGGCACCGGTGGCGGTAGACGTCCTCAGAGCCCACCACTGGCGATGGAGCAATGGCATCTTGTTCGGGGTTTGAGGCCATCAGCAGCTTGCTGGTACGATAGCCATTGAGCAAGCTGAACAAGCTCGGGTTTGGCGACGCCGGAAGCATGCCCACGTCGCTGTCGGCAGGGGAAGTGCTCCCTTCGGTCATCACCGTCGGGGTCGTCTACGGGACGCGTAGTGCGGCTTGGGTGCAACCATACGCGTCCCGATGGAGCAGCAGCAGCAGCAAGCAAGAGAACACCGAAGTAAACTATGATTTGATTGTTTCAAGTTCTTTGACCTGATGATTGTTGTAGTTCAATTTTTGGGATTTCGTATATTTATTAGCAATTACTCTTTTTGTTCATCTCTCTCATGTTATACCCAATTGTAATGTCTTTCATTCATCCTGGTAAATTTAGGATTGTAAATAGAAATAAAGTAGAGTGCTAAATATACCGAAATCCATCAGCAAACGCTGTTATAAGTTTAGAGTTATTTCAGTAAGTGGGGTAACTCTAATTAATGAGTGATTTCTAAACGTCACTAACACAAGGCGAGACTTATGTCTACCATCCCCCAAAAAACCTTCCATCTCTAAACAAACACAGGAGATGTATTTTGTGTTCGATCAGTTGCTAGATCATTCCAATTAGTCATTGATTATTTCCAGGTACTCGTCGAAACACCCGTGCATCAAAACCGGTCGCACTTTTTCGCGGCGGGCTACCATCGCCACTCGCCCTCTCCACCATACCACCCTCCATGTCGTCGTCGTTCCCCGTGGCCAGCGACTTGGCGGCGACCTGGACGTTTATCGAGCCGGGCTTGGAACACATCTTGGGCTCGCAGGGCGACCAGGGCGTCACGGCAAAGATGTACGTCAACTGCTACACCGCCGTCTACAACTACTGTGTCAACAAGTCCCGCAACAACGGCGCCATGTGGAATAACTCCAACCCGCAGGACTCGCTGAGCTACTCGCTTGCCGGCGCCGAGATCTATACTAAGCTCGACTCCTACCTCACCCAATTCATCAAGAACTTGCACCAATTGCCCGACGAGACGTTTCTCCAGTTTTACGTGCGGACGTGGACCCGCTACACCATTGGTGCCGGGTATATGGACAACGTGTTCAATTACATGAACCGGTACTGGGTGCAGAAGGAGCGGGCCGACGGCCGCCGCGACGTGTTTGATGTGAATACGTTGTGTTTGATTAAATGGAAACTCGAAATGTTCCACAACAACGCCGATGTTTTAGTCGACCAAGTGCTTGATTTAATCGAGAAACAACGCAATAACGAGATTGTCGAGACTAACCTCATCTCACTGGCGATTAAGCTGTTGGTGGCGTTGGGCATCGACGTTCAGGACTTGAAGAAGAACAACTTAATGGTGTACATTAAGCACTTTGAACAAAAGTTCTTGCAACTGACGGCGGACTACTACCTGAAGGAGCTGGCGCAGTACTTGGCGACCCACCTGGTGGTAGACTACATGAAGAAGTGTGAGACGCGCCTTACGGAGGAACAGCTGCGGCTGAACCAATACCTCGAGTACCACACTAAAAAATACTTGACAGAAACGTTGAACAAGGCGTTGATTGAAGACCACGCCCAGGAGATGTACAACGAGTTCTTGGCCCTCCTCGAACAGAACGAGACCGAACACATCAACCGCATGTTCAAATTGTTGCTGCGGGTGCCGCTGACGTTGGCGCCACTTGCCAACACGTTTGAGAAGTACATCAAGGACGAAGCGTTGAAGAAATTGAATGATTTGAAGGTAACTACCGAGGAAGAGTCGGCACGGGCCCGGGCGCAAGCAGCTCAGGAAGGGACTAAGCCGTCAGTTAAACCCGGTTTGGACCCTAAGGCCTACGTCAACACGTTGATTGATATCTATAATCGGTTCAACCTCGTGGTGTCCACAGCGTTCTCGAAGGACCCGCTTTTCATCAAGGCCCTCGACAACGCCTGTCGTGCATTTGTCAACAAAAACCCTATTGCCACTCCTACTCCCAAGTCCAAGTGTCGCACCCCTGAACTTCTCGCTAAGTATGCTGATGGCTTCTTGCGGGGACTGGCCAAGGAGTCGGAAACTGCCGATATGAACCCCGACGTGCTCATGGTGGTGTTCAAATTCTTAAACGATAAGGACGCGTTTGAAGAGTACTACCGGCGGATGTTGGCCAAACGGCTCATCAACGGCAACTCGAAACTGGACGAGTTGGAAGAGGCCATCATCAAGAGATTACAGGAAGAAAACCTGATTGAGTACACGCTGAGGATGACGAAGATGTTCAGCGACATGAAGGCGCTGGTGGACTTGAAGAAGGAGCTCCCGCCGCTGGTGGTGGTCAAGGAGTTCAACCCGTTAATTCTCGCCCAGCTGATGTGGCCGTTCTCCCACTCCGACGACTACTCGTTGAAGGTAGCCCCGGAATTGACCGACCTGTACAACAACGTCCAGCTGATCTACCACACCAAGCACAACGGGCGCCAGTTGCGGTGGTTGTGGAACCACGGGCGTGCCGAGCTCAAGGCCAATTTGAACCGCAAGGGCAAGCCGCCGTTCATTTTTACGGTGTCAAACGTCCAGCTCATGATCTTGTTGTCGTTCAACCACTCGCTGCTGTACACGTTCTCCGAGTTGTGGCACCGAGTTGGGTGTCTGCGGCTGATCTTTGAAGCGCACTTGTTGCCGCTTGTCAAGTACAAGGCGCTTGAACAGCTGCCGGTGGGTACGGATGCGTTCGCTGACGACAACACCACCTTTACCATCTGCGAGTACTACCTGCTGAAGAAAGTCAGAGTCAATTTTACCCTGGCGATCAAGACCACCGAAGTTAAACAGGAGGAGGACGAGGCCGACCGCGAGATCGACGAGGCGAGACAAAACCACTTGGCGCTGGTGATCGTGCGTATCATGAAGGGGCGCAAGACGGTGCCGCACAAGGAGCTTCTCAACGAGGTGATGACCCAGTGCATGCTGCGGTTCCGGGCGACAATTATCGACATCAAGAAGCTGATCGACTCGTTGATCGAGCGCGACTTTATTAAGAGAATCGACAACAACACCTACGAGTACATCTCGTGAGGATTGTCATTCTTCTTTTTCTTCTTTCATGACATAGTAATGTTTAGGGCAAAAGCCATCAAGGGAAGCCATTGGCGAGTGAAGCCACGACGAGATATATAGTAATGCAGGCAATGAGCCAAAAAAAAAAAGAACATTTAAAAAAACTAATAAAATACAAAAATAAATGAAATAATAGACGTTTTGTGAGCGGCATAGGTCAAGGCTAATAGTGTGGAACAGACCCAAGCACATGACGCTCCTAGAGTTGAAGAGTAGAGTTGACTAAGACTGGGTGCTTTGATGTTTTCAAAAATGACAACTCATGTAACTAGGAATACGAACTTGAACTAACAGTGCATTCATCTTCACCATTCATTTGGTGCTAACAACCTTCTGGCCAAAGCCATAAAAAAACAAAAAATCATAAAATAACATAAAATAACATAAAAAATCATAAAAAATCATAAAAAATCATTAAAAAACAACATAAACTGGACACATTGAATCATAGAAAAGCTTTTAGAAATTGAGAGTACAAGTTGGACTAAACAAATCAGAGTAGTGCTAGCAACTAATTGTAAATGTTGGAGGATAGAGAGGTATGTTAGAGACTGCTATAGTCGAGGCATTAGTGGTTCCGGTTGGTGAGTGGGGAAAAACGCCGAGGCTCGGAGAGGGGTACAAAAGAGGGGAAAGCGCGGATAGATTCCCCAGATATATAAACAAACCCCCCCAAGTAGTGTCAAGAAAATGATGATTGATAAAACTCATGGCTAACCGAAAGTTCAATCTCGACAATAACTCCGTTGATCACTCAAATCGATCACTCAAGTTGATAACTTGAGTTGAGGGTGATGGCTACCAGCGATTCCATGCTGTGATAATTTGGAAGAGGTTCGCGACTATTCGTGCCGGAAAGGAGACCATTGAGCCTACCGACGCCGGGAGTGTCGACTCCACGTTTGCCGCTAAGGGGACCCGCCAAGTCCGGGGTAGCCGAGTTTTTTTGCGGGAGTGCGGATTTCGTCCGGGGAATTCCGCACGTTCCGCGGAAGCTGAGCCTCCCCCAAACTTTTTTGAGGCGGCGGCGTGCCGAGTTTTACCCCAGGCTTTTTTTTTTTTTTTCTGGTCTTTTTTTAATTTTTTTGTGTTTTTTTTTTTGGAGTGCCCCAGTTTTTTCTGGGGAAAAAGCGGCAGCTAAACTCCGAAGACGTACGTCGTCAGCTATGGGCGGGCTATCATTGGCTGATAACACCTCACTCAGGACAAGTCGCGCGATAACCACGCCCCGAGCGCCTCCGTGCCTGTCAAATCAAGGAGGCGTGGCAGGTGGGGCTGGATTTGGGTAATACCCCAGGATCCCATACAGGGGTAGATCAGTTAGTCTGAATTTAGTGTGACACCTCAGGGGGGGTTGTTAACGATGTTAACTTGAAACACCAACACCGTTTTGAAGATTTACCGACCAAATGACTAATCGGGCTAGCGGCATACCCCAGGCTTGTCGTCATTTGTATCGACGCCCAACCAGTGACGATTGGCCGGTGCCGGGGTAGCGATTATGCACTCGGCACGATGATGTAGCTGAGGGCGGCGCCGGCGGCGGTGCGGGCCAATGAGCGTGAGGGAAAACGTGAGAACTGTGGGAGTGGGTGTTTATTGTTGGCACCTCCACCCGTAGCTCCGGGGCGGTCGTGCTGAAACGCTGTGGGGTCGCCATGATCGACTTTAGTAAGGAGACCACTAGGTTGAAACAGGGGTTGTTAACGACACCCGGTACGGCTGAGGGTCGCGTTTTGTTGGGTACCGCATCGCGATATCCATTCAATAATCGTGACGGCGTGTTACTAGTGTTTTAGGTTGGGTATCAGGTGTTAATTTGATACGAGTTGACTCTGGCGTCGGAGTTCGGGCACGAGCCCTGGCGCTGACCTCCGAGAATACTCCGATGGGGCAGGGCGGCCGGCGGATTTGCCCCTAACCCTCGCTCTCGCGCCCACTATGCACGTCGTAAACGCTGCTGCCTCCCACCCAACAGGGGACGTATAAAAACGGCGCCGGCTGCCCGCCTCCTGCTCCCGGTTTCTGGTACACGTTCTGAAACACCCATCCTCAAACACACGACGAAACATGACGATCCACCAAGTCGTCCACGAGGCCAACGGCTGTGCCATGAGACACACCCCCGATGAGTTTTTCCAAAGACAGCCCAACAAGGGCCACTTGCTGCTGTTGGACGAGTACCGGGAAATGTACACCCAGTCGATCACTGACCCCACCGGCTTTTTCGGCCCCTTGGCCCAGGAATTGGTCCTGTGGGATAAACCTTTCCACACCGTCAAATCGGGTTCTCTTAAAGATGGCGATTGCGCTTGGTTTTTGGGCGGTGAATTGAACGCCACTTACAACTGTGTCGACCGCCACGCGTTGGCGCACCCGGACAAATTGGCCGTCATTTACGAGGCTGACGACGAGGCCGACTCGTTCTCTTTGACGTACAAACAGTTATTGCAAGAAGTGCTGAGAGTGGCTGGTGTGCTTGACTCATGGGGCGTTAAAAAGGGCGATACCGTGGCTATCTACATGCCGATGAACGCCCACGCCATCGTGGCTATGCTTGCGGTAGCGAGAATTGGCGCTATCCACTCGGTGATTTTCGCTGGTTTCTCTGCTGGTTCGATTAAGGACCGGGTCAACGACGCCCAATGTAAGGCGATCATCACTTGCGATGAAGGTAAAAGAGGCGGCCGTACCGTAAACATCAAGAAGATCTGCGACGAAGCTCTTACTGAGTGTCCTCTGGTGGAAAAAGTCTTGGTTTACCAACGTACCGGCTCTGAAGGCATCGCCATGGCTGAAGGTAGAGACTTCTGGTGGCACGAAGTCGCCCCGCAATTCTCGGGCTACTTCCCCCCCGTCCCCGTCAACGCCGAACACCCGCTTTTCCTCCTCTATACCTCGGGTTCCACCGGTACCCCCAAGGGGGTCGTCCACGCCACCGGTGGCTACTTGTTGGGGGCGGCTTTGACCACCAAGTACATCTTCGACATCCACCCCGACGACGTGTTGTTCACCGCTGGTGACGTTGGTTGGATAACCGGCCACACCTACGCCCTCTACGGGCCCTTGATGTTGGGTGTGCCCACCGTGGTGTTTGAAGGTACCCCCGCCTACCCTGACTACGGCCGTTTGTGGCAAATCGTCGAAAAGCACAAGGCCACCCACTTCTACATCGCCCCCACCGCCCTCCGGCTCTTGCGTAAGGCCGGCGAGGACGAGATCGCCAAGTACGACTTGCTGTCGTTGCGTACTTTGGGTTCCGTCGGTGAACCGATCTCCCCCGATATCTGGGAATGGTACCACGAAAAAGTCGGTAAAGGCCAATGCCACATCTCCGACACCTACTGGCAGACGGAGCTGGGGTCGCACTTCATCGCCCCCATCGCCGGGATCACCCCGAATAAGCCTGGTTCGGCGTCGTTGCCGTTCTTCGGCATCGACACCTGCCTCATCGACCCCGTTTCGGGCGTTGAGATCCAAGGCAACGACGTTGAGGGTGTGCTTGCCGTGAAGCAGCCGTGGCCGCTGATGGCGCGCTCGGTGTGGCACAACCACACCAAGTACATGGACACCTACTTCAACCCGTACCCGGGGTACTACTTCACCGGTGACGGCGCTGCCCGTGACCACGACGGCTACTACTGGATCCGCGGCAGGGTCGACGACGTCGTCAACGTGTCGGGCCACCGGTTGCTGACGGCAGAAATCGAGGCGCTGTTGGTCGAACACAGCCTGGTGGCGGAAGCCGCGGTGGTGGGGATCGCCGACGACTTGACTGGTCAAGCCGTGGTGGCGTACGTCCAGTTGAAGGACACCCCTGAAGCCGCCGCCATCAAGGGCAAGGAAGCTCTGGACGAGGCGTTGGCGTTGCGCAAGGGGATGGTGTTGCAAGTGCGGTCGACCATCGGCCCCTTCGCCGCCCCCAAGCTGGTGATCATCGTTCCTGACTTGCCCAAGACGAGACTGGGCAAGATCATGAGACGCGTGTTGAGAAAGGTGTCGCTGAACGAAGCCGACCAGTTGGGCGACATGTCGACGTTGGCGAACCCTGAGTCGGTCGAACAAGTCATCCTGGCGTTCTCCACCCAGTTCGGCCAGAAGTAATCTCACTACATAACTTAACGATAAATGATAGGACAAATACATTCAGAAAACGGAGTAAAGAGAATGATAGTCGCAAAAGATACTTTGGCAATTAAAGCTTCTTCGAAAAGACAGAATAAGTGAGTTGTGGTACCTTTCTCATGATCCACAAAATCCAAGTACCCTTAATTTCTTTTTGTTATTTTTTGTCTTCCAAGATTTACGGTGCTAATTGACGTGATATTTGAATCGTAAATATAGCGAAATTGGTGTTAAACTTGTCTTAAAGCTTCTTACCAGTGTTATAGAGATTGTTTGAAAGCCCGAGTATCCTCTTGCAGGTGTGAGACATCTTTGTAGGCAAGTTTTCTACCTCGGTATTCAATCAATATTACTACATCGCTTTTGTTGATGGTACTCCAATGGAATATACACAATAGTGGTAACAGTATTGAGTTGAGTATAATGCTTGACCTCTCACAGCTCAATCAAAACCATCCTGTATATAACATCCCGCGCCAGTCGTCAACTCCTGCATACAAGGTACTCGCCGCTCGTCTAAAATCTTTTCAAATTTTTTTTTCAAGTTTTTTTTTTGGAATTTTTTTACGTCGGAAATCAACTTCTGATTACTATTTTACATATCTTCAGACCGTGAGAAACATAGATTTAGATTCAAAACTCACTCAACTTGTCTTACCCATGCTGAATGCTTGCCTTGACAAGTACTTCTCCGTATGCAGGATCCATCAAAGAACCCACATGAAAGCCTGTCAGAATACTCAGTAAATCGAACGTCAGCCTGCCCAGATATTTATTTACGGTACTTCTGATGCCAAAGAATTTTATGGTGCTAGTTACAAGTCTGTACCAATTTTCCCTGATTTTATATCACACTTTGAAGTTTTTCTTTACGAAATTCGGAAAAATACCATTTGCTGTTGTAAATTCTATTTGCACCGTATATTTTATGTTGGTGTATTTCAATTCTTTCTATAGCGTCATATACGTAATGAAAACCCCAATTGAAGATTCGTGGTCCATATGCACATGCAATGCTTGTGTGCAAAACCTTCAACTTGGAAGCACGATATCTGTGTCAGCATTGGTGGTGGTACCGACTTTGACGCGTAAAACCTAATCTACATGCTCAAATACTACAATAACTTTGACCAAATTGAGCTAGAAGCTCTGTAAGTACATGTTTAAACTCACCTTGTCGTGTCTTGCATCTCCCTTCATGCACCTGCATATAGGAATTGAACATAGACGGGGTGTTACACCTCTCTCGTCACTGCTACGAACATCATGAGTCAAGTTCAATGCTCACCAAATGTAATAGACTACGTTTCAACCTCAGAAGAGTGCAAAGAAAAATTTTGCAAGAAAAAAATAGTTTTTTTTTCCACCTGTAAACTCACATAGAGACGCCAGTTCCGATGTCAACTCTCCCAAAATCACCTCGACTTCACTTCCGATGCCAAAGAATTTTATGGAGCTATCGGTTTGATTTTAGCGATTTTTCCTGATTTTATAGCACACTTTTCAGTTTTTCCATGAGAAATTCAGAAAAATCTCATTTGCCGTCATAAATACTATTACGAGTATAAATATTACGGCGGTGTTGTTTGTTTTCTCCTAGGGTGATTTATAAGCGGTGTAAACACTTTGTCAGTTGACTTACGACATGCAGCCGTAATCCCTATGTGCAGGCATGGAATTTTGCAATCGCGATAGGTGTGCCAACAGTTGCGCGCTACCCACAAGGAGACTGGTCAAGCCAAACAGACGTACATGGAGACTACAGCACTGAGCTGAACGAGTTCATCACTCTGGTCGAGCTCAAAGGGACGTGTTTAACATCTGTCGCAATTGCTCTTGCATATAAACGCCCTACTTAAACGATGTGTTGCACTTCTAGTTTGCTACAACTATATCGCAGGGCATTTTCAATGTCCTCTAAACACAATAGACCACTCCAGGGTATTGGACTGATATATGAATTAGTGGAATCTTCTTCTCGCCTTTCATTCATGTCCCAATTCCATACATAGAGTATAATGTCTCCTAAGCGCAATGGCTATCTGTGAGTGCAAGACGTGATTGAGGCCACGAACGTAGTCGATGTAACTCGCTTTCAGTCAATGACAATCTGTGACTAGTTAAGCGGGGATCAGCTTGTAATCTGTTGTGTGAACCTTTCTTCTGGTCAAAAATATCAGGTATCTAGCGTGTAATTATCAATAATGCCCGGTTTAGAGTGGTAAACTTCTACGAGCATGGTGTAATGACTAAATTGGGTCCATTTATCAATACAGCGAAGCACAACAGTTCCCAGTACGGTAAATACCCACAACACCGCCAAAAATAGCTGTCAATTTCACTAAAGTATCGTAACCGCGACCTCAGCCGTTTAACTCATTCGAGTTAATGTATAACACGCTGCGGCTGCACGCCGATGCCTGGGGCTGTGTTATCAAAAGCCTGTGGCCTCCTCAACCCCAATTGCCAAACCGCATTAGTGTGGATCCATCAACCTTAGTCGTGTTTGTGGACGGCGAGGGCGGCTGGGGGCAGCTCGTGTCAATTGACACCGTATTTGTGAAGTGTTGATCCTAAAACAAAACATGTACCCAAATTAGGTAGGCTACGCGATCACGTGACTTGCGCGCGCGAAAAAAGGTTTAGCGACAGCTAGTACCAACACTACTACCACACCACCCACCATGGCGACAGCGGCGACGGCGTTTTTGGCGGTGAAAGCGGTGCAATTGGCCGTGGTTTACTTTACTCCGTCACAATTCGATACCCTGTCCCAAATAATTGTGGACACTTACACTCAAGCCCGCAGCCAGCTCCTAAACGAATGGCATCTCCCCAACGCCGCCGCCTCCATCCTCGATAAACTCATCGCCTGGGACGCCGTCTACTTCAACCATTTGTACGTCGATGACATTGATTTCGAGCACGAGTACGTGTTCTGTCCCCTCTGGTGGCGCCTTATCAAATGGATCCCTTTGGGCCAGGGCAATTACTATAAGAAAGCGTTAGTGCTGATTATAGTGCTGAACCTCTGCCACTGGGCTTCGATAGTGATGGCAATTGAGCTCACTAAGGTCTACTTCCCCGCCTCAGTGCTTGCTAAGCGTCCCCTGCTTCCTCAGACGGTCGGTAAGCTCTACGCCATACTACCGGCGGGGATCTTCTTAACGGTGGGGTACCTGGAAAACTTGGCCAATTTGCTTTCGTTGACGATGCTCTGGCTTCATCAGACCAGTATCGGTCCTGACTATCGCACCAAGGCCAAATTGGCGATTATTTCGCCGTTGAAGTATTTGTTATCAGGCGTGGTGCTTGCCGTTGCTGTGGGTGTACGCGCCAATATGATCCTCGCCGGGGTTTTCTACCTCTTTGACCTCTACCAGCTTGGTTATCTTAGCCGTCAGTTGAAGACGATTGCCCTAATCATCGTTACTGGAGCCATCCCTCTCCTTTCAATGATTGGGCTTAATGCCGTCGCCTACGCCGCCTTTTGTCCCCAACGCGGGGCCTGGTGCCAGTGGCCGGTGCCGCTGTTGTTTCAGTACGCTCAATCCCACTACTGGAACGTCGGGTTCTTGAAATACTGGACGCCTAACAATATTCCCAATTTCGCGTTTGCCGCCCCCACCGTCGCCATCCACGCCCTCGCCATTAAAGAGTTTGTATCGAAGTTACCAGTAATGCCTCGGTTTGTCTCTTTAATTGCATTCACGGCGATGACGGTGGCGGGAGCAGTGTTTTTCTGGAACACTCAAATCATCACCCGAATGGTGTGGGTAACTCCCCTAGCCGTGTGGTATTTGGCTTTACAACTCACTAGCCCGGAAACTACCACCCCGCTGCGTTGGACGCGAATCTATATTGGCTACGCTCTCGTGTGGATCCCATTACAACTGGCTCTTTTCGCTGCTTTCCTCCCGCCAGCCTAATACGAAATTTTGCCGAGGTCGTAAATTGTGAGCCCTGTGTTTGTGCGCGGCGCCGGCTATCGCCCCTGGCTGTCATATGCATGAAATCCATCTGTGGTGCCTGCGCCTCAAAGATCGCATTTTAGGGTTCCACGGTGTCCATCTGCCCAATCGAGGGCGGCTAGGTTTACGTTTCGCCCCCAATGAGACCGTCGCCGGCCGCATTAGTCGCTCCGTCGTGCCTGTCACCGCCCCACCCCCAACGGCTACAATTGCCTTATAACCACTCCCAAAGTCGCTGTTTACCGGTCTATTAGCCATGAAAGTGACGTCGTGGCTTACCTTAGCCAGCTGGGTAGCCGCAGCGCCGATGGCGCCGGCAAAGCGCAGCGGCAAGGTGCTCTCTTTACCGGTATCCGTCAACCGCGCCGACGCCAATCTCGTCACCGTCCTGGCCAACCACGCCGCCGGCGACCCTGCCAGTGTTGCTGACGCCGATGCTGCCAACGCCGTGGTCTCAGATCTCGCCGATATCGGCACTTTGAGGCTCTACCTGGTGCGGCTTGCCATGGGGTCTAAAGGTGAGGAATTTGACTGCTACCTCGACACGGGGCTGAGCGACATGTGGGTGAAAGAAGTGGTGTACAACCTGAATGAGCTGCTGCTGGCCGTCGACTTGGGCGAGCCGTTCCAGATCCGCTACGTCGACGGGCTGGGGGCCGAGGGCGACTACGTCACCGATACCGTGGTGTTCAACGGCGTCAGCGTGCCCAAATTCCAGTTTGCCAACGTCCACACAATCACCAACGAAAAGAACTCAATCAATGCGTTGATGGGCGTGGGTAAGAAGGAGCTTGAGCGCACGCCAAACAAGTACAATAACTTCCCCTGGCACCTACGCAATCTGGGGATCATTAATCGAGCTGCCTACGCCTTCTACGCCCACCTGGGTATCCCCGATAGCGGTACCATCTTATTTGGAGGCATTGATACTGCTAAATTTGATGGTGATCTAGTGGTGGTGAAACTGGACGACCCCAAGATCTTCACGGTAAACCTTGAGGCAATCACCTTTGCCGGTAAACGGAGAACAGTGAATCTGCCGGTGCTCTTTGATACCGGTAACACTTACTCCTACGCCGATAACGACACTGTCGATGCCCTTGCCGCTTCGTTTGCCGGTAGTGAGCGCGTGTCCGATAAGTACTACTACGTCGACTGCCAGCAGACTGGAGACGTTGGGTTTACGTTTAACGGCGTCACCATTAGTCTCCCGAAATCTCAATTGGTGCGGAAATTGAATACTAAGTGTGCGTTGGCGTTCGTCAGAGGACTCCAACAGGGCCACTGGGTGATTGGCGGCACTGTCCTTCCTGGGTTCTATACAGTGTTTGACTTAGAGGAGCTGACGATCTCGCTCGCCAAGGCCAAGTACACTCAGGCGTCCAATGTTGAGGAAATGACGCCATTCCAGGGGAATCCACAGCCGTCATCTACGCCGGAACCGCTGCCCCAACCACTGCCTCAACCTCTGCCTCAGCCACTGCCTCAACCTCTGCCTCAGCCACTGCCTCAACCTCAGCCACTGCCTCAACCTCAACCGCTGCCTCAGCCGCTGCCTCCACCAATCCCCAATACTAATGATCCCTTCACTATAGACGCTGACGGTACCGTCACCTTTGCCGACGGCTCCAAGGGTAAAAAGAACCCCGACGGGTCCATCAGCACCGACGACGGCTACACCATCAACACTGATACCTCCGTCACCTTCCCCGATGGCTCCGTCCACCACCCTGATGGCTCGATCACCGGGCCTAACCAACCTCCTCCGTCCCCTCCGCCTTCCCCTCCTCCTCATCAAGGCGGTTCCCAGCCCCCTCCCAACCAGGGAGGCTCAGGGGGTGGAAGTGGTAGTGTGCAGACAATCACCGAAGAACAGGTTGGCCAGTCTCAACAGGGGAGCACGTTGCCGTGGCCATTTTCATACATGCAAGACTCGTGGGAGCGAGTGAAGAGTGGCTACATCAACTGGCGCGACCAGGCGTTCGGCGGCAACAGTATCTTGGGGATTTTGTAACCCCCAAAAGACGATAACTTATCTTTATACATCAATTGGTACCGTTCACATTAATACCATAAAGTACGATAACGTCCAAGTATCTGTAAAGTTTCCACTCCATTGAATATCTGAAATCTCAAAGCCAAGAGACCTCCTGCCGTCATAATAATCATTGTCGTCGTCATGGAGTGGTTGGCTATCAGATTCGCCCGTTGGTAGTCGTGTGATCTACATCGTGTTAGTTTCGATCATAAATGGCTTGAGACACCACATTTCCAAGTGTTCATTTCTAGTTACGTTTTGTTACAAAAATTTGGTTGTTTAAAGCTTCAGTTTCAACTTCAACGGGGTCATTCTCAAGTACGGTTTAACCACGCGGAACTTAGGGAAAAGCGTCTTTGCTTCTTCGTTGGTCACTGACGGGTGGACAATGACGTCATCGCCTCTCTCCCAGTTGATGGGGGTGGTCACCCGGTGCTTATCGCCTAATTGCAACGAGTCCAACACCCGGAGCACCTCGGCGGTGTTTCTCCCGGTCGACGCCGGGTAGGACATAATCAATCTGATCGTTTTCAGCGGGTCAATAATAAACACCGATCTGATAGTAAGCTGGACCCCCTTGTCGTCCAAATTAGTGGCGTCCTGGTAGTCAATCATATCGTACAAGTGGGCGATCTTTCTCTCGGGGTCGGCGATAATCGGGAACCCCACCTGGCCCCCGGTGACATCCTTAATGTCCACCGCCCACGCCCGGTGGTTTTCGGCTGACGACGCGGAAAGTCCGAGAAGCTTGGTGTTGCGCTTGGCAAACTCCGGCTCCAACTTGGCAAACGCTCCGAGCTCAGTGGTACACACAGGCGTGAAATCATCGGGGTGGGAGAACAAAATCGCCCACGAGTCGCCGATGTAGTCGTGGAACTTGATGGGGCCGGTGGAGGTGTCGGCTTCGAAATCAGGGGCAGTGGAGCCTAATCTGAGGGTGGGGGCAGCAGGGGACATGGGTTCAATATTGGTTAAGTTTGAGTCATTTTGCAATTGCTGGATTTTTCGCTAGAATGATTCGATTTGCCATATGGCAACATGTCACGTGATATTTGACACCCTGCAGCCACTAACGGGACGACATCACCGATGGAACGTTACCTTCGGAGTTGCCAAGCGATTAGCGACTATCGTAGAACTGTCGATTACCAACATCGTGAGTTATCACCACGGACTTCGTGAAATCGATTCCGTTAGAGAGATGTATTTGACATATTCGAGATGCGCTGGCTACGTCAACGTCGCTTTAGGGATTCGCATGGCATCTACTTCCAATGCCTGAGTAAGGTTCTATCTAGGTGCTAATTGTGGAATAGATTATTCTCGTTGTGTGGTAAGATATCTCTTTAGTTCTTTTATTCTCTCTCATCAATAGTTTAGGGCTTCAAGATGTTGACCCATGTAGCTGCACAGCTGTCAAACCCCGTAAATCAGCCAGAGATCGGACTTTGATGATTATACTAAACGTGCGGCATGAAGATCCCAGGCACATTTGGATGTGGATTGATTCCCACAGAACAACGGTGAGCAGACTGCAAACGGATAGCTGGTTTGGAGCCCTCATAACTATGATGCTGCTCCTTCGTTCGAGGGTGATATGTCAATTTGGCTAGCAAAGGCACTTTTTGGAAGTCTCTCTAAGTACAGTGGTAGAATTAGCATCCTTTACCAATTGTAGTGATCCTTCTCCAATGTTCACGCTGCCTTCATTGCGCTCCAGTCTGCCTATACACACTTTGCTATTGACTGAAATGAAGACGAGAAGACCCAATGTAAATGCAGTCTAGCTATGTATTTGCAGAAGCTACAAAGGTTTAGAGTTTCTTTAAATGTTTTGGAATTATCTACCAGAGTCGAACTTGATATTTGGGAAATATATATCAAATTGCTAAAATATACCAAGACCATACAAAAAAGTGGGATATACACACAGTGCAGAAAGATGACGTCATCACTACGGTTCGATTCCCGACTTCACGAAATATAATTATATCGACTCAGGGAAGGTCGACTACTAGATTAGCCATAACGACAGCTGATCATTGGCTGGTGGCCACTTACAATCGATTCTCTTTTTTCTTATATTCTCATACTATAATACACTAATTTACAAATCTGCTTAAACCAGTTAAGACCTAAGATCTTTCGCCTCTCAATCTTCTCGCCAATTGGATGTCCTTCTTTTGGATGGTGACTCTCTTGGCGTGGATGGCGCACAAGTTGGTGTCTTCAAACAACGACACCAAGTAGGCTTCGACGGATTCTTGCAAGGCACCGATGGCCGACGATTGGAATCTCAAGTCGGTCTTGAAGTCCTGGGCGATTTCTCTGACCAATCTTTGGAAAGGCAACTTTCTGATCAAAAGCTCGGTCGACTTTTGGAATCTTCTGATTTCTCTCAAGGCGACGGTACCGGGCTTGTATCTGTGGGGCTTCTTGACACCACCGGTGGCGGGGGCCGACTTTCTCGCGGCCTTCGACGCCAATTGCTTTCTGGGGGCCTTACCACCAGTAGACTTTCTTGCGGTTTGCTTAGTTCTAGCCATTGTGAATGTGTTTGGTTAGTGGCCTGCTCATCTGGGGGCGTTGGCTATTATATACCCGATCTGCCCCCGACTCCTAGACGATCGCTTCCTGCACGCGCCGCGACTGCAAAAGCTGCGAAATTGACAAGGGGATGCTGAGAAACCACCGTTTGTGCGCGCGCGCGAGAAAAGTAGCACCGATCGCGTGCTAGAAACTACGGGTGTAGACCTGGGTCTGGGGCTGGGGTTTCGACGCGCGCGACTACTGGCGGCGGCATTACCCCCGTGCATCGACGCCGATCCCACCCACTCACATATATAGTGCTGCCGTCGCCCCGTTCTGGTTATCATACAACTACATTTTATTCAAACATGTCTGGCAGAGGTAAAGGCGGTAAAGGTCTCGGCAAGGGTGGCGCTAAGCGTCACAGAAAGATCTTGAGAGACAACATTCAAGGGATCACCAAGCCCGCCATCAGAAGATTGGCCAGAAGAGGTGGTGTCAAGCGTATCTCGGCCTTGATCTACGAAGAAGTGAGAATCGTGCTTAAGCAGTTCTTGGAAAACGTCATCCGGGATGCCGTTACTTACACCGAACACGCTAAGAGAAAGACCGTGACTTCGTTGGACGTCGTCTACGCCTTGAAGAGATCGGGCAGAACCTTGTACGGTTTCGGTGGTTAAACTTCGAACGAAGCTTTATGTGTATTATATATGGTAATGATAACGGGTTTATTGGGAATTGATTGTAGACTTCTGTTTTCAGCAGTGGTGGTCCTTTTTTTTGCAGTCGGTGGCTATCTTTTTTCGCACCGCGTGGGACCTGCACCGAGGCCCTGCCATTTGTGGCGGGGAACTGCTTTCGGGGTCGCGCCGCTACCGCCTTTTCCCTTAGTGAGGGTTCCCACGCTCACACGGGCTAACATTTCGCTGCCTCGCAAATGGGTCACGTTGCTCGCACTTTCCCTAGGCCCAAAATAACACTAAGGGTGGCGACTGCCCCCCCTTTTTTCCCTCGCCATTCTCGAATTTCTCCTTAGTTGCTCACCACATTAATTAACACCATATGTCTGGCAGAGGTAAAGGCGGCAAAGGGCTCGGCAAGGGCGGGGCCAAAAGACACAGAAAGATCTTGAGAGATAACATCCAGGGGATTACCAAGCCCGCCATCCGGAGACTCGCCCGCAGAGGCGGGGTGAAGCGGATCTCGGCGTTGATTTATGAAGAAGTGAGAATCGTGCTTAAACAGTTCTTGGAGAATGTGATTCGTGACGCCGTCACTTACACTGAGCACGCCAAGAGAAAGACGGTGACGTCGTTGGACGTGGTGTATGCGTTGAAGAGATCGGGGAGAACCTTGTACGGGTTTGGTGGTTAGTGTGGCTCTGGTCGCACCCAAGCGTATGTTAAGTATATGAATGAATAATGTAAATGAAATATGAATAAGATGAATGGATGGTTATTGTAAACAAACGATGTGTAGTGTCATTGATTAGTGTCTACGGTGAGTGCTTGTCGACACTGGGAAAACCCCTCTGATTAGTGAGACATTTAGCTCAAGATAAGGCCACAAATCCTTACCCAACAAAAGTAGTGAATTTAGATGTTTAAGTTGGGTATATGAACGTTTATAAGTTTGTATAAATTGTATATGAATGTAGTGGTATATGTCGTGGTCGTAAGTGTAAAAATGCAAAGGGAGTAATTTTAGGAAGTAGTGGCAAATTGAGCATCGATAGCTTTATAATCAGCTTCGGTCAACACGTCAAAGTCGCCGGCCAAAGCTCTGGCAAGCAATTTGGGGTCGACGTCTTTGATAATGACATGACAATGAGAAATCGCCCGCACCAGCTGTAAAGCCGCCCAGTTGCGGAACCACACCAACTGCGAGTCCGGGAAAAGCTTACGCACAAACGTATCGATCACCGCTCGAGTGTAAGCGCTAATATCACCGGTGGCACTATTGGGATCGTTGGGGATCGGTACTTTGGTCCACACACAGAGGTGGGTGACGTTATCCTCAAAATAATAGGGGAACTTATTGTACATCACCTTGATGTCATCCTTCACGGTGAATAGCTTATGGTCAGGGATCTGGATGTCGGCCCACTCGAGCTCGTGGCGCACGAGATAGTCCTGGATCGTTGTCCCTTGGCGCTTTAGCTGGGCCTTAAACGCGAGGTATTCATCGGTACCGGGCGCCAGCCTGGCGAAGAGGTCAAGGTCGTTGGTGGCGACGATCTCCTGGACCTGGCTCCACGTAAACGGCTGCTGCTTCACTTTCAGGGTGCCGGGCATGAGTGGACTGTCGATGACATCGATGCCCCAGGCCTTATATACGTCGGGCAGCGGGGCACGTGCCGAAGGTTGTGAGAATGACTGGCCACACGTCGCGGTGTGGGGCAGCCCCCGCGACGGCGGCGGCGTGGCAAGACCGGTGTCGACAGTGAGCATAATTAGCGAGTGGTACTACAGAATATACAATATTTGCCGTGGTGGGGGCAGGTGGTATTTATGGCGGGTTGTCGGTTGACCTCATGCGATGTAACCGCACAACGATAAAAAAGAAAGGTAGGTTACATTGCATTTACAACGATGGCACCTTCGAGAATAAACTGTGCAGGAAAAAAAGATAGGGGACGGACTAGTGGTTCTAGCAATTGAAAGCTAGAATTTCCAGATTTCAGGCTCTCAATTCCTCTCTATGTTACATTTTCCTTGACATTGGCAGTGGCAATTACTGTTCGCACGGAGGTAAGAAATTTCGCACTACTTGCCTAGCAATTTGTTTGGTGGTCACACCCTGCCATAGCGAGCATCGCACTGCTCGCTCGCACACATTGTCGCACCCTGTCGCACGGGGCTAGCTCGGCAATCGCGCAGCCGGCGGCGGCACGTGCCCCGCGGTTTACACCCGCGCCAACCATGGACCTAGCGGGCGGGTGTATGCCATTAATCATCGTCCGCCATGGCCAGTCCCAGGGGAACCACGACAACCGGTTCTGCGGCTGGATCGACATTCCGCTAACCGACACCGGACGCCAGCAAGCGGCCAATGCCGCCGATATGATGAAACAGGCGGATTTGATCCCCGACGTCCTCTTCACGCTGAAGCTCACCAGGCTGATCGACAGCGGCGATATCATTATTCGCCGGCTCGACCGCCTCTGGGTCGACCACTACAAGTGCTGGAAGCTCAACGAACGCCACTACGGCCAGTGGCAAGGGCGCAATAAGAAAGAAGTGTGCGAGGAAGTCGGCGTGGCTAACTACGACTATGTGCGCCGTAACTACCACGGGTGTCCTCCGTTGGTGGCTGAAGGTGAAGATCCGCTGATTGACCAACGGTATCAGGGGGTTACTGACCTTCCAAGAGGAGAACTGTTGGAAATGGCAATGGGGAGAATGATCCCGTATTACCACGATAACATTGTCCCCTATTTGAAACAGAATAAGACGGTGCTTGTGGTGACCCACGGACTGATGGTACGCAGTTTCATAAAGTATTTCGCTCAAGTGAGTGACGATCACATCTCCGAGATTAACGTGGCTAATGCCGTACCGCTCGTGGTGAAATTTGCCGACGATACCTTCTCCAAAGGAGACTACTACTACCTCGACCCCGAACTCGCCCGCGAAGGCGCCGCCCGCATTCGTGATGAAGGCAAAGCCTAATGTATATAATGACCAACAAGCAAATAAACATCAAGTCAGTTAATCCTAATTAAAGCCACAACTTAATGTCTTACTAGCCAAGTCAACTAAACGTTGGACAGCTTGAAATAGATGTTTTATCATCATAAATGTCTATTCAATGGCTTTTCATCAGAAATTCAAAAATTCAAAGCCATGTCTTCCAATTGAATAATTCACACCAACTCAATTGATATCCTGAGAGTGGTTAAATTGATCTCTTACAAGTAGAACCAGTCATTTAGAGCTTATCTTCTTGGCTATATACAATCACAACTTCGCCTTGACGCCGGCGGCGGCGAGATCACTCACGATCAACACGTTATCGTGGTCTTGCAAATACAGCGACGGCACTTTCGGGTCATTTTTAGGCCCATAAACCGTCTTGGCATAAGCGTACTGTTTCCCTTCGCCCATAACAATAATCACCACCTCATCGGAATTGTCCAAGATGGTGGCGATGCCCACCGACAACGCCGCCCGCGGCACTTTCAGCTCATCGCCGCCCCAGAAACGGGCGTTGGCCTTGATGGTCAGGTCGACGAGCCCCACCCGGCGGGTTCTGGAGTCGCGGGCCAGCCCTGCTTCGTTAAACGCCAAGTGACCTTCGGGGCCTAGACCCCCCATAAACAAGTGGATACGACCGTAGCTCTTGATCTTGGCCTCGTAGCGACGACACTCGGCGTCGACATCGTCACAGAGACCGTTTAAGATGTTGATGTTCTCCCGTTTGATGTCGACATGGTTGAACAACTTGTCAAACATAAAGTAATGGTACAGCATCGGGTCCAGCGGCTTGAGGCCAAGGTACTCGTCCATGTTGAACGTGACGACATTCTGAAACGACACTCGCCCTTCCTTGTACGCTTGGACAAGGCGAGCGTACACGCCTTCGGGCAGCGACCCCGTGGGCAACCCAAGGACAAATGGCTTTTGCGGCGTCGGGGCGAACTCGGCGATTCTGGCGATGATGTGTTCGGCAAGGTACTCGCTGGCGTCGTTGGCGGTGGAGAAGATGGCCTGTCTCATGGTGGGGTGGGTAAGTTGGTGGTTTTGATGGCGTCGACTGCCTTTATAGTAGGCGGCGTCGCCATGGTTATTGTCACGTTACATTTAGATAAAATCATGATGCCACCCCCAGTGGGTGCGCGGTTATATGCAGGAGCGAGCATCGAGGCAAAAGATATAGGAGTAAACCCCGTTCATGGGCCAGAGTGAGAGAGGTTATGGCTGAGGATGGGGGTTTTCCGGACGGCACCACCCCGGACGCCACATGCACCAACGTCACCAAATTTCCAAAGGTATAAACATCATTGGAAACACCCGTGCTATTTGTTGCGGGGATGAATGTTATATGGCAATGGTTGGCGTGGCTCCGATGCAACGTCAGCCTGCAGCTCAGGGTTGCATTTTGGCTGACACTGGTTACACAGCAGGCCGAAGAGGATATAAATGCCGCCAACCCCAAGATCTCTTGGCTACCGACCATGAGTCTTACCAAGTACACCAACGGCTTCATCTGTGACGACGGCCGCCTCACTCAAGGCAGTGTGTACGTCGACAATGCCACCCAGAAGATTGTGGCTGCCCCGACCTCCGATGCCAAGGTGACGAAAGTGGTCGACCTCCACGGCGAGATTTTAGCTCCAGGCTATATCGACATTCAGAATAACGGTATCTACGGGGTCAACTTCTCCAACTTGACTTCCGACGCTTCCGACGCCGATACTCGCCGGTTCGAACGCGACTACCACCAGGCGATGAAGCAGTATTTGACCACGGGGGTCACGCTGATCTGCCCCACCGTCACGTCAAACTTCCCCAAAGTGTACCCGAAGGTGTTGCCGATGTACCACCGCAATCGGACCAGCGACGAGTGTGATTCGTTAGGTGCTCACTTGGAAGGTCCCTTTATTAACCGCGAGAAGAAAGGGTGTCATCCCGTAGAAACGTTTGTTGACGCTGCCGAAGGAAAGACTAAGCTTGAAGCGATCTACGGTGATACCATGGACCACGTGTGTATCATCACTGCCGCACCGGAGATCCCCGGGGTGATGGACTTAATCCCCACCATTAAACAGGCCGGCGTCGTCTACTCAATTGGCCACACCATGGCCGACCACGCCACTGCCACCAACGCCGTACGCAAGGGCGCTCTGATGGTTACCCACATGTATAACGCCATGCCCCAGCCGCACCACCGTAACGCCGGGGTGGTGGGGTTAATGACCACTCCCGACATCGAAACGCCTTACTATGGTCTTATCTGTGATGGGATACACGTCGACCCGCTGATGGCTCGTTTAGCCTACGCTGCTAACCCGGATAAGGTGGTTTTGGTCACTGACGCTATGCACTTAATTGGCCTAGACGACGGTGCTTACCAGTGGGACGGCCAGGTGGTGATTAAAGATGGCTACCGTCTCACATTGAAGGGTACCGATACCTTAGCAGGCTCAGCCACCACGTTACCGGCGTGTGTGCGTAATTTGAAGCAGTGGGCTAATTTGTCGTTAGCGCAAGCGGTGAAGACGTGTACCAATAATGCTGCCGACTCCATCGGCGTTAGTGATAGCAAAGGGTATCTCCGTCCCGGGTGCGATGCCGATTTCGTCGTCCTTGACCACCAAGGGTACGTGAAGCGGGTGTTTAAGCTTGGTAACGAGGTGGCGTCGCTGGATGTGCAACCTCAGGCGCAGGTGCGTGCCCACTTGTAGACGGAAAGGTGCCGGTCGCTGAATCAAATAGAGTCATGATAGAAATGCATAATATCAGAAAACACTAGCTCAATCAATTATGGAAATTACCCGAGTTGACAGTTTTAGTCAATTGTGGAAGGTATGGCTAAGTTAATGATTTATGTGTTGCAGAGCTTTTTCATACTGATTTTGGAAGGTGGTGATATGGTTATAAACTTGGATCAATTGATGGATGCGGGCCAACTGCTTATCGCTGCAAGTTTTGATGAGGCGTCGACTTGCGGCTAGTGAGGGTCGTCTAGACACGTGACCTAGAGGTGCACCATTGTCACTACATTTTGGCGTAATCTAGGAGAATCTCAAGCTGTTGAAGTACATAGTCTCATCTTCGACTTTGTAATTCCTCAATTGGAGCTACCCGGAGTCTTGCATTAATTCAACATGCGCTTTCCTTCGAGTGCATGCCAGATTAACGTAGTGAGGGGAATCTGCATATAAATATGTCGACTGTACTTCATCTAAGTATCACTTCCGTATATCTGTCTACTTTGCCCCCTTTAAGCCTAGCTCAACCTGTTTTGATCAAAGAATTGATACTACGCCGATACAATTATGACCAGAGATCGCGACAGCCCTACCAGCTCCTGTGAAGACAGACCTGAGTCTCCGTCAACCCCTGAAGAATCGGATTCCCAACCGGGTGCGAACTATAGGGGACCGACCATGCAACAACTTGAAGATATCCAAAAGCACATGATCTCAATAGAGCTGAAGATGGACTTGATTATAGAGAGATTGGACAAACTCTCGGTCAACGCTGAACCACAACAGAAACTGGATAATCTGCACGGCAGAACCCCATTCTACTATGATCCAGACGACCCTGATGAAGTGTATGTTAGCATGCACGAACATCTTCACTGGTATAAGCCACGGGGCGACAACTGGGCCGAGTGGTCATTATGGTTCAGTGCGAACAAGCTCCTTCTTAAGCGGCTCCCAGTGGGGTCAGAACCGTATAAAATCTGCTGGAAGTTATTGGTAGGCTTCATGCCGGAGAAGCTTACCCTGGGCCGACCGACATCGGGGACGATCGCCGAACAAGCGAATAGCTTAGACCGATATTTGCTAGCGTACGAAGAAAGAAAAGAGCAGTTTGAGGTCACGAGATACGAAGTCACCGAGGAAGCCTTGGAGTGGCGTAATGAAATGAAGTTAATCAAAGCCCACATCAGAGATCTCTTCTACATGTACGCTGTCCACAATAAAAAAGAGCTTGCCCGTCGATTAAAGAAATTGTTTCAAAAAGCAATTATTGTTAATTATCTAGATGTGAGCGTAATGTTGAGTCACGCTGCTGATCTGCTTACAAAACTTGGGAAAGATAACCCCTTTCTGGTATATCGGTATATCATAGCAAGGTTGGAGGAGTATGAGTCCTATGTGAGGGACGAATAAAACGAAGCGCCCGTCTCCGGAAGCGCTTATTGACTCACAGAGAATGGCAACGCTATCAGCCACAAATTATTGAAGTTTAAGAAGAAAACCGCAAACAAATCGGTAGGATTCTCAACCATTTGAAGTACTAGTGAAGGTTTTCAGAAAAATGTGCTCACCGCCTAGTCACTGGTACAACCTAGAGCTCTTCTACTTTGTTAGTTCTGTGTCTCTGCTATTACCATTGATGGATACAATTGAGAGGGGATTGAGAGGGGTATCATATCCAACTGCTAAACGTGTCTACCACTACGTATCACCACGTATCATTAAAAAGCTTACTTCATCATCAACTCAAGATTTTTTCTTGCTTAGATGACGAGCTTATCTTTCAACTCTTCTTCGGCCATCCACACTGGGTTCGGGTCGATGGGGCCAAACATCCACTTGTGCGAAGTAAGCAACTTCTGCGCCGGGCGGAACTTATCCATAAGTTCATTCGACGACAGCTTATAGTCGTTATTGACAAAATGGTCAAACATGTCCTCGTCATCAATCAACACCGCCACTTCGTCGGTGAGCAAATCTTTATCGTCGCGACCACGTTTCAAGAAAAGCCACACTCGGCGGATCCAGTAAATCTCGTCCATCGCCTTAAATAAAATAGTGAACCGGTCGTCCATTTCGGTAGCGGAGGACTTGATTTCGCGACTACCCCAGGTGATATTACCGGTAGTGTAGATGAAGTATTTCAATATGGAGCACTGAGCAGGAGCAAAGCGGCCCGTCCAGCAGTTAATGATTGTTGGGTGGAGCAGAGCACGGTTATACAGCACCCCTTTATCGGGAGTTTGAGCCACGTAGAGCAATACTCGCTGGACAAGCCTCTGGATGAGTAAATGAGGGTAGTCCTGAAATTGCGAAAGTTTGGCAACATACTTAGAAATATCTTCACGACAGGTATTGGCGAGGTCATTTAACGCACCCATACGCAGGTTCATCCATTTTTTCCCCTCGGCGAGGTCGTCATCGCTCATTTTGGCAATCAAGTTCTCCTTATCGTCGAAGCGAGACCAGTCGAATTTGGCCGGAATAGGTGAGTCGAGCTTACCACCGGCTTTAGGGTCGAGACTATATTTTTTAATAAGCTTTTCAATTTGAGTCTTTTTCGAGATTTTGACGCTCTCCTTCTCATACGAGATATCGAGCCCCATAAACTTTTTGGGACGGTAAAACTCTTTGATTTCAAAGTACCGGTTTAATTGAGTTTGAAACCAGGTGTAGCTCTCTGGGTGGAGGGTTACCACAAATAATTCGTCGCCAAATACGCCGACAATAATCGTATTAAAGATGAAATTGACATTAGCCACAAACACCGCGGGGGCGTCAGGCGAGGTCTTAAACCCGATCGCCACCATAAACTTACGCAAATGCTCATACCACCGCACATGCGACTGCTTTAAGCCTTGCATGGCTTTATTCAATTTGTAGATCGGCGTTAACCCCAGCTTAATCCGGTTATCGGCAAGTATGGGATCTTTAGGTGGTGGGTTGACATACAATTCGGTGTCGAGGTCGGCGTACATGAACGCGTGCTTCACCTCGACCTTATGAAACTGCATCTGGTAGTACACGGCGTAACTGATGATCGTGCGTAAGAGCTTCATGCTGAGGGTAGGCGCCGAAATATCGCTACCATAGGTCTCCTTGGGTTGTTTGTTACCCTCAGCAATCAAAGTCGAGAGCTTGGACCCGTCGGCGGCGGTATCGTGTTGCCATCTTAACCCCACCGTGCGTTCGAGTTTCCGCTTCCCCTCGGGAGTTTGAGGGTCCACCCATTGCGGCTTGGAGGCGTCGTATACCTTATACTTTTTGATCGCTTTCAATTCCTGGTCCATTTAATCAATGAGAGGCTGAAGGGCTGAGGGGCTGGGAGAACGGAGAAGATCAGTGCGGCTCATCTCATCGCCAGAAACCAGACAATAATCGATACCAACGAAGTGGCGCAATTGCTCTATTGAAGAGGGCAAGATTTGAACAAATATCGCAATTATCGAGAGCTATTCATCCCTCATGATTTGAGAATTGGTTGAGTGCGATGGCGTCATCCTCGGAGCATGGCTCTCGCCTCTGATAATCCAAGAAAACGATTAAGCAAACCGCTCTTAAACGCACTTAAGAATGGCACTGGTCAGTCTCGAAAGACAACCCTAACGAAATCTATTTTTTTATCTTTCTTTGCATGTTATTGGGGCGGGGCTATTTTCCTGTAGTGACGGCGTACATTATGTTTTTGTGAATGATGCTGCACACAATTGAAACATGCCGCAATTACAATANTTTTTGCAGCAGGGCTGGATTTAAAAAAAAAAAAAAAAAAACAGAGTAAAATGCACACGCGCTGATGTTTTTTCGGCCGGTACTCAGACTAAGCCGACTCCGGAGATGGTGTATTTAACAGAATACCATCGTATTCCTGCCTGGCAATCAACAATTAGAGGTCTAAGCCTATCTCCATACATAGCCATGAGGCTTATCAATTTATTTAAGGGGCTCAGTCATTTTAGGGGCTCATCTACATGGCTCATTTAAGGGTCTCTCTCCTGGCGTGTGGGCCTACCCCAGGGGTTGTTTTTGTGACATCGAATTAGGTGTCAAGATCACTATCACAGATCTCAGGGGGTTTCCAACGACTGCTTATCCTGGTAAAAGCAAGCGGCAATTTTCCTCTTGGTTACCGCAACTAATTATCTCCCTTCTCTCTCCCTTGTGATTTACTCTTGCTTTTTCAGCGCTAACTTCCGTACTAGGCATGCGGCATATTCAGGTCACATTTCTTTGTTTTCGCTTTCGGTGACGGCCTTAGTCAGCGCCACTCGTCGCGCGCCCGCGCCGCCATCACGCACGCGACGCAGGGAGCGAAAATTGGTTACCTGTCACCGAGGCGGTGTTCGCCAGCCACAAACCCACCGAGCCCTCGAACGACCTCTTCCCAGATTCTCTCCCTATCAGCCCAGGGCCACAACCATTTCTAACACTAAACTGCTACGCAACGTTCTGTCCTCTAAGCCCCGCCGTTTCACCTGGGGTTCCCCCCAGCAACCGTAGCGTTTTTTTTATGGTAAAGGCAACTGTCGCGGCCTCCGCCCCCCTTAGCGCCAGCCATTGCTGTGATGACATCACGCAGCACCTGCCAGCATCGCCATAAATATAAACGAACGAAAAACGCGACGCTAGCAGCGTTCGAGGCATTGACAGGGGACTGAACACCAGAGACACACTATGGAGGGCGACTTGCGGCACTTCCACTTTACCTTGATCCACTGGTACCTCGTACCCCTCATCGCCTGTGTCGTGTGGTGGGGGATGCTTATCGCGATGTTGGCGTGCTGGGGCGCCCAGGGCCGCCCGATCTACTCGTTCATGACGGGCCACCAGAACCCCGTGTACCTCAGTGACATCGGCGCCACCAATTTGAAGCCGCTTTTCATCGCGTGTGCTGGGTTCCAAGGGATCTTCTTTGTCGGCACCCTTTTGCTCGAGTATGTGTTGCGTAAAAAGGGAAAATTGCAGCGGTGGGTGCTGACGAAACAACCGATTTTCTCGATCATTTCCATCGTGTTTGCCGTCATTGGTGAATTAGCCATTCTTATGGTTTCCATTTTCGACACTAAAAATTTTCACGCCGCCCACATCTCGATGGTCGGTGTTTTCATTGGCGGCATTTTCTTTGCCTGTTTGTTCAATTTCTTCAACACCTTCATTTTCGGGAACGAGCCGCAAAGACTCGCCCCCGACCACGAAAAAGTGGTGTTTGGCCGCGGCCGCTGGAGCAACTTGTACATGGTGGGTTTCTGGGGTAAAATCTTGTGGTTGGCGGTGGCGATCGTGTTGGCGGCGTGTTTCGGGTACTACATGAAACACGACCAGGACTCGTTGCTGGCGCGGTTCGAGTGGGCCATCTGCTTCTGGTACGGCTTCCTCTTGATCCTCTGGTCGATCGATTTGTTCCCGCTGGCGGTCAAAAACTGGAAGCGCCGCCACGGCGTCGCCACCAACGGCTCCCGCGACACTACACCCTTATACGAAGACCCCCAGATCCGCAGTCTGGCCGACACTCTCGACGCCCCGGGCCAGGTCCACTACCGGTCTCACGACTCGGACATGACCTATACCCGTACCTGGGACCAGGAGGCGTACCCGGGCTCCCATCCTGCCGCCCAGGAAAAGTACAACAACTTTTGATGATCACGATCTGTAATATACTCTACTAGACGATTCGCTTCGATAATACACAATATCTGAAACTGTTTAAACCAGTTTGTGTTACCAGTCAGATCTGGCTTTTAGAAGTTAAAAGTCCGGGGAGCTCTCGGAATGAGCTCATAACCTAATTTTGAACTAAATTGAGGCTTATATGGCTTTGGGGCTCATATCCTTCCATTAGAGGCAATTCGAACCCCACGTCGATCAGGTTACAGCGCAGTTTTGCCCCATCTTTAATCTGATCTGAACCTTGACATGTGGGCTCTAGAAGCAACTTGCGATAGTTGTAGCAGTGGTAACAGTGGTGCAACGCTTCGTCTAATGAGAGCGCTTGAATGTAGGAGCAATTGCGAGAGATGTTAAACACGTCCCTTTGAGCTCGAGCACGAGTATAGAGAATGACGAACTCATTCAGAGCAACACCACTGTAGTCTTCATGTACGTCTGTTTGGCTTGACCAGACTCCTTGTGGGTAGCGCGCAACTGTTGGCACACCTACCGCGATTGCAAAATTCCATGCCTGCACATAGGGATTACGGCTGCATGTCGTAAGTCAACTGACAAAGTGTTTACACGGCTTATAATTCACTATAGGAAAAAACAAGCAACACCAACGTAATATTCACGATTCAAATAGTATTTAGGACGGAAATGGGATTTTTTTAAATTTCTCATGGAAAAACTGAAAAGTGTGCTATAAAATCAGGAAAAACCGCTAAAATCAAACCGATAGCTCCATAAAATTCTTTGGCATTGGAAGTGAACTTGAGGTGATTTTGGGAGAGTTGACGTCAAAACTGGCGTCTCTATGTGAGTTTACAGGTGGAAAAAAGTTTTTTTTTTTTCTCGCTAATTATTTTTTTACACTATTTTGAGTTTGCAAAGCTGTCTATAACGTGTAATAAGCATTGGAAGTGACTTGTAATGTTCGTAGCAGTAATGAGAGAAGCATAAAACCCGTCTATGTTCAATGCCTGTATGCAGGTGCATGAAAGAAGATGCACGACACAACAAGGCGAGCTGTAACACGCATCAACATAGATCCTGGCACAATTTTGTATGTGATATCGCAGTCTTTGAGAACTTACATTTAATGTGATGGGTCAAATTTGATGCCAACACAAATTCTGACACAGATATCGTGCGTCCAAGTTTAGGGTTCTGCACACAAGCCTTGCATGTGCATATGGACCACAAATCTTCAATTGGGGTTTTCATTACGTATATGTCGCTTTAGAATGATTTGAAATACACCACCATAGAGTATACGGTGCGAATAGAATTTACAACAGCAAATGTGATTTTTCTGAATTCCGTAGAGAAAAACTTCAAACTGTGGTATAAAATCAGGGAAAATTGGTACAGACTTATAACTAGCACCATAATATTCTTTGGCACCAGAAGTATCGTAGATAAATATCTGGGCAGGCTGACGTTCGATTTACTGAGTTATCTGACAAGCTTTTATGCGTTCTTAGGTGGATCCTGCATGTAGAGGAGGACTTTTCAACGCAAGCATTCACCAAAAAAAAGACAAGTTGAGTGAGTTTTGAATCTAAAACAATGTTTCACACGGTCTAAAGATATGTAAAATAGTAATCAGAAGTCGATTTCAGGAGTAAAAAAATTCCAGAAAAAAACTAAAAAAAATTTGAAATAATTTTAGACGAGCGGAAGTACCTTGTATGCAGGAGTTGACGACTGACGCGGGATGTTATATACAGGCCGTTAACCAAATGCTTGATTTTGTTGGAGCTGTGGACAAGCTAAGCAACACGCTTATTGCGATGCTTCAACCACTATAGTTTCTATTCAACTGAAATGCTATCAATGAAGCAAATGAATGCCGTTCAAGTGAACACGAGGCAGTTCTTTTCTTTGCAAACTTGTCTTGCATTTGTGAGTAGACACTAAGGCTTTCAAACTATCTTGTCACAGAGTGTAAAGAATTTTAAGAAGCTTCAGACACCAAATTCGTCCTGTTTGCAAATCGAAGTAATGCCTCTACTTTCTACATTATATTTGAAATTCTCTGATATCATAATCAAGAATACCTTCATGATAACTTATATTAAAGATATGTATGCGTCGTTAGCGGGTGTCGTGTCACAATTGGGATACCACCTTTGCCCTCGTGGTAGCCAATTCAATCGCTTGTTTGAGCTTAGGCAACGGAATGGCGCAGTCGCCAGCAATGATCGATACCCGTTTCAACCGGCCTTCGGGGTTACTAGTGACGGAGATTCTCGACGTCACCAGCGCCTCCTCCGCCTCGCCACACAAATCACAAAGAAGCACCGGTTCCTCTTTGTGAATAACCACACCAAAGTTCGCCAGCACCCCTCCGTCTTGTACGGGCAATGGCACCAATAACTCTTGATTAGTGTCCAAATTGAGAACACCAGCAGCACTCAGCACCACGCCCCGCTTGGTAGTCATTCTATGACGCACTACGCGAGTGACGCTGGCGGCTTCCAGCACGTATACTCGCGGAAGCTTAGTCAGTTGAAGGGCCCGCAAAATCAGCAAGTAGCAGAGATCGTACACCGACAGCGTCGTCGTTTGCTTGGAGAACACCTTGACGTAGGCGTGCAACACGTAGGTATAGCGTTTGGGGTGTTGGGAGAGGAGTTGGTACTCATCGGGGTTGAGGTCGGGGTAGTAGATTTGCGGGGGTTTTTCCGGGTCGGCGGCGTCGTTAACCGCTAAACCGAGGTGTTCCACCAATAACGAAGACCTCAGCACCACGTGGGCATGGTATAAGTGTTCGTAGAGCGCTTGGCTAAGCACCATCTCCTCGTCGGTGGGTGCCCCCAGCCGGCCGCGGAGCACCTCCACCACGGGGTATACCGGAGCAAACTCGCCAGTTTCCGTACCGTCGACCTCACATAAACTGACACTGATGGTGGTAATGACGGTGGTGGAGCCGCTCTTCACCAGCAGCGACCCGACGACGCGATGGGCCAAGTCGGTGAGGTCGCCGGTGGTGACGGCCAAGGGGGCGAATTCGTCGAACTTGCGGAGGTTGGGGCGGTAGCCAAGGTCCAAGTGTCGCTGGAGAAACACATCGGGGGCGATGCGGGCGAGCACCTCGGGGGTGAACTCGATCTGGGGGAGTGATGACATGGCGACCCTTAGTGCGCGCGATGGCAGTGGTAAGCACTAAGACTACCCTAGTGAGCAAAATAAGGGAATGCTTAACGAGTTAAATGTTGAGACATTTGAGTTTGTTAGTGAAATGAGTTTGAGTATGTGATGATGATGTGGCAGTGATTGTGATGACTTTGCTGCAAGGGTGTGACTAGGGTGGAGAACCTATGATGAGATTTGTACATCTGAGAGAATGAAGACAATTGGACATTTTACGAAAGAGAAATGATCGCTTTTGATGTCATTTTTCTACAATGAAAAAGCTTTATCCCTCATTTTGAATTCATAAAATGTGGGTTGGTGGAATTGTTGCATTGGCAGTGAGACAAATAACGAAGACCAACCTCCATGGAAATGACACAATGAGAAGTTTGAGCTTACTGATTCAAATAACAAGCACTATGCGATCATTGTCACCGGTTGGAGCATGTCTCCGGTGGCGATACAAAGTCAAAATCATGTGCAAACACAATCGGCCGAATTTTGACGGCTTAACACATTCAGCAACGCCCGCATGAACACCAATGTCATCACAAAAATCTCTCTTCAAACTGAGTATGTGTTTACTGCTTCAACGGAGCTTTTTGGCCACACAGAGTTGATTCTGTCAATCATCTCTCCGAACAGTGACAATTCCGCTTCTCAACCTCTAGTTCCAAGCCTTGTCTCTTCAGTATACCTCTCGCACCTTTAATTCTCCATTCACATTCACAATTGATCCCTGACTATTCCAATTCTTCCACCGACTCTTATTAGCTTTATTGGTGCTAATGACGTCATTCGCACAAGTCTCTGTCTCATGAGCAAGGTTTCCCCAAGATTCACGCTTCCCCCCACCGCATGTGATCTGGCCCAAAGCAGGGTTTGTGTGACGCAGAGTTCGGAGTATCATGGCGACTCCGCTGAAGCTTTCCCCACGGGGTAACGGTGGGGGGGTGAAACACAACACTGTCCCTCCCCTCCTTTACAGCACCTCGGCTACGTCAACGATAAACTCCGACATGCCCCACCAAGCGTACGCTTAATTGGTTTACACTGGATCCCGTTCTCTCTTTTGAGCCCGCGATTGGTAACAGCGAGCGATAGATAAGCGGCCATTGATGGCCCCAGCGATCGGCAGGGGCGGGTCTTTGTTTACCCCTGGTAGTTTCGAGACCAAAAGAACAACCAGAAGCCACTGGTAAGCCTGTTTGGCCCGTCCCTACGATGGTCCCCGCATTGACACTTTCACACGCACCCCTCTGTACGAGAAGCTATATAAGCTAAACTAAGCTCAATAAGCTCAGAAAACAGAGAATTATACTACCCCAAGGAATATCATGAAGTACGCACTTATCTCTGGAGGCACCGGTGGCATTGGCACCGAGTTGTGCCGCTCGTTCGCCAGACGCGGCTACCAAGTAATCGCTACTGCTCCCCCCGGTTACGAAGGCGAATTGGAGGTGTTGAAAAAGGAGTGTGGCGTCATCCCCGTGGTGCTGGATGTGGCCAACCTCGACGATATCAAAAAGCTAAAGAAAATCGTCGAGGCCGAGACCGGCGGCCGCCTCGATATCCTCTATAACAACGCTGGCATTGCCGTCGGCGGGCCCGCGGTGGTGTTTGACGACGACGCCGTGGCCAAGCTCTACCAGGTGAATTTGCTTGGCCACATCTACATGACGAAATACATGCTGGAGTTCGTGATCAACGCTCAAGGCGCCATTATCTACACCGCCCTGGTGGCGGCGAGAGTGCCGTTGACGTGGTGTGCCCACTATAACGCGACCAAAGCGGCTATCGACCACTACGCCAAGACGTTGCGTGGAGAAATGGCACCATTTGGCGTGAGGGTGTACCTGATTATTACTGGCGGGGTCGACACTCCCATCAGTGGTCGCAACCCGGCCGCTAAACAGAAGATGGTCGACATGGTGATGGCGCTGCCGTTTGCCGTGCCGGAATTGGAAGAGACGATGCGGGCCACCAGTCTGATGACGAACAAGACGTGGCCGCCGAAACGGTACGCCGAGCTGGTGGTGGCGGAGATCGAAAGCAGAACGCTGTCGTTCAACATCTACCGGGGCCAGGCGGCGTACTTGCTCCATTTTATTGGACGCTACATCCCGTTGTGTGTCCAGAACTACCTTTTGGCAAAGAAGTTCCGGGCGTTGGAAGTGTACCGGGCCCTCAGAGAAAAGACTAAGCGGCTTCAGCAACAACAGCGGCAAAAGTAGACACGAATAATACAAATAACGTCTTAGGTTAGTTTTTCTTATTGCCAAGTATCAGTGGTACGTGGAGTAGGATTGATGGTAATTAAAGTTCTGTTGATCACATACGCCAAGTGACAGGACCCTGAAAAGAGCGACTCAGAGTCACACTATCCAAGTTCGATTCCCTTTTCGGCTGTGAATTTCTCGGTCCTAAGATTCATTCTACGTATGGGCTGATATCTAGATCTCGATGAGGCAGCCCGAGGCAATTCGCGGGATATGTCTTACGACAATATGGTTTTTACGAAAATCACACGAAAATCACACGACCCAATTAGACAAGCTTGTGGAATTAACAACTATCGGGCCCAGATTGAGTCTAGATGAAGCAGTCGTATATACGATTGACAACACTTGTTAACTATCGACTTTGCGCAGCCTTATGGGGTCCAGAACACTCGTTCTGACTCGAACCCTATAGAAATCATTGTTCATAACCCTGTTTCTCGACTACTCGAGTTAACCGAAATAGCCTTGTCAACTCTACACTTTGATATTCAAAAAAAAAAAAAATAGTCTAAGTTCGTGATCAGCCCTGTAACCATACTTAAGCAATGTCGATGCTTTCGACCTAGGAAAAGTTATAGACTTTCTGGGCGGGTCTACTCGATACGGCAAGAGTGCGAGAATCTCTTTCCCGGCTCAAGGGAAACTGGTGGCGTGTTGCGGTTGAACGGAGCCCAGCCTTGACTCATCCAAAGGATCAAAACAGCCCCATGTGAAAATACCCCCTCTAATCACAAATTCGAGTCCAACGACGGCTTTATATAGGACACCACTCTTCACTCCGGTAGTAGCTATTCACTATGTTAGTGCTTTTATCTGATAGCTTCCCAAATCTGTCCAATCACGTTTGTGTCGCTGATAAGATCAGTAGTGACAATAGGGGGGCGATGGCGGGGTAGAGCTCATCCAGGCCTCCCGTACTGTCCTCGGGATCTCTGTTGTGGGGGAGTGATTGCGTCCTTTTATCCGAGACAACCGTTGCGGCCGGGGTAAAGTGGGAATTGGTCGTCTTGTTATCTATCACCAACTTTACAACAGATTGTTTCACAGTTGAAACAGGCACCGTACATAATGGTGACAGCACTATTATCAGTACCACCACCGAGAAATACCGTGGGTTGTAGCAGTCTCTGTCCCCTCGAGTGGTGTCGGGTCGTGACCGGCGTCCCCACATGCTATCACCGGGGGCGCGTATCCGCCAATCAGCGCGTGGCAATAGCCAATCGCCCGCATCGCGATAAGACGTTGTCCTGCGTCGACCACTTTTTCATATGCACCGAGATAAGCCGTGCACTACCGTAGACAGCAGAGATGATAGGAAAACCACCCCCAAACCGCCAGATATCCAACGAAAAACATAGTATACGCCATCTCATAAGCTTCCTGTTTTATATACTCGACCCATATTTCTCTCTCATGGCCCCATCTCGTCTAATCATGCCATACTTGGTCTTCTCGTCCCTGCTGTACAAGCTGCCGGGGTTAGGGGGTCGGCGCACGTATATGTAGCGAGCGCACCCCGAGTAATCGAGCTCCCCATAACCGCCCACCACACTCCCACCATGAGCTTTGTCAGTGACTGTGCGCCGCCCCAGGTCTACAGCTACGACGAAACGCCCCAAAACCCGCTGTGGGCGTGCACGTTGCCCACGGCGAAGGGGCTCTACAACCCCGAGCTCGAAAAGGACGCCTGCGGCGTGGGGTTCACCTGCCACTTGAAGGGACAGGCGTCCCACAAGATCGTCCTGGACTGCCGCAACTTGTTGTGCAACATGACCCACCGGGGCGGGGAATTGAACCCCAAGGACGGCGACGGCGCCGGGGTGCTCTGTCTGATCCCTCATAAGTTTTTCACCCGCGAGTTTGCCTACCACTTCCCGCAGGACCCGTTGCCGCCACAAGGGCAATACGGGATTGGTAATGTGTTCTTTAAGAAAGGCGACGAGCTAGTATTTGGTAAGCTGAAGCAGACGTTCGAGAGTTTGGCCACCGAGTGTGGGCTTCGCATCATTGGCTGGAGAGCCGTGCCCCACGACTCGCTGATCTTGGGGCCGGCGCTGTTGCTGAGAGAACCCTTGATCTTACAACCGGCAATTGTGTTGGCCGACACCCCCTCCCAGTGGCTGGAGCTGGCGCTGAAGGACTTGGAGCGCCGGTTATACGTGTTGCGCAAACGGCTGACCCACGTCATCGGCCACCAGAACTGGTTCTACGTGTGCCTGTTGTCGCTGAAGACCATTGTCTATAAAGGTCAGCTTGCTCCCAACCAAGTGTATGCTTATTTCCACGATTTGGTCAACTGTGACTTTGAGGCCCATTTCGCCCTTGTCCACCTGCGGTTCTCTACCAATACTTTCCCCTCATGGGACCGGGCTCAACCGCTCCGGTTAGCGGCTCACAACGGTGAAATCAATACGTTGAGAGGTAATAAGAACTGGATGAGAGCTAAGGAGGGGGTGATGCACACCACCGCCTTTGACGACGTCGGCAGCGGCCAGCTGGTGTTGGAGAAGCTTTTCCCCATTATCGAGGAAGGCGGGTCCGATTCCGCTGCCTTCGATAACGTATTGGAATTGTTGGTGCTTCTGGGGACGTTGCTGTTGCCCGAAGCGGTGATGGTGATGATCCCCGAGGCGTGGCAGAACGACCCCTTGATCGACCCGCTGAAAAAGGCGTTCTACGAGTGGGCGGCGTGTCTCATGGAACCGTGGGACGGGCCGGCGTTGTTCACGTTTGCCGACGACCGTTACTGTGGTGCCAATTTAGACCGTAACGGTTTGCGCCCCTGCCGGTACTACGTCACCACCGACGACCGGATCATCTGTGCTTCTGAAGTCGGTGTCATTGACGTTGACCCTGAAACCGTCCTCATCAAAGGGAGATTACAACCGGGGAGAATGCTTCTTGTCGATACCCACCAAGGACGTATTGTCGACGACACCGAGCTCAAGCAGACGGTGCTGGCTCAGCGTGACTTCAGAGGGTGGATCATGCTGAACATGGTGTACATGGACGAGCTTATTAGCAAGCTCAGCGAGCGCAGCGTCGACTTGGGCCGCCACAAGCTGCTGCTTAACCCCACCAAGCTTGGCGACGACCCCTTCCTCAACGCTTTTGGTTATTCTCATGAACAATTAGGGTTTGTCCTCGGCCCTATGGCTGAAGGCAAAGAGGCTTTAGGGTCGATGGGTAACGACAACGCCCTCGCCTGCGTCCTGGAACAGCCGAAGCTTGTCTACGAGTACTTTAAGCAGTTGTTTGCCCAAGTGACCAACCCTCCGATCGACCCTATCCGGGAAGAGATCGTGATGCTGCTTGAGTGCTACGTCGGCCCTCAGGGTAACTTGTTGGAGATTAACCCGAAACAAACCAACCGTCTCCACTTGAAGTCTCCCATTTTGGCCAACGACGAGCTTGCGGCGTTGACTGAGATTGCCGTGGCTTACCCTCAGTGGAAGGTGACCGAGATCGATATTACTTTCCCCAGAGAACTGGGCATCCAGGGGTACATCGACCACTTGGACGTCATCTGCGACCAAGCGCTGAGAGCTCTCGCCGAGTCCACCACCGCCATCATCCTCACTGACCGGGCCACTAGCCACGACCGCGTCCCCGTGTCTGCTCTCGTCGCTGTGGGAGCTGTCCACCACCATTTGGTGAGACAGAAGCAACGGCTGAAGGTGGCTCTTGTTGTGGAAACCGCTGAGGCTCGTGAAGTGCACCACATGTGCTGTCTCTTGGGCTACGGGGTCGACGCCATCAACCCCTACTTGGCCATCGACACCTTGATGGCGATGCGTGACAATAAGCTGTTGCCCCAATTGCTGAACGCCGAGATAGTCGCCAACTTCCGGGCCCTGGTTGACGCTGGTATCCTTAAAGTGATGCTGAAGATGGGTATCTCGACGTTGGCATCGTACAAAGGGGCTCAGATCTTTGAGGCGTTGGGTATTGATAACTCTGTCATTGACCGCTGCTTTGCCGGTACTGCCCTGCGTATCAAGGGGGTGACTTTTGAGTACATTGCTCAAGACGCCTTCACTTTACACGAGCGTGGGTTCCCTGACCGTTACACCATTAAACCCTCAGGTTTACCCGAAACCGGTGAGTACCACTGGCGTGACGGTGGTGACGCCCACGTCAACGACCCCGCCGCCATCGCCTCGGTCCAGGACGCCGTCAAGAACAAATCGCAACGGCTGTACGATGCCTACTCCAAAAAGGAGTACGAGGCCATCCGCAACTGTACCCTCCGTGGTTTGCTCGATTTCGACTACGAACAAGCGTCACCCGTGCCCTTGGACCAGGTGGAGCCGTGGACGGAGATCGTGCGCCGTTTCTTCACCGGGGCCATGCTGTACGGTTCGATCTCGATGGAAGCCCACTCGACGCTTGCCGTGGCCATGAACCGGTTGGGAGGTAAGCTGAACACGGGTGAAGGTGGTGAAGACCCCGCGAGACTGGCGGTGCTCAACGACCAAGGCGATACCATGAGACTGGCGATTAAGCAGATCGCCTCGGGTCGTTTTGGTGTCACTCTGTACTACTTGGCCGACGCTGACGAGTTGCAGATCAAGATGGCTCAGGGGGCCAAACCGGGTGAAGGGGGTGAACTTCCCGGCCACAAAGTGTCGGCGGAAATCGGTAAGACGCGGAGACTGACTCCCGGGGTCGGGTTGATCTCGCCGCCGCCTCACCACGATATCTACTCGATCGAGGACTTGAAGCAGTTGTTATACGACTTGAAGTGCGCCAACCCTCGCGCTCGTACCCTGGTGAAACTCGTGCTGGAAGTCGGTGTGGGTATTGTCGCTGCTGGTGTCGCTAAAGCGGGCCTGGAAAACATCTTAATCTCTGGTGGTGACGGGGGTACCGGTGCTGCCAAGTTGACCAGTATCAAGTACGCTGGTTTACCGTGGGAGTTGGGGCTTGCCGAATCGCACCAAACCCTCGTGCTTAACGACTTGAGAGGCCGGGTCATCTTGCAAACTGATGGCCAATTGCGTACCGGTCGTGACGTCGCCATTGCCTGTCTTTTAGGTGCGGAAGAATGGGGGTTTGCCACCACTCCCTTGATTGCCATGGGATGTATCATGATGCGCAAGTGCCACTTGGGTACCTGCCCCGTCGGTATCGCCACCCAGGACCCTGAACTCCGGGCTAAGTTTGATGGTACTCCCGAACACGTGATTAACTTCTTCTACTACGTCGCCCAAGAATTACGTCTGATCATGGCCCAGCTTGGTTTCCGCACCATCAACGATATGGTCGGCCACACTGAACGTCTTAAGGTGCGTGAAGACTTGAGAAACGTCAAGAACGCCAACATCGACCTCACCGCCATCTTGACCCCAGGCCACCTGATCCGCCCCGGTGTCGCTACCCACTGTGTGCGCAAACAGGACCACAAGTTGCACGTGCGCTTGGACAACAAGCTCATTGACGAGGCCGAAGTGACGTTAGAAAAGGGGTTGCCGGTAACTGTCGACTGTGATGTTGTCAACACCGACCGCTCGTTCGGGACGACGTTGCTGTACCGGGTGCTGAAGATCTTTGGCGAGCACGGTTTACCTCACGACACCATCCACGTCAACGCCAAGGGGCTGGCGGGTCAGTCGTTCGGGGCGTTCTTGGCCCACGGGGTCACGCTTGAGCTTGAAGGTGACGCCAACGACTACTTGGGTAAAGGCTTGTCGGGTGGCCGTATCATTGTCTACCCCCCCAGAGAGCTGGTGTTCAACGCTGAGGACCAGATCATCGCCGGTAACACCTGTTTCTTTGGCGCCACCCTGGGTACCGCTTTCATCCGTGGTATCGCCGCTGAACGGTTCGCTGTGCGTAACTCTGGTGCCACCATCGTCGCTGAAGGGACCGGGGACCACGGTTGTGAGTACATGAGTGGTGGTCGCGTGGTCATCTTGGGGCTGACGGGGCGTAACTTTGCTGCTGGTATGTGTGGCGGTATCGCTTACGTGTTGGACATGGCCCAGGACTTCTCCACTAAGGTGAACAAGGGTACCGTGGGTCTTTATAGCGTCACTGACCCCACCGAAATCGCTTTCCTCCGGGGCTTGATTGAAGACCACCGCCACTACACCCGTTCCGAAGTCGCCGAACAAATCTTGGGTGATTTCAACCGCATTTTGCCTCGCTTCATCAAGGTGTTGCCCCACGACTATAAGAAGGTATTGGATAAGGAAAAGCACGCTTTGGCGGAAGCTAAGAAGCAAGAAGTCAGCCGGTTCAAGATCCTCCTGGACCCGCTGGCCGACGCTACCAACGGCGAGGCGCTGAAGATCAGACACAACAAGCTGCTGGTGTTACCTGCAAAAGAGCCTCCCGTGGCTGACGTCGAAGACACCATCCTTCTGGACGACACCCTCAAGAAGCCGCTGGCACAAAAGCTTGACAAGGTCCGGGGTTTCATGAAGTACAAGCGCCGCAACGAGACCTACCGCTCGCCGAAGCTGCGTACGTCTGACTGGAACGAAATGACCACCCGCTTGTCCAAGGACGACTTGCAACACGAAACCGCCCGCTGTATGGACTGTGGTGTCCCCTTCTGTACTTCGGACACGGGGTGTCCCATCTCCAACGTCATCCCCAAGTGGAACGAGTTGGTGTTCAAGGACCGCTGGTACGACGCGTTGCAGCGTTTGCTCATGACCAACAACTTCCCCGAGTTCACCGGCCGTATCTGCCCCGCTCCGTGTATGGGGGCCTGTGTGCTTGGCATCAACAACGACGCCGTCAACATCAAGCTGGTCGAGTGTGCCATCATCGACCACGGGTTCGAACAAGGGTGGATTGTCCCGCAACCGCCTAAGCAGCGTACCGGGAAACTGGTGGCGATCGTGGGGCTGGGTCCCGCTGGTCTCGCCGCTGCTGACCAGTTGAACCGTGCCGGCCACCAAGTGACGGTGTTTGAACGCAGCGACCGGGCTGGGGGTTTGTTGATGTACGGTATCCCCAACATGAAGCTCGACAAGCGTATCGTGAAGAGACGTACCGACTTGATGGAGGCTGAAGGCATCGAGTTCCGGTGCAACGTCACCGTGGGCGAAGACGTGTCTGTCGACTCGTTGAAGCAAGACTTTGATGCTGTGGTGTTCGCTGTGGGGCTGACCATTGCTCGTGACTTGAACATCCCCGGCCGGCTGTTGAACAACATCGATTTCGCCATGAAGCTTTTGCAATGGAACACCCAGGCGTTGCTTAACGAAGAGTTGCCTGAGGTCAGAGCCCATTTGGAAGGCAAAAACGTCATTGTCATCGGTGGTGGTGATACCGGTAACGACTGTCTCGGCACTGCCACTCGTCACGGGGCCAAACTGGTGACCAACTTTGAATTGCTCCCCACCCCCGCCGAGCTGCGTCCTCGCGATAACCCCTGGCCCCAATGGCCCCGTATCTTTAGGGTTGACTATGGCCACGCCGAAGTCGCCGCCCACTACGGCAAGGACCCGCGCCAGTACTCGATCTTGCTGAAGGAGTTTGTTGGCGATGAAGAAGGTAATGTCACCGGTATCAAGACCGTTAGAGTCGAGTGGAAGCGTAACACCGACACTGGGGCATGGCAAATGCTGGAAGTGCCTGGCTCAGAGGAATTGTTTGAAGCCGACGTTGTGTTGTTGCTGATGGGTTTCATTGGCCCGGAAGCCGACCACTTGAATGTCACCAAAACTAAGCGGGGCACTATTGCCACCCAGGACCCTCAAGGTTACGCCGTTGAAGACAACGTGTTCGCTGCTGGCGACTGTCGCCGCGGTCAATCGCTCGTGGTGTGGGGTATCCAAGAAGGCAGACAGTGTGCGCGTGAAGTCGACTTGTACTTGATGGGCGAGACGAGATTGCCTGGTAATGGTTCCGTCGAACAACGCGACTACCGCTTGTTGGAGGAGCTTGCCGATAAGGTGTAACTGCAAAAAGTGTATACTAATGTGATGTAATAAAATATGAAAGAAATAGAAGGACTTGCTAGACCACAACGAGTAGTCAGTAATTGCTATTATTACTTATTTCAAGCAAAAACGTAATAGCAGAAGCTTTCAATAGCAAGGTAAACAGGAAATAGAGAGAACGTAAACAAGAAAGCAAGATTGATAGATAACCCATTCAATGGCTATAGTTCCCTTTCGCTGATTGATTCACTAACACTGACAAAGTGGCACGCGCGCCGACGTTGACCAAAACACAGGTCCATGAGCAATGTGAGCGACGTTAATCCCCCTACCGTTGATACCAGCTGTGATGCTCTCAAACGAGTTGAAGACAGCTACTACCAGATCTCCCCAAAGAAGCTTAAGGCTGCGACCAAAGATTTTGGTCGTTACTTCGTCGAAATGATCAATCACTATCTCCAACAACCAATCCGCTACTGCAACAGTTTCGCCGATTTCCATTTGGACATTGACCCAAAGTACCGTGATTCTTTCGATTTCCATCGACTATACTACGCCTCCCACACCGTCTACGATCATGAACGGAAGAAAGAGATCAAAACGCTCGTCGCCAGATGGAAACAACTCCGACAACAAGTGCAATTGTACCAAACGAATCGGGCTCCCAAAACCGACGCTGGTAAGAAGTATCACGCGGTTTGCTTACAACTTGTACGTAAGCGTACTAACCTTGAAGTATTAACTAAACAAAGCTCTCCCGATGCTAACGCTCAACTCTATTTGACGAAGGCGATTGCGACGCTTGAACTGACTCTTGCTGAGCTCAAACGCCAATCGAAGCAAAAAACAGAGCGCCTGGAATTTCTGGCAATGGATAGTCATTTGGAGGATTTGGCACACTTAAAAAGGACTCACAGTTTGATCAAGCAAAAGTTTCATATGTTGAAAGTTTCGGTTACAAGTCGCCCCTACTTTTACGATGAAACCAGTTTCAATGGCTACTTCCTCTATCAAAATCACCGTCTTGAATCATTGTACAAGTATGTCCTCAGGTGGCTAGTCGAGGGTGTATTCTCCACCGAGGAAACAGAAGCCTTTGCTGATGAAATCCCCCCCGACTACTTCAACGACGTTCGCCGCGTCTTTGGCAATACTCTTCTCCGCGCGGGTCCCTTTAACTATAAACCAAGTGGAAGCGCAAACGGGGAAGAAGATCCCATCAAAATGGCTCTTTTGGAGCATGAAGCTTCGTTGTGGAAGGCAAGCGACATTGTGACCAAGTTTCTGTTTCCATCGAACGGACCCGTGTATTCTAACCACGGCTTGGCGATATTTCGATCCAGTACGAAAGATGAGTTGTCACTTGAAGAACCAAAGCAACACTTCGACAATCCCGATCAGGTAACCGTCAAGAACCTTGATTTTTCTCTCGCTAAAGGGGGTGGCTTCAGGGTGCTCATTATGTACTCTTATGAAGGGAACGCCCCTCGAACCTCTAATATAACCCCCTATGGAGTTACCACGATGACCATTCTCCGTCAAACAAAGGGTCAGTGTGGAAAGAAGCATGACTAATCAGGGATAGAACTCCTCCTTGAGCGAAAGATAATCGTTCGTCGATTATTAACTCATGGATAGTTTGATTTGCTAGGTCTAGGTTTGGAAGCAGTTTAGCATTCATTTAGCATCCAATTAAAAAAATTGAACGTTGAAAATAAAAGAAGGTCTGAAACGGGACTTTGATTTAGTCGACTTTTACACTCCAGTTATGCTCTTTTATAAATTCTCTTTGTGGTGCGATTTCATGGATTTTTGTGCTGACTGAGCCAAGCCGTGCGGATGACATCAGCCAACGTCGAGACCCTTCAGGAAACCCCCTTTCATCAAAACGCCCCATTAGGTACTAGTCAACACAATTGGATAATGTTAGATACATAGTCGACTCATTGATGTAAACATTGTCAATTTCAATTGACACTTCGATATTCTCAATTATCGATCTAACTATCAACAAACTAGGCTACCACCAACAGCAATTCTCCTCGCTTAGTTGTAAATACAGCCGTTGGGTCCAATTGGCGTATTCTGCATATTCACACGGCGTTTCGCCATCCCCTCTCAGTGTTGCCCCCTCCGGCGCTACCGCCGGTTCCGAGCCGAGATAAATACGGTTGCTCCCCCACAAATCGCCCCATGTTTGCCCACTTAAAGAAAGTCATTACTGAAAAACACGAAGATATCGACATCCTCAAGCACGACCGCCTTTACATCAGCCGGTTTCCGGGGCGCAAGTACGAGATCTATGATGCCCGCAAGAACCTCGTGGGCTCAATCAAGCCCCGCGGCGATTTGGTGATTTCCAGCGACGTTCCCGAAGCCATTGGCTCTCAAGGGTACGTGGTACTCGACCACAAAGATGAGCTCCAGCTTGTGGTGGACATGGACGACTTGACCCGAGTATTTGCTCCCACTGGCAACGGCAAAATAAAGCAATTAGGAGTGCTGAACAAAGACGGCCACAAGTACTACCTCTACAGCGGCGACTCCAAGGACTCGTTGACTAAGTTTGGGTACGCTACTGATAAAATGTACACGTTAAACGTGTATGACATTCACGACCAGTTAGTGGCACAATTGACTGAGACTAACGATATCCCCACCAGCAACAAGGCCAACTTCGATGTCTCGTTTGGCGAGATTGAAAACCACCTTTATCGAGCAGTGGTGTTGGCCACGTTGTTAAGTGTCGACTGGTTCTTCTACATGGGCGACCAGGGGGGTTCGTTTATTAAGCCGGTGGCTCAGGACATTGTCGATGAGGAGATGGGGAAACTCTACACCACCAACCTCAAGACGAGTAACTAAAACACTAATATTATCACTGACTTTTATTATTTTTACATGAGGTCGTTACGTTTAGTCGACTTCTTCGACGGTGGGGCCGGCGGCGGGTTCTTCAGGGGCACCACCGGGCATGCCGCCGGGCATGCCGCCAGGAGCACCACCGGCGGCGTAGATCTTGGAGATGATGGGGTTGGCCACACCTTCCAATTCCTTTTGCTTGTCGGCGTATTCTTCCTTGGTGGCAGTTTGGTTCGAGTCCAACCAGGCGATGGTTTCTTCGGCGGCCTTGGTGACGGTGTCGATGTCGCCTTGTTCCAACTTGCCCTTGGTTTCGTCGTTGTTCAAGGTGGTCTTCAACGAGTAAGCGTACGATTCCAAACCGTTCTTGGCTTGGATTCTGGCGGCTTCGGCTTCGTCTTCTTCCTTGTACTTTTCGGCGTCGTTGACCATCTTTTCGATTTCTTCCTTCGACAATCTACCCTTGTCGTTGGTGATGGTGATCTTTTGCGACTTACCGGTACCCTTTTCGACGGCGGAGACGTTCAAGATCCCGTTAGCGTCCAAGTCGAAGGTGACTTCGATTTGAGGAACACCTCTGGGGGCGGGGGGGATGCCCGACAATTCGAACTTACCGAGCAAGTTGTTGTCCTTGGTCTTGGCTCTTTCACCTTCGAAGACTTGAATCAACACACCGGGTTGGTTGTCGGCGTAAGTGGAGAAGGTTTCGGTCTTCTTGGTGGGGATGGTCGAGTTTCTCTTCACCAAGGTGGTCATGATACCACCGGCGGTTTCGATACCGAGCGACAAGGGGGTGACGTCCAACAACAACAAGTCTTGGGTCTTGGACGAGGTGTCACCCGACAAGATGGCGGCCTGGACGGCGGCACCGTAGGCGACGGCTTCGTCGGGGTTGATCGATCTGTTGGGTTCCTTACCGTTGAAAAAGTCCGAGACCAACTTTTGCACCTTGGGGATTCTGGTGGAACCACCGACGAGGACGATTTCGTCGACTTGCGACTTGTCGATCTTCGAGTCCTTCAACACCTTTTCCACGGGTTCCATGGTGGCGCGGAACAAGTCTTGACACAATTCTTCGAATCTGGCTCTGGTGATCGAAGTGTAGAAGTCGACACCTTCGTACAACGAGTCGATTTCGATCGAGGTTTGCGCCGACGACGACAAGGTTCTCTTGGCACGTTCACAGGCGGTTCTCAATCTTCTCAACGCTCTTTGGTTGCCGGTGATGTCCTTACCGTTCTTGCGCTTGAATTCTTGGATGAAGTGGTTGACCAATCTGTTGTCGAAATCTTCACCACCCAAGTGAGTGTCACCGGCGGTGGCCTTGACTTCGAAGATCCCGTCTTCGATCGACAACAACGACACGTCGAAAGTACCACCACCCAAGTCGAAGATCAACACGTTCTTTTCTTGGTCCGACTTCTTGTCCAAACCGTAGGCGATGGCGGCGGCGGTGGGTTCGTTGATGATTCTCATCACGTTAAGACCGGCGATCAAACCAGCGTCCTTGGTGGCTTGTCTTTGCGAGTCGTTGAAGTAAGCGGGGACGGTGACGACGGCGTCGGAGACCTTGTCGCCCAAGTAAGCTTCGGCGGTTTCCTTCATCTTGGTCAACACCATCGACGAGATTTCTTCAGGGGTGAACACCTTGGTTTCGCCCTTGAATTCAACTTGGATCTTGGGCTTGCCACCTTGGTCGACCAACTTGAAAGGGAAGTGCTTGGCGTCGTTTTGCACTTCGGGGTCGTCGAACTTGCGCCCGATCAAACGCTTGGCGTCGAACACGGTGTTGGCGGGGTTCATGGCGGCCTGGTTCTTGGCGGCTTCACCAATCAATCTTTCGGTGTCGGTGAAGGCGACGAACGAGGGAGTGGTTCTGTTACCTTGGTCGTTGGCGATGATGTCACATCTGTCATTCGCAAAGTGGGCGACACACGAGTAGGTGGTCCCCAAATCAATACCAACAGCCTTACCCATTGTTGTTTTTGAGTTGATCAATAAAGAGAAAAAAAAATTTGGCGTCAAATGTCGCCCGCCTTATATAATTGGCATTTTCGGCCACGAAGGTTCCATGGGCTTCCATGAGTCTCACTCGGTGAAAAAAAATTGACGCACTATCTGCACAGGCCACCATCCCATAACAGCCAGAAACTGGTCTATTTGAAGCTTTTGGCATTGCTATTGTGTTCTCATGATCACAAAACGTTGATTGCCTCGGTAAAAATTGGTATAATTGACTTTTCACAACTACCACCTCTAACTGTCTCCAAATCACTGTCGACGACGCCCATGCCCGTTGACCGCATCAATGTGTGAAAAATGCGAGTCGACTAATCCTGCTTGTTTACAAATAGGCGGCATGGCAGTGTGGGTCCGTTCGTCGGCCGCCACTACGCCATATATTGTCCCACGAAAGCACCCGCCACAGGAGGTCAAACTAGCACGAAAGCCAGAGGATGATGGAAAAAATGATACAAGATCTATAAGATCTCTAATCGTAGGACAACACCTATGGTAAACTACTAGTTTACAGCATTCCTTGGCTTTCATATTGGGGTAAACTGATTTCTTCGTCGAGTGGATGGCACCTGCAGGGAGAATGAGATTTAGTGGTGCCATTGTGCAGTACGTGTCATCATCAAGCGTCACCCACTCTAACGGTCACCATCGATCTAGTAGGCGTAAAATACAGTACATTTAATCTCTAGAATTAAGTAGTCTTTTCCTTGGTGTAGTCGTTGACCAAGTACACGCCGCCGGCGTTGCGGATCACCTGTTTCACCTGGATCCAGACGTTCTTCACCGCGGGGACGTTAGCGTTGTTGACGAGCTGGTCGATTTTGATTTCGATGTTTTTCACTTGGGTCCGGGTGAGGGCCATCTTTTCGTAGCGGAATCTGAGGAACAACGTGTAGGCGATAAACGGGATAATCGACTTAGGTCTCCACGCCAACACGCGAAGCAATAACCAGAACCACGAGAAGATCTCGATCTGGGTGCCTAACCGCACCAGGTTGACGTTATTGTGAGCGATAAACAGAGTGATAGCCGGGTTCTCCTGCGGTAAAAGGTAGTTGTTGACGTAGACAAGCACGTGGAACACCAGGTAGATGAAGAACGGCAACAACGGCAACAACACGTTCGGTCTCACCCAGAGCAACACGAGGGCAATGAAGAAGTAGTGGACGTTATCGTCCTTGAGCAATTGCGACGGCTGCAACCCGCGCTTGGTGATGTTCTGGTAGATGAGGATCAGGAACAGCTCGACGATGCCGAAGAGGGCGACGACGTACCACACCTTGTGGTAGCGCTTGCCGAAGCCCACGTAGGTCAAAAGGTACAAAAGAGTGCCAATCACGGTGAGGACATGGCCAAGAAACCACCCAAACTGGAGTGTCTAAGTCGTTAGTACTAAACATGGAAATAAGTGTATCCCCCTCAATGAGGCGTTGTTCAAAGACTTGGGGGGCAATTGACTTACCTGGATCGAGTGTTTGCGGTGGTGGTGGGCGGACGACGCCTGGTGGTGGGGCTGAGCCGACGCTCTCGCTTCCGTCATAGTATGGCTTTCAAAAGTGTGAGTGAGCTTAAGGTGGTTTTTCGGTGGTAGATAAATCGCGCGACCATAGCGGGACAGCAACTATATACCTACCAACCGCAACGGAGGTCGAGGCTCTGCAGTGCCGGCCGTCGCGGCGACAAAAAATAGCAATTCCCACGGGGGGCAGGTCTAGTAGCTGTGGTGTAGCTGAACTGTGGTGTAGCTCATCTGTGGTCTGCACGGTACGACTGCAGATAGCCAGGACTCCGTACTTCTTCTACTCTATTTACTAAATTTGGTTTATGGCTCCAGTAGTATAAAGCGCTGGTGTCTCGCACGCTCGCCCCCCCCCCCGTTTCTGTGTGTCTCGCCCCCCGGGGTCAGGTACGCGACCCGGCGCCGGGAGCAAAATGACGTCGCGTTACAATGACAGCTATGGAGCGCTAGGGATACTTTATATACGAATAGGGGTAGGTCGTCGTGTTACTCAATTGAGCCAATCGGTGGTGTGTGTCCGTGGTGTAATTTTGAACCATATTTTGAACCCTTTCAATCGGGAGTGGCAGTGCTGAGTAGGGAACTGGTGTTTTTGGTAGTACTTACCGAAATGGTAATTACCATCGGCAATTGAGACGATGAGACATCTGGTGGTGAAACCCACCCAGACGAGCCAAATATTGGAACCACGCCATCTGTTCAATCAAAACTGTAAGAACTATGAGTATTTATTTGAGTCTGTGGCTGATATTATTCATATTTCTTCGTCTGCACAGATTCGAGGCCGAGCCACTTCCCGAGACTAAATATAGAGCCGCGCCTCCACGGCTGTCACATTGCGGGGCTATACAACTCTGGAAACACCTATCATGTTCTGGCGATATCAAACCTTCCATTGCTGATAACCTTGCCTCACATCTTAGTGCTTCATCATTGCTTTATATAAAACCATCATCGAAGACAAATTCTTTCGAGCACGAACGAACACCGACGGTAAAGCCCCTATATAAGTGCATTCTGTCTACATACGCAAACCAGAAACGTCGACAGTACTTGGGGTCCAAAACGAGAAGTTCCTTGGGGATTTTTGACCAAGCAAAAGTAGGGGTTTGGACACCTTTTTCAGTGTCCATCACAGCCATGAGTGTACAGTTGATAAATTACAACTCGGCATGATCTTCAAACAATGGCGTACACAATGGTAGACAGATCTCGGGTCTGTAGAGTGGCGGTACGCGCTTTCCAATCCCCAGTTGACGAGACCAGGGAAAGTCGAAGGGTACCGATATGAGCGAGCAATATAAATTGAGGAGATGATGAGGGGAAATTTTTATCCCTTACCAACTCCCGCAAAGTGACCATGACAGTTTCTTCTATGGACAATTTCCACTGGGGGTGATGGTCCAGCGGCTAAACGTTGCAGACAACACCCTCTGAGCCCGCCTCCTGAGACAGAACCCCCAACCAAAATTGAGGACCTCCCCACCAAACTCCATTTTGTATTGTGTTTGGAATGTAAAACATCGTACGCGCTTTCAAGTTCTACGAACAAACATCGGAGGCCAAGAATGCAGGTACCATACACGAGCTGAGACAACGCCATGAATTGACGACGCGTCAACTGCTGTGTATATATATATTGGTTGTTGTTGCTTCATTTGGCTAACCAGTTTATGGCGTTTCTATTCTACATTGACGAGTCACAGCTCCAAACCATCGTCGACAAGTTTGGAGTACTGGCTGATGTTTTAACCTCGATTGGGACACTCCAAAAATCAACAACTAAAGATGATCTCCCCCCTCCAGTATATGATCTGTCGCCGCCAGAATCAGACCCAATTGAAGATGTGGTCGATGCAACGTCAGTGGCAAACACAAACTCGTTAATGGTATCTTCTCTGGAGTCGTCAATACTGTTTGCAAACGAAATAAATCATCTTACGTTGAATGATAGCGGGATTGATGGTTGCTCTCCAATATTAGAAGATACTGAATCAGGCTTTGCCGAACTTGAGGACGTAAACCAGGTTGAGGACGAGGTTACGGTTAGTGTTGATACTGAAACATCCGACACTGACAACCATACTGGAACTCATGATGTTAGTGGGAACGTGGACGAGATGGGATGTGAATCTGCAATCGAGGTAATACGCAACACTGATGCAACCGGCTTTGTGGACGACAATGTAACTGAAAAACACAGTGAAGAAGTAACCGAGACCGAAATCTACATTGAAACTGAAGAGGTAACAAGCTATGTGGACGCAATTGACGATGGTATCGGCAATGTGGAAACTAATGGAAATATGGATGAAATAGAGAGTTCTAATCAGCTTGTGGACGAACATAGCACTAAGAGCCATCCCGAAACGAAGGAAATTCACGACATTGAGCACTGTGTTGAAGCTGAAGTTGCGACCGTCAATGTTGATAACGGTCCCGCTGATGTACCCGAGGATGTCAATGGGCACATCGATATAACCCATGTTGCAAGTTGCCATGAGGATGTCGCCGCAGTTGAGGAAGTTGCCGACCCACACTCGCCCTTTAGTGGTGATGATAATTGCAATAATAAGACTCCCGATCCAACTGATCAGCCTTTGCCTACAAACCCAGATGACAATTCTAAACTTCTTTCTTATGGGGCGGAGGAGCCTGGCATATCTAATGAGGACAGACTGCTGAATGTCATGCCAACCGAGTTTGATGTCACGCCCAAGCCTCTTCAAGTGAATGTTTCCAAGCACGCCGAAAGCGGTCTCATTGTTTGTGCCGAGGGTCATGTGCCTACCGTGGTCTTACCAAACCAGATCAATGCACACTTAATGCATAGACATGACAGAAAATTGTGGTCTGATGAGACTCGTCATCGACTTCGGGAGGAATTGTCGAAAGGTATCGCCTCCCAAGTTCCTCTTAACATTCTCACGCCGCTTCCTGACATCCCCGTTCTCCAGAAGCACTTTTGTCAGCGGTGTCACAAACCTTGGGAGAATAATAGGAAACATAAGAGAGGAAGCCCCGAGTGTATGGGTAGCAAACGATACTCGGTCAAGGCTCAGCAATATAATCGAGGCAAATGGGTTATATTAGGGTCTATGCCAGATGTCTTCAAAGATGCTGACGACACCAATTTGCAACACCAAGCGCCGCCTGAAATTACCGTGAATGTCACCAAGCACGAAGAGACGGGTTTACTCGTATGCGCTGAGGGCCATGAGCCAATGGTGGTGCTACCACACCAGGTAACAAGCCACATGCTTACACGCCACTCAGATGAGAAACCAGGTTCCACCGACGTACGCGCGAAAATTCTACAGGCTCTCAGCACCGGTACAGTTAACAAAGTCCCTCCTACCATCCAAACCGAGTTTCCTGCCATCCCCGTGACCACCGCGTACTATTGTCACCATTGTGACAAGGTTACTGCGAAGAAAGAGCACGCCACAACCGACAGATGCACTAGTGTACAAGTCGAGTGCCAAATTTACGCACAGGATCAATACGTGGTCATCGGACAGCTACCACAAAAACCTCAAGTTGAAGAAGCTAAATATTCGAGCGACAATGATATTGAAATGGAGATGTTGAAGATTGAAAAGCACCAGGAAACCGGCTTGTTTGTTTGCGCCGAAGGCCATGAACCGATGGTAGTGTTTCCACACCAATTCCAAGCGCACATTAAACTTAATCACCTTGGCGAGCGTGGATGGTCCGCAAGGTTGCAGGCAGAGATTAGTAAAACTTACAGTACTTGTTCGGTTACCGAGGTTCTATCTAGCATCCAAACGCCATTTCCTTTGATCCCTCTTGTCCAGGGAAAGTACTGCTTTGGGTGTTGCCGCGTTTATGAGAGATTCTTTTACCATACAGGGGAGGATAAATGTGGCGACAACAGTCAAGTTCCCCTCATCTTTCAAATTCTTCATGATGGCAAGGTGGTGGTCATTGGGTCTGTGCCAAAAGATCCCAACAATAACAGAGACGACGGCAATCTTATTGACGAACCTACGCCTGCAATTTCGGGTAGTGCGACAAAAATGCTCGACAACTGCCCCCCACTGATATGTCGGGCGCCCGAGTGTGGCGAGTGGATCATGTGTGACGTATGTGGACAGCGGTTCCACGGGCCATGCGTGGGCATCGATCCTCAGCCGGTGGCAGAACTTGTCGCCTACCATTGCTCGCGTTGTGAAGCCGACCACGGCCCCCTGGCTTGCGCTCGCAAGAGTAAACGGAGCAAACCGAACATTGACAACCTAGCGTTGAATTGAGGTGACACGTTTGTCTTCGACGAACTACACTCTCACGTCTCGCGGGCGATGGCATTTGAAAACCAAATGGACGCCGCGATGACATGGTTTTAATCGCAATTTTTGACTTTCAAGTTGATTATATCGGCGTCGTTTACCATGAGGTCAATACCGCAGTGGAGTTATTGGAAGCGTTTCTCGGTAAAGGTTCCCCACATGGAATTTGGGATGGTAGAGTAACTCAACAGTGATCAGTGTAATCGCATTTGCACCGTTAACTTACCTGAAATACCATATCTATTATCCCCCTGAAATAGATCCACGCCTTGCATACCGTAGAAGATTGTCCCATTATCGGCGGTAGTTAACTTTGTGTTTGTCTCAGTTGCCGGAAAGGTAAGCATGACTGACACTTTTGTTTGGTGCAGATCGCCAGCCAGGTGTACACCTTCCTAGTTCAAGTCGGGATTACATTTGATTAACTTAGTTAAAGCGTCATGAAAGGTTGATGATTTACAATAGTGTTTGGTGCCCGTACACGTCAAATGCATCTTGCATCGTCACGTGTGCATCGTCTAGAGTGCCTCGTCTAGCAATACCTTATATACAGACCACCGAGTTGATGGTGAACTTGGGTAGATCCTACCATTCCATTGCGTCGCAAATGCTCATTGTGGAGCGATAGGATTAGGCTCATTGTGATCGTCGTGGCCAGTTTAGTCAGATTTGATACACAATTCATCGATCTAAGCAAATCAAAAAATTGGGATTTCCACTAAAAAAAAAGTTTTGTTTCAAATTCTTTACTTTTCGAAGAACGGCATAACTTTTTCGAATGCCATTTGGTGTCGCCGATATATGTTGTTGGCTGCACTTTTGTGAGTAACATTTGTTAGCACCCCTATGGTCTAACTTCGCTAGGTTGAGAGAAAAGTGAGGGCAAAGCGTGCGTTTGCGGTCACGCTTTTCAAGTTTTTTACTTTTTAAATACACCTAGAAGGGGGTGTTGTGCTACTACCAGAAGGGTCAACTACACAAGTAAGGGTTAGTTGGCATCGTAGGAGTCCGGGTTACCTTTGACTTTACTCTTTTTCGCACTCGGACCAGATTTCGGGTAGTCTGCTAGTTGAGATTAGGTTCCACTATATGCAGGAACCGGATGTAATTTCCGTAAGTACGCAGTTGCGTATACAATAGCCACAACTTTATCGCTGAATCTCAACGGAATGGGGTAGTGGTCACATGCTAAGCGGAACTCATTGAGTTAGAGGTTTTACGGTGTAGACGTCTGTAAGGTCTCGTAGTCGAAGCTCTATACAAGCGTCTTAGACGGGTCAATGGCTCAAATTGATTGTAGCGCAGACTTCATCTAGCAATTGCAATTGTCTGACGTTCTACTTCTCGGCCTCTAACAATCAAAGAGTAAAGGTCATATCTCCCAGGAGTGTAAAAGACACAATAAAAAGAAACAACGCTTGGGTGTTTAATTCGCAAACCTCCCCTAAGCCAACACTACAGTTTACACAATATAAACAGCTTCATTCATTCAATAGTCACTAAACACTATAAACCAGTTTCTGCTGACCAGTTAGTGGCAGCACAGGTTGCAACCGCAGTCACAGTTAGCCCCACCACATTGTTGACAAGAGCAAGCAGCGGCACAGCCAGCATTGGATTTGCAGCCATCAGCACAGTTTGACGAGCAGTGGCACGCCAGAGCACAGTTGTTGGTGCACGAGGCGTCACAGGCAAAGTTGATCATTTCGGTTCTCATAATTGTTGTCGTTGTTGTAATTGAACTATTTCACAAATAAGTTGTGACCTATTTATACTAGTTGAGGTGTTTCTGCCGTTTGCGTGGTTTGTGCCCCACTGCATGTGGGTCACGGCTGAGGTGTATTCGCCTCTTACAAGTCGTATACACGAGATCTTGGCATCGAAGCTTATCGAATCCATCTGCGGGGTATGATTTCTTTTTTTGCGACTACTTACGATAGTGGCACTTACAAATGAGCGTAAAGCAAGGGCACAATCCATCGATCACTAGTACAATCAACAAATATGCTTGGATTACAATGGGCTTTCGTTTTTCCTTGAGTATAGTCTATATAAGCTCATTATGACGTCCTACAACTTCATTTGCAAGACTTTGCGTGGCGCGGCTGTCTGATCCGCAATTCGGCAATAATCACTCAAACTCACAGAGATAGAAAATCTTCAGATTACCAGGTCTGATAAATCAAGAATATCATGGTCACGATTTTTTGCTACACTCTTTTGATGAACATATATGAATAACTAAAACAAAAGATGTAAAAACGAAAAAAAAAAAAAATACAAAGTTGAAAACAAAAAATAAAAAAAAAAACCCAAAAATTGGGCTCTGCGGAAGTCACCGACACGAGATTGACGATACATTTTAAACCACCCTGAGTTAGGCAATGACAATGACACATTCTTGTGAGTCACTTTATTACTATATAGGGATGGGGAGAGGGAACCCCCATTTAATTAAGAGTACCCAATGCACTTTCTCACCTCTTCGGGGGCCTTAGCCAACAACGCCGTCGCTTGCTCTTGAGGGAGCGACGACAACAAACCCCTCACGGCCGGGATCACTTCCGCCTGGACTTCCTCCAGCAACGTCCCGTGGGCCAATGCCAGCACCACCAGCTCGACCACCTTGGGCACTTGCGTGGTCACCAGCGGGTGTTGGCTCAGAATCAACAGCACCAAGAACTGGTAGCAGAAGCGAGCCTGTTCCCGGTCATGAATCACCGGTAAGAGCCCCACCCATTGTTGCAATGCCGTGTCCAATTGGGGCACTTTGTCATGATAAGCGTGGAAGATCTTGCCGATGGCAGCCACCGCGGTTTCAGTGGCGACGACGTTCTCGTCGGCTCCCAGGTCGGGCACCAGCGCCATCTTGAACAACGGCTGAAGACAAGCAATGCAGAAATCCGGAGCGATGCCGTGGTCGGCAGCGGCACCGACCGCGTACAGCGCTGCTTGCCGCACGCCGGCGTGAGCCAGCATCACCAGTTGGGCCACGACCATCAACCAAGGTTCAAGGTCCACCGTGCGGTCGCCGGCGTCGATGACGTCACACACCATCACCAACCCACAGAGCTTCAAATGGGTGTTGTCGTCGTTGACAAACGTCGTCACCGTGGTACGGGCCACGTCCAAAAACTGGCCGGCAAACGGGGTGGCCCGACGGAACAACGCCAGCACCAACTTGTTGCACTCGTCCAACAATTCGTCGTCGGTGTACTCGTCGTCCAGGTCGGCGACGTCTTCAGTGTAGTCGTCATCGTCGTCACCGTTTTCTCTCGACTTGATCCGCTCGTAGACAGCTAACAAGTTGCCGTTGATGGCGGTGGCCAACGCCCGCAAGAGTCGAGGGTCGCCCAGGACGATGGAGGCCGGCACCACGTTCACCATATCGATCACGGCGGTGTAGTAGGCCATGAGAAGCTCGGGCATCGGCTCCGAGGTCATCGTTTGCGCCAACTTGACGATGATCAAGTGCCACAACTGGGCGACGTTGTGGTCGGCGGCGACCGCCAGCCGCATCATCAGGGCAAGCGCAAGTGCTGCCAGAGCCCGCACCCCGTCGTGGAGGTAGAACTGGAGGGCGGGGATGGCGATCTGCTCGACGATCTCGTCGACGTAGGCGACGAAATCCCCCTTCAACTGAGCGGCGTACAGCCGGAGGAGGTCTAAGGCAGTGACCTTATCGTCTAACGTCAGGGTGTGGACGGCAATAAGCTTACCGCTTAAGTTAATCACGTCCCAGTCGTCGTTTTGAGTGTATTCCTCAGCCTGGTCTTCTTCAAGCAACAGCACGTCTTGAGTGTAACGGGCTTGTTCGAGTACGGGAGGTAAGATTTCCGGAAGAACTTGTAAGAATTCTCTTCCGACAATGCGACACACGCGACACCACCCTTGTTCCAAAAACTGTTTGATGGGGTCGTCGTCAGACACTATCAGCTGTTGCAACGCCGCAAAGCGTTCCAACACTTCTTGGGCGTGGGCACTGAATTGTTCTCTGCCCACGGCAAGCGCGATAAGCGTCAGACACTCGATGCACTTAGCCTTTAACGAACGGGTCTGTTCGTCGGTGTCTGGTTGCGCCAATTCGTGGAGCAAAAGCGGCATCAACGTGTCGTAGTACTTGCTGAAGAAGTTCTGGGCGGCGTCGGCAATGATGGCAATAGTGGTAAGCACTTGTTCTTGAACGTAGCGCTTAGGCAGGTTTTGCAAAAGGCCCAATAAGTTCAGAAGCACCTGGTCAAGGTAAGGTTCAAGTACTTCCTTGGGTGCCGCTTCCGAGAAGTTGACTAAGGCAGCGGCAGCGTGAGCCTGGACCCGAGGCACCAGCTTATTGGTCAAATGAGAGATAAGCGGCGGGAGGATGCGGTGGCCAAACAGAAGCTGGACGACGTTGGCGAAGTCGGTCGACATTTGCCCCAAGGCATTACACCCAGCGTATTGTACTCTCGGGTGGGGGTCCGCCACCAACGGGATCACCATATCCAAAAGCAGGTCGATCTGGTCCATAAGCACATCGACACAACCCTCAGCCGCCAGCGAAAGGGCCATGAGAGCCGCTTGCCGTTGTCGCCATTCGCTCAGTTGAGCCATTTCCGGTAAGTAGCGCACCAAGGGAGCGGCTAACGTTTGCCCACCTAATCTGAGGGCTACCCGATCAAGAGCTTGACGAGCAGCATCGTAAATGGGGTCTTCATCCAGATCATCATCGTTGCCATCGCTATTATTCCATTCAGCAGCATCGTCATCGTCTTCACCGACTTCAGTAAGCATCGTCAAACAGGTAACCACAAACGTATCCGGGTACCGTTCTTCTCGCTTACACATTTGCGGGGCACACTCAGCAAACGTCGTCAAGAGCTCAAGCAGGGCCATGCGACACAGCTCGTCCAAGTCGCGGTCTTTACACACGGTGGCGCAGAAGTCGACGATGGTACCAAACATGTCTCTAAACATCTTTGGGGCCAATTCCACGAGTTCAATCAACAGCTCAAACACTTGGGCTAAAGCGACATCGTGGTGAGCCTCAAGGAATCGAGGGAGCGAATTAAGCAAACCGGGTAAAAGCGTCTGTAAAAGCGGCCATTCCGATTTACGGAGGCCTCTGAAGAACGCCACAAACGCCAGACAGGCAGCGATGCGCACTTCGTCGTCGTTATCTTCAAACGCTTGTTTAAACACCTGGACGACTTTTTCAGCGGCATCTTCCACCACTTCGGGAGCAGCGGCAATGATACGAAGAGCACTCTCCCTAAAGCTAGGGTCGGGGAGCTCGGTAGCGTAGAGGATCAGCGGCACCAACTCTGCCCACAGCCCCGCCGGCAGCGCGTCGGGCTTAGACATCTCAGCAATGGCGTCGGCGAGCTTGTGGCGCACCAGTTTCGGCAAGTTTTCCTTGACGAACCCTTGAAGTAAAATACGACGGATTTGCGTGCGTACGGGCTCGGGGACGGAGCTGATAGTGCGGTCGGCCACCGAACTCAGGTATTCCGGGGTCTTGATCGCCACCCGGCGGAACATGACGGCGGCAAATGCTTGGTAGGTGGTGTCGGGGGCGTCGCAGGCCCGCTCGGCCAAGAATGTGAGGAGCATCAGCACCTGTTCTGGCAGCTGCTGCCACTCCTTTTCCAACGTCTTCTCCGCGCTGCTCCGGACGTTGTTATCCAGCAGCATCAACAGCCCGACCAACTGGTCGAGCTCCTGGCTCACTTCTCCAGGGAGGACACTCATCGTCGATGCTTTCGGTGGGGGATCGATTTCATTTTCGCAGCGCGTGGCATTAGCACGAGGCCCGGGATGAAACCGAAGAGGGTGGAATAAACTGGAAAAAAGACCTAGTAAGTCGTTAATGTAGTAGGTTTGATTTGATATTTTACGGTCAAATAGGCTTTTGGCTACATTAGAATTTGCTCTGATCATCGTAAGAGTGTGACATATTAGTAATGTGAGGGAGGGGAGCATCGATCGTCTAAATTTAAATATCGGGAACACGCCTCAACCACTTTCAGAATACATAAGTAGTTATCGTGTTAGCTCTATTGATTAAATGCCTGAAGTTATCCTAGTTATCTATTAGTGATCGTTGAGTATCGACTATTCTCACCACAGTGGCTAGAACCACAACTGCTGGGCTCGTCAACTCGAGATCACTGTGATTTCAAATCGTTAAAGTTAGTATACCTGAAGTCGCCGATTCAGTATAGTGTTTACCTGTATTTCATTTACCCTGTTGTGGTGTCGCATTACATCATCGTCTGCACTCTCTCCCAATTAGGCGTCACTGCGAGATCGAAAGGCCGTGCTCTCCCATGGAACCCAAGGCGACGCTGACGGCGTTCGGGCTTTCCACCGACGTCAGGGCCACCGTCCAGCTCAAGATCGAGCACATGGACGCCATCACCGACCCGCAACTCGCATCGCTCGCCGATAGGTACCGCCACCCGGACGTGTACAAGACCTACTCGAAGGTGGCTCCTTACCTGGAGTTATTCATCGAAGTCACTGCCTATGATAATCACCATACTCAGAATATGCTTCTGGTACCTGTCCACACCAAATACAGTCCGTTTAATGGGTCTCTGAGGAGCTGGAACACCACTATAGCATTACCCTTGGATTACCGTCAATTGCTGCAAGACGCCTACCTCCAGCTACGAGTATTTGAAGTCACCAATACCAAGCCTAATCTATTTGCTGTGGGGTCATTATCCCTTTTCAATCGCGAAAGCTTTACCCTTCGAAGTGGCCGGCAAAAGGTGGCAGTCTATAGGGCGTCAAATCAGGCAAACCCGCCTGTATGTTACCAAAAGCGGCTTCCAGGACTCACAGTGGAGGAAGAAGACCTTGCTAAATATGAGAATGGCCAGCTTCCTCGGGTTCCTTGGCTAGATAAGTTTGTTATCCCTAAAGTGGCGTCGTCCCCAGCTGAAGGAGTGGGTGACTACTCGCTATATGTGGAGTTACCGTCATTTGACTTGCCGATTGTCTATTCGGAATGGCGTAAGCCTGAGACTACGGCTGCGGTGTCAGTGGCTCGTGAAACATCGCAAACAGTGGCCCCTTCAACGGTGCTTAATCTGGTGACCATATCTCCTGATACCCATCATCAGGTGATTGATTACACTATACCTGGCGATGAAGACGATCCCATAGAAGCGAAATACCACCGGTTGGAGCGTAACATCAATAATGCGCTTCTCGATAAGGAAATCAAGCCTAGTCCCCAAGTGCGGGATGAGCTTCTCCGCATCCTTGTCAAAGCCGCCAGTACCGATCTTAGCGAGTACGAAAAGAATCTCATTTGGAAATTTCGCTATTACTTCTCCAAGAATAGCGACACGGGAACAGCGCTGGCTTCGTTTCTTCCCAAATTTCTCAAATCAATCGACTGGGAGAATGACTCTGAAGTTGACCATGCTTTCTCAGATATTATCCCTCGTTACTGGACGGTCGAAAAGATCCATATTGGTGATGCCCTCGAGTTCCTCGGCTCTTATTTCAACCCGTATACTCTCTATCCTACCGGAAGTGCGGCTACTGGGGTCGATCCAGTCTCCAAGAATGAAGAGGAAAAGTTCCAAAACGTGGTGACGAAAGTCAGATTTATCCGCAAATTCGCCGTTGATCGGTTGAAACAAGCGAATAGTGAAGAGCTTTTGTTATATCTTCTCCAGCTTATTCAGGCGTTGAAATATGAGGCTAAGATTTATCATGGAGATGAGCAGGCAATTTTAAACCTGCCCCTTACTCAGTTTTTGATTGAACGGTCAGTTGAGGTACCTAAATTGGGCAACTACTTCTACTGGTACCTCAAAGTGGAAAATGAGGATATGGTCAACCAATCCAAATTGAGCAAGACTCAACCGCCGATGATCTACCTGGTTATTCTCAATAAGTTTATTGCTGAACTCAAAAGTTACTGCAGTGGTGGCCATAAAAAGCTTCCTTATTACGCTCACCTTAAGCGGCAAATCTGGTTTGTGAAGAAGCTTAGTGGGTTAGTGGAATTGATGAGAACGACATTTAAGCGGAATGAGGCTACCGCACGTAAAGTGGAATACTTGAGAGAGTATCTCGGCAACAGTCTGAATGAGTTCCTCAAGTTTCCTGAAACATTCCCGTTACCATTGGACCCGCTGGTGATGGTTTGTGGTTGCTACCCTCAAGAGCTGTCAGTATTCAAGTCGTCGTTAGCTCCTTTGAAAATAACACTCAAGACAGTGGAGATCTCGGGTAATACAAAGAAATATGGTAAGTACCCGATGATGTTTAAGATTGGTGACGATTTACGCCAAGATCAATTAGTGATCCAAATGATCGACCTTATGGACCAGTTATTGAAGAATGAGAACTTAGACCTCAAATTGACTCCATACAAGATCTTGGCGACGCTGCCAGTGGCGGGGATGATGCAGTTTGTCCCTAATGAAACCTTGGATGAGATTTTGGCTCAGCTGTACCCTCAAGATGATTACCCAGTACAAATCAATTCTTCTGAAGTACTTCAACCTAATGGTATATTATCTTACTTGAGACTCCATTCTCGAGAAGATCAACCGGTATATGAACCCGCAGCCAAGAGTATTTGGTACCTGCCCACGGCACTGACCCATTCTCCTCCGGCTGCCCTCGTCACTGGTACATCATCGACGATGCATTCCACTTCCCCCCGCATATCCAACGACCTTGGTGTGCTGCCAGTTTTAATGGAGAACTACATCAAGCTGTGTGCTGGCTATTGCGTTATTACATATATATTGGGTGTGGGGGATCGCCATCTTGACAATCTTTTGCTTTCGCCTAACGGGAAGTTCTGGCACGCCGACTTTGGCTACATTTTAGGGCGAGACCCTAAGCCATTCCCCCCACTTATGAAATTGCCGATCCAAGTAATTGACGGTATGGGTGGGTTACATCACGAAAACTTTGGTCTCTTCAAAGGGTACTGTTTCACCACCTACTCAACCCTTCGCAAAAATCTGAGTTTGATTATTAACTTATTTGAGTTGATGCTCGACGCTAACATCCCCGACATCAAGGTTAATCGAGGACAAGCGATTGAAAAGGTGGAAGAGAAATTCAGAATTGACCTGACCGAAGAAGAGGCGATCGTTCACTTCCAAAACTTGATCACTGACAGTGTGCAAGCGTTTTTGCCGGTGGTCATCGATAAACTCCACTCTTTAGCCCAGTACTGGAGAGCATAAAACGTTTTCGCAAAAGTTATACATATATAATTAAACATACTTAATGGATCTAATCATCCCAAATTTCCTCGTCTTCATCTTCGTCCTCCAGGTTGGCCACCGACCCGTCGGATTCACTGGCGCTGCCTTCACTGCTGTAGTCTTCCAGTTCTTCCTCGGCAGAGTCGACTTCTTCGTCCGAAGGATCGTCGTCAGACACTTCGAATTCCGATTCTTCCAGCTCTTGCATTTCTTCGTCAGATTCGCCATCGCCAGAAAGGAACGACCAACCACCGTCTAAGAAGAATTGGTAAGGGTCTTGTTGAACTGTCTTCATAATCGTACCCCAGTTCAAGTTCATGGGACCTTCACTCATGGGGATATCGACATTGGTCAACCACGCCTTGACATCTTCCAACACTTCCATCGGGATGGTGTTGATGTGGACGACGGGCTTGCTGAAGTCCTTAAACACAAACACAAGATCGAAATTACGTAAACCGAATTGGACACGTTCAAGATGGGCAATTTCAATTTCGTCAAGAGTCACCACAAGGTAAGGAGGATCGATCAACTGGATCAAACAGTCACGGGTGGGCATACACAACACCGCCGACCGGAACGGCACACCTTGGAAACCAAGCTCACGGAAAGGAATGTCGAGATCGATCATACCGTTCAGCGCTTCAGCAATTTGTTCGGCAAAACCCTTGAATTCCTTGTCCAACAACGCTTTCCGACGACGTTCTTCTTGTTCTTGTTGTAATTCGTCTTCATCACCGTAACGGTAGCGCCGTTTACGCCCCCCAGTTTCATCAAACGCCATATCTGAAGCTTCTCTGTAGAATTGGACGTCAAAAGTCTTCTTCTTACCGATCATGATCGGGTTCTTCAAGTGGCAGTGGATGATGACAATCAATTCATCCTTGCATGGCTGGAAGAAGAGATGCTTAATATTAGAGAAAAGGACATCAACCTTTTGATCAGCGCGGAACAGCGACTGGTAGCGGATACCGTTTTGGTGAATCTGCAACACCCCACCAAGCTTCTTGGAGTCGGGAGGAGGACGAATGAAAACGTTATCCAACTTCTTCACCCGGCCCTTGATTTCAATGAGGTTAGCTTGAGTGACAACGTCGGCCATTTGCTTGCGTTCCAGCTCGCGCTTAGTGGCGTCCTTCTTTAAGTCTTGAATCGCCTTGAGGACATCAACCATTCTTTGTCTATCCTTGGAGCGGAAAGTGAATGAACGAATGAATGACAGCTCACCGTTATCTTCATAGGGAAGTTCAGTACGCTTCAGAACGTTACCACCAGCACCAGGGGAGTTGAAGTTAAGACGTAAGTAAGTGTATTCGCCTTCCTCATTTTGCGACCCGTTCTTGAACAGGTTGATGTGGAACGGCACCGGCCGACCGCAAATAGGTAACAAAATAGTATGGTTTTTGTAATCAACGTGGACCTTAAGATCACGCACTTGCGACGGGATTTGCGATTCACGCACGTACGATTCGTACTTTTTGAAGATGGGGCGGTACTCAGTCAGATCGGTAGCGTCGGCCTTAGAGAAACGAGCCAAACCTTCTTGTTGACGTTTTTCGTGTAATTTGGTTTGAATCTCTTGACGCAACTTTTCCGCAGTGTTATCCAGAGCGCCGTTGCTTTCGTTACGCAACTTCTTAACTCTCAGTTCCAATTGAGTTTCCGACTTGGGCTTTTCTTGCTTTATCTTCGCCTTGATTTCTTCAGCGTCATCATTGAAGTAGAAGGTAACTTCCTTCAAAGTCTTAGCGTAGTTAGTCAAACGAATAGGTTCGTGTTCGCCGACCTTGAAAGTGTCAGTCAACACCACAGCGTAGTGCTTACCCTTCAGGTTTTTAAGCCCCGAGAACCCAAGGGTGACCGAGAAGATTTGACCCGCTTGCAATTGGCGATCGTTTTTACTGTTCAACACGAACAGAGAGTCTCTGAACTCAATACCCATAAGCCACCCACAGTTCTTGGTGAAGTGAGACGTCAAGTCGGGCTTGTGTTCACCAATGTACTTGACGGCCCGGTCATAGATCAGCAGAGCCGACACTTCCGGCTTCATCAACAGGGTGACGTGTTCCTGCAATTTGATCAAAAACTCGTAGTTTTCCTCCATGTCCTTAGTGGGGTCGATCATAAACGTTCTGGCGACGTTCAGACAGTACAGCTTATAGCGTAACCCGATCGACGCCACCACCACGTCACCTTTGAGTTGCGTGTCCTCCGACACCGCCAGCGGCTTGAGGTCGTACTGCCCTCCCAGCTGGATGATGGGCAGGTAGCACCAGTCGACCAATTCGTAGTCAAAGTCACGTTGAGGCACCAATAACTGTTTGCCCAACTTCAGCTTAGTAAACCACTTCGGGTTATCTAATTTCTCTTCGATTTTATCGGTGAATTGGGCGTTGGTGATTTTCTTTTCCTCGTCGATGATTTGCATCATATCTTCAGTGACGATCTCCATCATCACCGTCGAGCACTTGGCGGCAGTCTGGGTGGCAGAGAATTCCTCGGCGTCCTTGATTTCCATCAGTTTCAGCAATAACGGAGCGATATCCACCTTATTAGTAAGATCCTTAGCCACTTCATCCCACTCGTCGATGAATTTACCCTTGTAGGAATCCTTAACCACAAAGCCATATTTGCCGTCATCGGTGTCCTTGATTAATTGGACAAGCTTTTCAAACACTTCCTTCGCCTTTTCCTTATCCTTGGTGCGTTCCCAGATCTCCACTTCTGACGAGTTCGCCGTGGGCTGAGCGGTAAGTCCCTTGAGGTACTTCGCCTTCAGTTCGGAAGTGATGAAAATACACTTATCCTGAGTGATATAGATGATGGTCTGGTTGAACTCGTAGCCCAACAACCACGTCTGCAACACCGTCAGCTTCTTGTAGGTGTTGTCCTCGTCACGCGCTCCCACCACCGTCAACAATTGCTGGAGCTTATCCACCACCATATTGGCCTGGATGATCAGCAACCGCTTGTGGAACGTAGCGGCGTCGATGTGAACGTCACTCATGGTGTGTTGCTGGAGAATGAAAAACGCGACGTGCGAAATAGAGGTGGTCGACACCAAGACGAGACTGTAAGTGAAATCAGTGATCCTCTTGAAACATTGATGGGAGATGAAATATAACTATAACTAGACTAATATGAGAGGACCAATATTTCCATATATCCTTTGATTTGAATTTATCTCTGTTCATTTGTCATTTAGTGAAATTTTTAATATCGAACTCTTCACCCACTCGATGAGCTCTGTTCATCATTAATACTATCTTGATTGATTTGTTTCTTCTCCTAATACTTAGTTTGATTTTAGGTTCACACATTCGACATATTTGCTTTTCTCTGGTCTTCGACCTCTTTTTGGTGACACTTTTTCACGACGCGTCTGGTTTTGTTCATACGCGTACCATGTACCGTTCCAAGAGAAAGACGGCCTCTCGGCGTAACTTTGCCGACGACAAAGCCGCATACACTCAACAGTACCCTTCAAGGCTTTCCTTTTACGATGCTCCACCTTTGGAAGAGATTACTTTGGAGCAATTCGAGCAATGGGCGGGTGACCGTCTTCGAGTGTTAGTGGAAATCCAATCACTTGGTCTCCGAAAGAAGACCCCAAAGGAGATGGAAACGTTGATGAGACCTACCCTTAATAAGTTTTTACCGCTTACAAACAACCCCGACACTCAACACAGTGAGAGACAGAAGGACCACTACTCACACTTCATTTTGCTGCTTGTGTTCTGTCGAAGCGAAGACCTCCGCAAACGGTTCATCAAGAACGAGGTGGCGTTATTCAAATTACGCTACCAGTCATTGCTGCCAAAGGAACAACAGGAATTCATCACCAGTCATCTGGAGAAGTTGCCGTGGCGCTACATTGATGCGGAAGAGAAAGAAAGGAATTTGGATAACTTCTTTGCCGCCAGTGGGGCTTCGATCCGTAATCATTTGAAGCTTGAACGTAACGTTGACTCGGTGACTGACGACCAAGTGAAACAGTATATTGCTCAAGTAGAGCAATTTATCAAAGTACCCTTCGAAAGAGTGCCCAATTTGGTACTGCTGCGGACGGTATATTTAAGCGAAGGTAACGCCTACTTGCCGCTGCTGATGCAAACCCATATCCTTGCTAATGAGTACGCTAAGTTCCTCGAGAGAAAGCTCATTTCAACAGTACAACAATTGCCACAACTTGAGGAGGATGATCGTTTGACGCCAATGATCATGCATCTCGCCGATAACTTCAGTCACTCTGAAGGTTACCTGCCCGATATTGCTGGTGACGCCGACATCACTGCTGCCAAGATCAATACGCCTGGCCTTCGGCGACACTACCCTCTTTGTGCTAAACGGATGCTTGATGGGTTGGTTGCAACCTCAAAACTCCAATACGATGCTCGTACGCAATTTGGTCTTTTCCTCAAAGGGATTGGTCTTGGTGTTGATGAAGCTCTCGTGTTTTGGCGGACTCAGTTTTGTAAAGATGGTCGTATGAACAGTGACACATTCCAAAAGAATTACGTCTACAACATTAACCATCTCTACGGGCTTAATGGGAGTCGCATCAACTATAAGCCCTGGAATTGCAATACTGTTTTCAATAAGCCGAGACCGCAACGGGGCCAGTTCCACGGGTGTCCTTATCGCGATTTGCCTCGCAGTCAGCTTGAAGATGAACTTAGAGAGCTTAAACTTAGGGAAGATGAAGTGGCTTCAGTGGCAGATATGGTCGATGGCAATGGTCGTACTCCCGAAGACTGGACGGCAGCCTGTACTCGGGTGTTCGAGTTGACTCACCCGGGTGCTCAGGAAGACCATCTTGACCACGCCAACCTCTACTTTGACCGATCACGCCAATACTGGGACAAGCGTGAAGCGGCATAAACATTCATGCAATTTAATATGACAAATGACCATGAGTTAGTAGAGTAGGTAACCGTTGAGTGGCGGGTGTTATCTGCAGTACATAATCCCCAAATTCGCACCCGATAAGGCAGCGATGACAGACCACTCGCCCATACAAACACACTTGCCCTAGCCGAAGCCACGATGGTGCTCTCGCTTGTCGAGCTTGCCACCCTCAAGTTTATCCAGTTCCCCATGTTGGTGGAGGACGTGGGGGCGACACCGTTCCATCTCCTCGTCCCCGTGCTAGAACGAATGCTGGCGAAGCAACTCCGCTTAATAGAGCAGAAATCGCCCCATATCACCGAAGACCTGGAACGGATATGGCGCCTGCTCATCCGCAAGGACTTCCCCGACCGGCCCGAGGTGCTGCCGACCCAGCCGTCGCTGCGTAAGCTCTACGATCAGTACGTGAAAGATCGAGAACAACTACGCCAACAAAGCGCTAACCGGTTGAGACAAATGAGTGAGGAATTGAAAAATAAGAAGAGTAAAGTGATTGCTGTGCCTGCGGGAGAGCTCAAAGAGCCTCGCCGTCGCATTCTGGGATGGGGCAGGTCGCCACTGGGTGGTGGCTGGGACGGTCCTCGGCGACCGAAAACGATCTTGGCTCGGGCCAAACGCGATGTCGCCGATCGGGGGCTCATGTTTAAAGTGGCTCCTAAGCCGCCAGCGGCTTCCCCGTTACTGAAATACCCTCAAGTGGTGGCACCACCAAGAACAAGAACTACCTCATCTCCCCCGCTGGCATTAGCCCCAATTCGACCACAATCAACTACAAGGTCAACCTCACTGAGACCAGCAGTTACAAGCACTTCCCAGTCTCGCACACGAGGTGAAACGACCACGTCATCGCCTACACTGAGTCCACCGATACAACGCCCATCACCGACAGTACCAGCTGAACGACCACGTAAACGTCCGGCGGCGGCGGCGGCACTGATATTCATGCCGTCTCGTCGGCGACCACCAACGTCAACCGTACCAGTGTCGAGGCCACCAAAACGACCTAAACAACTTGCGGACCCCCCGCCATCATCGCCACCCCGGAGGCCAATTAAGGCTACCCGCAGCTCCATCTTCAGCTGATCATGTTTACGATGCTTATGAGTAACGACCCAGGGTGACACGCCCTTCATATTAATATATATAGCTAGTATATCCTTCCATACCAAAACGCTTTGTTTGTAGATCGCATTCATCGAATATAATGAGTTGGCTATTACAATTTGAATTAATTGTAGTGGTCAATGAATTGACGTCTACAATTACTAGTCTTCAGTTTGAATCAAATCACTAGCTTCCCGATGCTTGTCAACAAAAAGAAATTTACGACATCGCGATCGGATTTGTCACAGCCTCATCCAATTTTACAGTGTGTTCACTCAAAATCGTTAAATTTAGTCTACGATTTGATTATGACCATCGTAAAATATAATCTACGTTGTTTACCAAACACACGTGCCAATTTAATTAATTTTATCTACACCCTAGTCGATTGCTGAGGACCACATGCCAGATAGCGGTGGGCTCGTTCCGAGGAACGACTTCCCCGCGTTGCGCAGCCACCACCCATTATTCCGGAGGGGGAGGAGGAGGGGGGGTAGGACAACGGTTATGCGGCTAACTCCATAAATATAAGGCCACTTTCTCTAACGGTGTTGTGGCGGTGTAGATCCGCTTTCACTCAGCCCGATTCCGAGGCTATCCGCGGAAGCTAAGCCGAGGGATCAGGGCGGGGGCAACACACGGGAGAGAGCCACAAATATAAATGTACCGGACCGTCCTGATAAAAAAACTATCACCCCTGAGTATGGAGTCAGAGCAAGCGACGGCGGTGAGCTCGGCCAGTCTGAGTCACGTACAACTTCCAGAATTAAAGTCGCTGAACCTATATTTGCACCAGCTCGAGCGCTCCCCCAAATACCAACACTATTTACGGGCGTATAAACTGGAGGCCAATGCTCAAGCACAACACATTACGGAGAAGCTTTATTCTAATTTTACGGGGCATACGTTGATGGGACCGGATAAGATCGATTTACGGTCGCCAGCGATGTATATCATCAACGATAAATGGCTCCAGTACCCTGAAGATATCGCTGAAGGCGAGTGTGGCGACGATGGGAACTATTCCGTGACGTTTTTCCACCTTGGTAATCGGCTTACCGGTCACGCTGGAGTGATCCACGGCGGTCTTTTGGCGACATTATTGGATGAACTCACCTGTCGGCTCGCCTTCCAGGCGTTCCCGCTGAAGAGAGGAGTGACGGCAAATCTCAATATAAACTACCGTCAACCGACACTTATGGATACCTATATTATGATCAAGTCGGTGGTGCAACGGAAACAAGGGCGCAAGTGCTGGGTGAAAGGGTCAGTGTATAAAGTGGGTGACCTTGAATCTGATGAACCCATCGAGACCAAAGAGAATTTACTAGCGGACTGTGTGGTCTTAGTCGTGGAACCTAAATGGGTCGATAAACTCAAAGACCACTGACCACAATTTTGAATGATTTAATGATTTATAGAGATAATGAAATAGAAGTATTTTTGGCTGAGTTGACTCTTGCTTGACTCTCTCTGACCCTGGCTGACTCCTGGCTGACTCGCGCCGCGGAGATTTCCCCCCGGTCGCGGCGAACGCCGCCGATTCCCGAATCGTGTGTCCCCCTCACCCCCAGTATAAAAACCACTCATCACCACTGCGCTTGTGAAATGTTGAGAAACCAATTGCGTGCTGTCGCCAGAATGTCCCAAAGAGCCTCGTCCTCCATCACCCCAGTACGTAAACAAAGAAAGACTACGAAATTTGCCAATTGTTCAGTTCGCCGGTAACGGCATGGTTATTTATCAAATCAAAGACTAACTCGTTCTAGGTCAAGACTGCTGCTGCTCCCCCTCCCGCTGCGTCGTACTCGCAAGCTGTCAAGGTCAACGGCTTCATCTACGTGTCGGGCCAGATCCCTTACACTTCGGAAAACAAGCCCTTGACCGATACCTCGGTGGAAGCCGCTGCCGAACAAGTGATCCAGAACGTCAAAAACATCTTGGAAGCGTCTAATTCATCGTTGGACCACATCGTCAAAAACACCATCTTTTTGACCGACATGGACAACCAGTTCCCCTTGTTCAACAAGGTGTACGGCAAGTACTTCAACGCCAACACCCACTTGCCCGCTCGTTCGTGTGTGGCAGTGAAGCAGTTGCCCTTGGGCGTGTTGTTGGAAATGGAATCCATCGCCATCGAAAAGCAAGACTCTAAGTTGTAAACTAATTACGTACATTGACAATAAAGGAATGAATTATTGAGTTTTGCGCTTAACCGGGGTTGGCTTAAGGGCAGCTCTCCAGACTTGACTGATAAGGCCCCACCCCCAGCCGAAGGGAGTCAACATGAATAATGTCCACCAAAACAGGGGAGTAATCTTCTCGATAGTAGTCGCTATCGTTTGCTTTAATTGGTCAACGCTACCATTATTATCAATGACGATATCGGCTTTAGCATTACGCTCGGCCATCGGCATCTGACTGGCAATCCGTTTATCCACTTCACTCTCGGAAAGCTCAGGGTTACGCTGCTGAAGCCGGGCTTTTTGCACCTCGGCCGAGGTCAGCACGCTGATGGTGACGCCACAGATCTTATCGAGACCAGCTTCAAACAAGAGGGGCACGTCCAACACCACCACTGGCTTTACTCTCACGTAGTTATCAATGAGCTGCCAGAAGATCTCCTGGCGGACTGCGGGATGGGTGATGCCATTGAGCACTGCGAGTCGCTGCTTGTTGCCAAATACGGCTCGGCCGAGAGCTGGTCGGTTTAATTCTCCGTTTTCAAGTAATAGATCGGGGACATCGGCAAACTCAGTGGTGATTTTATTGTAGGCGGGCTTGCCTGGCTCGACCACTTGACGAGCAATGAGGTCGGCGTCGATGATGGGTATCTGGTGAGTCAGCGAAAGCTCTTTCGAAACGGTGGACTTGCCCAGGGCAATACCGCCAGTAAGACCAACAATCAACATGGTGTTATCAAGCCGCGCGCCACAATTGTAGAAAAGGCCCTTGCACCGCGAACCAGACCAGACACTGGTAGTAGTCAATTGAAGACAAATTACATTACAATTGATTTGACAGTTGATTGAATGACTTGAAGTAAAAATTCTACGAGTGTCACTATTAGCAAGAATGGTTACGGTTGCATTGACTCTCGATGGTGTTGCACTTGTAACGAACTGAACGCAATATAATGGATGTAGCACTTACTAAACATCATAGGACGTTTACAGTTGCGATTATAATCGATTGGAGGAGTCGTAAAACGGTTTAAACTATCCCCTAATTGCTCTCAATGATACGGATGACCACCCTTGAGTCTCCACCACTTGCTCCCATAAATGCAAGTGTCTCAACCCCACCCCAACGGGTACCCCTAAACAACAAGTACAAAACTCTATCAAAACTACCACAAAGCAATTGCTCTTTCCAATACGGCAAAAAACCCAACCTTCTCACCATTGCTTTAGTGACATACTGAGCCACAAAAGAAAAGGAAAGCCTCCCCAGAGTGCGACAGAAACCCCGCGTTCCGCTCGCATCGCATTAGTTCGCCGCGGAGGGTTTCTTTTTGTTAGTGCTGCGCCCAAGACATCGTGCGAACAAAAAAAAGAAACGTGGCTAACGGATGGTGGGGTGAACTCACGAAACTAGTGGCACTCGCCTGACTTCGGCACTCCGCCCAACAAAAAAAAAAGACGGAATCAATCTAAATGTTTACTTAGTTGTCGTTCCTCGAAATGGTAGCAACCGCCATCAATTAGACGGGGTCATCTTGTCGATTCCATAAATAGCGCCATCGATCTAAGACTCGCCGGGAATCTATCCGTCCCCTCATCATCATTACATAACCTCCGTTCTGTTAGGGTGCGCGCTGAGTTGCATTTTCGGAGAAACTAGGGAATCATTTTCGGCGGAACCTCTATAAACCCGTAAAATATATAAACTCGACGTTTTTAGACACTGAAGGTTTGAGTACCACTACCATGACTACCGATCCCCCTGAACAAGTTATCACTCCTCAACAAAACGTCACCTCGGAAAACCCCCCCGCCGAAGCCCCCAAACTGGCGCTGGGCCTGTTGGTGAACCCCACCATTGGCCGGTTGCCTCAACCGTACCCGCCAATGACGTCGCCCATCTTGGACTTGTTTCTGCTCCAAAACAAGGCTGCCATCATCACCGGGGCCGTGCTGGGCATTGGTTTTGTCGTCGCCGAAGCCTACCTCCAAGCGGGGTTGCTGAAGTTGGCGATCATCGACTACGCTCCCAATGACGCTGCGGTGAATAAGCTCCGCAAAGTCAACCCGCAGGCGCAAGTGGTGTTCTACAACTGCGACGTGCGCCGGGCTCTGCAAGTGAAGGACGTCATCCACCAGGCCCGCGACGAGTTTGGTGTCATTGATATCTTTGTCGCCAACGCCGGCATCGCCTGGACTTCGGGCGCTATCGTTGACCAAGCCGACGACGACGATGCCGAATGGCTCAACGTGTTTAATATCGACGTTAACGGTGTCTACTACTGTGCTAAGCACATTGGCAAAGTGTTCCAGCAACAAGGGTTTGGCTCGCTCATCATGACGGCGCTGATGAGTGCTCACATTGTCAACGTACCCAACTTCCAGGCTCCGTATAACGCGGCGAAGCTGGCGGTACTTCATTTGGGCCGTTCGCTCGCCGTGGAATGGGCTAACTTCGCTAGAGTCAACACTGTGTCCCCGGGTTACATTGGCACTGAGTTGCTGGACTTTGTTCCTGAAGATATCAAGAGCACCTGGTACAGATTGACTCCCAAGGGTCGCCAGGGCCACCCGCGCGAGTTGTGTGGCGCCTACTTGTACTTGGCGTCGGACGCGGCGTCGTTCACCACGGGCTCCGACATTAAGGTTGACGGTGGCTACTGCCTGGTGTAAACTCCCGAGTTCGAATCCTCCCACTATTACGCACGCTTTTTTTTGATTTCGCGCCTAAGGGCATAATCGCACCGGTGCAGGGATACTACTATTGCATATATTAATACTAATAGAAATGGTTAAAAAGAGACACTAAAACACGTCGTAAATTACCGATGACTTCCCCTGAACTATCAGAGAAACACGACCCCGACTCGCCTCCACTGGTGACACTGGCATCAGACGCTAGCGGCAAGGATGAAGTGTATGCGCTTGCGGCGGAAGTGAGCTCGCTGCTCGAAGATACCGAGTACCCCACTCGCCGGGTCGATCTCCATATATTGCCGTGGCTCTGCGGTATCTACTTACTCCAGTTCTTGGATAAACTGTTATTGAACTATGCTGCTGCCATGGGGATCAAGGAAAACCTCCACGGGTCGCAATTCGCTAACTTGCTGACGATGTTTTATGGGGCGTATATTGCTGGGGAGCCAGTGATGGCGTATGCGATGCAGCGGTGGTCGCTTCTGAAGAGCTTGGGAGTGTTTGTCTGCTGCTGGGGCGTCGTGGTGGCGTGCCATTGTGCCTGTACCACCTACGCTCAGCTTATGGTGGTGAGAACGTTGCTTGGGATATTTGAGCTGTCGCTGGCAGTGGGGCTTATCTATATCAGCAGCATGTGGTATAGTAAGAAGAGCCAGGCGGCGAGAATGGGGCTCTGGCTGTCGATGGCGGGTGTAGCCACGATCATCGGCGCCCTCCTCCTGTTTGGCTTCCAGTATATCCACCTGCCGAAATTTGCTCTGTGGCAGATCCTCTTCTTGGTGATGGGAGTGATCACGTGTGCGTTTGGCGTGGGAGTGTTTTGGTGGCTTCCCGATAATGTCGCCACGGCATCATGGCTTACCCTGGAACAAAAATACGCAGTGGTGGCAGCGATTAAGGCTAACCAAACTGGCAGTAAGTGTCATGTGGTTAAACGTAACCACATTGCCGAGCTTTTATGGCGAGACCCGTTGACTTGGCCGTATTTCTTCAACATCTTAATCTCACAGATCGTCACGGGAGCTATCGGTACTTTCTCCGTCACCGTTACCATGCTGTTTGGCTTCACTAATAAAACCAGTGCCCTTCTCCAGATCCCCGTCGGAGCTCTCATCATCATTGTCATCATGACCCTGACATTACTCGTCCAGTTTGGTGGGTATATGGTGATCATCATCACCATGCTCATCCCCAGTGTCGTGGGAGCCATCGTTCTTTTGTGTCCCGTTTCCAAATACGGCCAGTTATTCGGGTTATACTTGTTGTACCTGGGGCTGTCGTCCATCACTCTTTTCTATGCGTGGACGATGGCCAACACCGGTGGCTCCACCAAGAAATTTGCCCGTAATGTGATGACGATGGTGGCGTTTCTGGTGGCGTGTATCATTGGCCCGCAATTGTTCACTGGTAAGACGTATACTGCGGCTAAGATCGTCCTCTTAGTGACTCAACTGGTGGCGATTCCAATGGTATTGGGCATCGGCTATATGTGCCATTATCTCAACCGTAACCGACAAAGAGAGGCCACTGGCGAATACTCTTTGCTCGACATCACCGACCGCGAGAACCCCGAGTTTGTATATAAGTATTAGAGCGTCCTTATTGGCGTTCGCCTTTAATCACTATCGGAATCATCCCCCCAGTAGAAATGCAAAACTTAGGATGGCCTAACACAGTGATAAACCCTCTAATCGTGCCTCCGTGAGAGGTGGTACTCACTACAACATCGTCTTCGTCGAATAAGTGTTGCAAAAACCGGTTGCATCGTATACTTTGTTCAGCAAACAGTTCACGAACTTCGTCGCCAAACAACTCGTCGTCGTCGTGGTGAAGTCTCAGAGTACAGTAGTGGGGGAACCTCTCTTCGATAACGTTGCGGTGCAGCCGTCTATCGCATAAATTGATGCCAATCGTCTCACGAAGGTATTCACACACCACCGGCTTGTGAGGGATATCAATGTCTTTCCAGGTAATGTCTAGCGTCTGACAACTTCTCTGGAGGGGGCTGACGTAGAATTTGGTCGGTACGGGTGCTCCTGCCGCCAACTGACGCCGCCACGCCTGGTTATTCTCTGCTGCCTGAAGCTCCCCCAACGACGATAACGGGGGGTCGGGAGCGTACACCAACCCCGTTTCCGGGTCCTCGCCCATGTACCGGTACTTGTCGAGCCATGCCTGTAACCCATAAGTGTCGACAATGATGTTATGCGGTCCCTGGCCGTGACGAGCAAAGAACACAAGCTTGTATTTGACGTTTTCGTCCTGTTGATTCAATTGATTCAATTCGTCAACGATCTGTTGCCATGGTTTCAAACGGCCAAAGTCTTGGGTGTAATCAAAGCAGGCATCGTCGATATTAGGGTCGGTGGCCTGTTTAAAGAAACCAGGTACGCTGGAGAAAGTCCACGCAAAATCCTTGGGCGATTCGGCTGTAGTCTTGGCTAGAAGCTCTCGGTAAACGTCGTCAAGGTGGAGTTCGCGGTGGGCAACGTCCCAGTCGTTTTCGGAGGCCTTCAAGTAGGTCATGGTGGCGAGTGGGTGGTGTGGTTGATTTTTCCCCGCACGGAAGTTCGACTACGGACATATATATACTTCTCCGACCTTAGAAGCAAAGCGCGTCAATAATAGACACCGACGTCAAATTCCAATGACTCATAAAATACGGTCCATGTTTGCTATTGATGAATTTGAAGTGACGTCGTGAAGTCGACGTGTCCTAGTCAATTTTATTTCATAGATCGCGGATCAATCGGGAACTAGCTTCAGTTGACAATTGCAAAAAAAGAAAATTTGGAAAGTTTCTAAAAGCAAATCATTGTTCACATTTCCGAAAGCTGGAAAGGTTGCAAAAGATTGTCGAAAACATTTTGAATTTGACACCATGTTCAGACCATATGGGAGACATAATTTCAGGTTTCGGCAATGACACAAGCGGTCCGATTACGGAAGAACGCACGGCACACTACATCGGAGACTGTGATCACTAAATTATATATTAACGTTCATAAAGGAATCTTTTCAATGCAAGTCAGATGTCTAACCACCTAGAGAGCAACGTTGTCATTACCATAGTAGCTGGAATCAATAAATGCGGGCTTCTTAGCCATATTATCAAGCAGGCCGTAGCCAGGATCACGCACGGGGTCGGTTTCGTAGTTCACCAACACGTGCTCTTTAAGCAACTCTTTTGCCGTTCCCCACGAAAACCGTAAGAGACCCAGCGGCCAGCCGAATACTGGGTCAATGTCTTGCCGGATAAACAGTTTCGTATTAGGGTCACCCGGGTACCCTGAACCAATCTCCCCTAAGCCGAGAGTATTGACATAGTAAGTCAAATTGAAGTCTCTAGTCACTTTAGCCACAATCGAAGCCGCCAGCACAATTGGATATATAGCATCAGCTTTCTTGGCCACCGTCACTTGAACTTCAGGGAAAAGCTTTTGGAGTTTATCCTGATACGATTGAGGCGGTCCCACAGTATCGACATAGATCTCCGTCACTTTCACTCCTCGAGCAAGCACGCCACGAATTAAGTCAATGGTAGTATCGTGGGCTTGTTGGTTAAGGTTATAATTGTTTTTCGAAAGCATCCCCAGAGATATATCTTTAGCAGTTAATGTAGTGGTAGCATAACCAATATTCAATGAGTCAACCCCTTCGAATAGTTGACGTCTCATCGGCTCACTAAGCGTCTTGGAGTCAGCAAACCCTGCTTCTTTGATCCCATCTTGAGCCATCTTCAACGAATAGGCCACGCCGTAAACCATCGGGCCAAGCACTGGACCCCGACCCGCTTCATCCACGCCAAGGACAATTGGTTCAGTAGTATCCTTCAATGCTTGTGGCACCGGCGAGTAAAACGTCAGCGACTTAAACTCAAGCGGATCTCCAATCGCCGTCACCGTGGGCGGGTACCATTGACTCTCCTCAGTCATCCTGACGCGTCGCGTCCTCACTGCGCTGCTCAATCTAGAGACAACCCCGCTTGATCTAACATGAATATTTCCGATAGGTATAAAATTAAAAACAATTATTCTATCATGTTTCACTAGATTGGTATGTCATGTTCTATTTGGTTGAAAAATTAGGCCCGATCTAAAGTCATCTCTCTATCGTATCTCGGCCCATACTTTTCACAAGTGATCGAATTTCACCCAAAGAGTTTTGATTGACTCATTTGCAACCGAAAATACTTATATTTGATTCAATTTAGTAGTAGACTTAATTGTTACCTTTATCTTATCAACGTGTACCATGGGGTCGCACTCGCTGTACCCATCCACACACACAACACCCGATTCCAACCAAGGCGCAAAGATGACCGTGAAACGAATCTATATTTGTCGACACGGGTACCGGATGAACTGGTTACCTGAGCCGCACCCTCCCAACCCCACCGGTATCGACCTGGATCCTCCCTTGGCCCCTCACGGCGTCGAACAAGCGGAAGAGCTTGCTCGCCATCTTGAACAGCTCCCCGCCGACCAACGGCCTCAATTCATCCTTTCGTCGCCGTTTTACCGGTGTGTGGAAACAGCCCAACCTATCACCAAAGCCTTGGGCTCTAAGGTCGCCTTGGAACGTGGTGTAGGTGAATACTACCGTGTGGGGCGTAACGTGATTCCTGAGCCGGCAAACTACGACCGTCTTGAAGGATTCTTCCCCGACGTATTGGTTAAAGAGAATGAATGGCCTAGAGACACTGCTGTGGGCGTGATCCCCTCGCTTGAAGGGGAACTGCCCGAAGCCATTTTCGACAGATGCCAACGGTTTTGGAGATTATTCTTCCCCGTGTTTGAAGCGAAACACCCGGAGGTGGAAAATGTCCTTATCGTCACTCACGCTGCCACCGCCATTGCTTTAGGGATGTCGCTCATTGGTAAGTCGTCAGTGTTAGAAAGCATTGATGACACCCCTAACAACTTTATCAGAGCGGGGGCATGTTCGATGTCGACTTACGTTAAGGAAGGCGACCACTGGAAGCTTACCGTAAACGGAGACACGCTGTTTTTGCGTGAAGGTGAAGAGATGAACTGGAACTTCCATCTGGGCTTCGAAGCAGGGCTGGACGAAGACATTAAACTGCGCAAAAAGCAGGAGGAAGAGACCGAGGTACGTAAGCAACGCAACTCTAAGTATTAGAACATTTTTTACTAACATTGTTTCCAGGATTTCTATGTGGTAGTCGAGGTTCCCAATTTCGGACGACGGTTCCATGAAGAAGCTGACGATGACCAAGGGTTAGGGAAAAGTCACTTGATTAAGCCTCTGAGTTACTTTCAAATCACTGAGCTTAATCATGCCACTCCGCTTTTTAAGATTCTGAATAACTATACTAAACCAGTGGGGAAGTCACTAGACCTGTCCAAGGGAGTCGACGTGGCTCTGAAGATTATTGATGGCAAAATATACTCTACCGAATGGACTGAACTTGTGGGCACTGATATGATCTTTGATGACGAGGGGGAATTGTTGGCGATATCACGCGACCATCTTCAGGTAGACGAACAGATATCCCTTGAGGTGGTTAAGGAACGTCCCGAGGCTGAAAACGACGAACGGCCTACACGAGGAGTACTTGAAGAACAACCTCGCTCGCTGTTTTTGCGTAAAGCTATTAAGCAACTGAAACTGTCTAAGCATCGAGCAGCCTCGGCTCGGGCCACTTTGAGCCCCGCCGTTGATAGCCAGCGAAGTGGATCCGAGCCGGTAGAGGAGAATGGCAATGGCGCCGGTGATGACGGCAAAGAAAATGCTGATGAAACTAACAATGCTGCCGCTGAGGCGACTAATAACAATGCCGCTGACGAGACTAATAACAATGCTGGTGATGGTGAAAACAACGATGCTATGGACGTCGATGGGTAATTCTTGAGAGACAATATAACCTTACCATAGAGATGAGGTGAAACTTCGCAGAACATCTACGAGAGTAGTTTAATGAGTATTTTAATATTACGAAATTCCAGAGTTATGCTATTAATTGTAGTACTACATTTGCAGAGAGAACGGCCGGAGCAAACAGTTGCAGCCACAGCCACTGGCACACTCCTGTTCGTTAGCTCCCCACCACTCCATGGCACACTGAGTGTGGAGAATATGTTCACACAGCGTGCACACGACGAAGTTCTTTTTGACCACCAACGCACACAAATTACAATACTTGAGCACGGTGCGTTTGCCCAGGTTCCACGCGTTGAGCTTACTCAGCTCGATGAATGTCACCAGATTAACGAACGCTTGTCGGGGGTTCTGTTTGCGGCGACTACGCAAGGCAATATGGCACTTGTGCTGGTCACCATCGTTGCTAGTCACCGGACCGTTGGCGTAATTAAACTTGAGCACTTTAATACGATTCACCGGTAATCCCCACAAGTATAATAAGTCGGCGTACTGTTGACGGTACCGTCTGAGGACATCAGGGTCGAGACTCGAGAGCAAACCACACAAGTAGGCGTCGTCGTAGATATCCATCGAGTCCATATTAAGCATTTCCACCGTCACTGTAGGTGGCAGCCTCACTTTTTTACTCAGGCGGTGTTTGCCTGAAGCGTATAACGGGGCACTGTTTGGAGTACCCACAGTAGGTACCAGCGGGCGTTTCTGTTTCAGCTTGGGCAGGGACATGACCAGGGCCAGCCGCATCATCAAGTCCAGCGCCAGCGACAGCGCCGGCTGCCACGTCTGCTTGGCCACCTCCCCCGGCACGAGTGCCAGCACTGTCGGAGGGGGAGGGAGAGCCCTGTAGGGGGTGTGAATAGGTACTTTCATCGCGTCGTCCAGCAGGTATAAGTTTCGAGCGTTTTCATGGAGAATACACGCCATCATTGCTAGCATCTGGATATTGCCCTGTTGTTCATAGTAAGTGAAGAGTTCTTTAACTAACCACGAGTGGCCAAACGGGTGGTGGCCCCAAAAGAACATCGGTGGCTTCTGTGAGTAGACTCGTCCTTCAGAGTCCCACTGGTTTTGTGTGGATTGTCCGTAAGGTCCCACCAGTTCAAACGCCCCGAACGTGTCGACATTTTTAATGAGCGTCATCTCTAAGATTCTCCACGTGTGAGCAATATCGGTTAAACCATACTTGGTGGCAACCTCACCGTTGTGACGTGCAAGTCTCTCAGGAGTATCGCCTAAGATACGGTACTCGTAGCCCAAATCGACTTTGGCCTGCATCAAGTGGCTATAGTCAAATATACCGACAATATTCAAGTTCTTCTTATGCTTTTGTAAACGTCTCACCAGCAGCTGGTTATTGGCAGTGCCGCCTCCGACCAGTTTTCCTGGACGTTTATGGCTCAGCAGGCCTCCATACTCGTTGCCGAGCCCCACCACCGTTTTAAATAAAGCAGGAACACGGGCTCTCAGCGGAGCATCACCGGCGATCAAGGCATCCCATTCTTCTTGGAAACTATCATCATCACTAGAACTACCGTCGTCAGCCCGAGAGAAGTCCAGATCGTCGGAAGTATCGTTTTCACTGACGGGGGCAGTGGCGGTTTGGCCGTCGTCGGCTCCCAGTTCGGCAAAATGGAATATATCCAATTTCTTGGGACGGTCTTCGGTGGGGACAAAGAAACACACAAGTTGACCGGTAGGAGTCCAGGTAGCACCACACCCCTTGGGGACTGGAGTCAGGTCAAAGAAATTGACGTTTTGTGACGGTGGTTCGGCAAACTCAATGACGCCATCGTCAAAGTCATCAACCACACTAGGTGGATTATCTTCGTCTTCATCGTCAGATACCACCATCAGAAGACTACTTCTGTCGCTAGCAATCTCTTCAATCGCTTCGAGGGTTCCGTCTTGGGTCTCACCCATGGCTGCTGCAAGTGCCTCATCATCCAATTCAATCTTTTCCCCCATAAGCATACGTAAACACGGTTCGAGACAAAATTTCTGGTGCTTATTCGAGTAGAATTGAGCGATTTCGTCGAGTTGGGACTCGATGGTGGTGATGGCAGCAGCATCAAGTTCGTGGGTTTCTTCAAGTTTAAACCGTACCAAATTGCGTCGTTTCTTTGAGGTGGCGGAAAGGAATGGGTACAGTGATGGGAAATCAATTTGGAGTCTCATAAACACAAGATTTACTGAATCTGACCCTCCTCCCAGCAGCGACGTTAACGCTTGTGGAGCCGAATCATCAGCTTTACCTGTCAGTTTGCCAGCACTAGTCACCGTGCCTGTTTCGTCTTCATTAGTTAATGAGTAATCAGCCGGTTCAGGTACTTTTTCCTCCTTAGTTACTTCGGGACGAACCCCACGGAACGACACCACAATCTCACCAGTGGACACCGAAATCTTTTCAAACCGTACTTTAGGGAATTTGCGACCAACAATCGATACTTCTTCACCCAAATTGGTAGGATAACCATCGGCATCGACGCGTTTCCCTCCCAAACGAACCCCCAGAATCCAGTCCAAATGGTCAACATTACCCAAACGGGCCTGGTCTTTCTTGGCGGCATTAATCTCCACTAATGCTAACGACAGTAACGTGTCGCCACAGGTGACGCTGCGCATATCGTCGATGGTCACCGGTGGCTCGTAAAGGTAAGTGTGGTAATCATACACCACTTCTTCATCGGAACTATCATCCAATACGGGGACGAAACCCGGGTTATAGTTCACTTTGGAGTATAGGTCGCCCAGGACGTCGTCGTTGCTCCAGAGCTTCAAGTCGTAATCGTGTGACAGCCATGTGACCAACTGGTAGTCCTTACTGGGGTACAGAGTGCCGTCCAGGTAGTGTTGATGACGCTGTCGCCAGAGGAAGTCCTTAATGCCGCCAGTATGACCTTCAAATTGGTGGACTTCAACTTCGGAAAGCGGGATAGCGTCGCCTTCTTCAGGAGCAGTAGACGATGCCAGCAGGAGATTAGCAATGTGGATAGCGTTATTTCCCCCTCTAAGAGGCATAATTCCAAAACATGAATCAGAGCCAAACGGTAACCAACGCGCTTTGGCCACGGGGAACTCACAATCGACGACGACTTGTGGAGTAACTCGAGTGGTCACTCCCCGATTAGTGTTTGCAGCGGAAAAGTAATCAAACTTATCGATATACAGCTGAGCTTGGGGGGTTGTCAAATCCCATACTTTCACTTTATTATCATTGGACAGCGTGATAATCTGGGAGAGGCCACGACTAAAATCAAGCCCGTTGATTTTCCCGGCGTGAGCCCCTCTAATTTTCACCATAGGCAACGCTCCTTTTCTCGTATCCCATAGGTAGAAACTGTGGTCGTGACAAGTGGCAATTTGGTACTGGTTATGGTGATTCCACTTAACCTGGGTGGCACCGGCACGCCACTCGGCCCACTTCATGGCGGGAGTTCTGGGGGCTCTCATGTCCCAGGCAAGGGCAAACGTGTCTACCGAACACGTAGCGAGTAATTCAGGATCGCCAGGGTGGAAATTGATATCGGTAATCGCCCGAGTGTGGCCATGAAGAACATGGGCGATGGCATTGGCCAGCGGCCGGTTGAGATCCCAAAGCAACGCCCGTTGGTTCAGGGTCAGGATCACCCACAGCGGTTTGACAGTATGGTGGGGCAGCCACTGGACGTCGGCGACCTCCCACAGGGTGATATGGTGGAGCCAGCGAGGCGCGGTGAACGGGTCGTCCAAGTCGATGATGAAGAGGCCCCGGCGACCGGCGAGGACGGCGTCGCGCCCGTTGGGGTTGAGCGACATGGCGCCAATGGCACCATCGACCCGGAGACTGAGCGAGTTGCCGAAGGTGGACAGGGCCGATGGCATGGATAGTCGCGCGAAGTCAAAACGAGTTGGTAGTCAATAAGTCAAAAACGGTGAGAATTAAATAATGATGAGATTCGATTAAAGCGAACGTGTTTTAGTTTTGGAATGAGTTTACAAGGGATGATCATTTTTTATATTGGTAAACTTCACAATCAAGGGTAAAGTGTGTGGGGTATACGGGCTTGGTGCGAACACATGGTATGGGTATATATACCGTAGACATGATGATCGATAATACGGGGAAATTTTAAGTTATGTATGAGGATGATGGTAATGATTAAGAATAAACCTGAAATGGTTGACTCAAAACTCGTTGTTTCCAATCATCCACAAAGATGACTACTTCTGTTTTTGCACCCTCGCTGGGGATAGCTTTTTTCATCAGATAAACCCGAAATAGTGATCAAATTGATAAAACAGAAAAATCAGTTAAATTTCAAAAATAGAGCTTAATTAGGGCGAGGACATCAAAGTAACATCAACGGTTGTAAATTAGTCCAATCTATTACAATAATGCCAAACAAACGTTTAGATTACGTACCTCACGTCGCATGGTTGCAAATTTATAGTTATGCATCCAGGAATTCTCGTGAAATGTATTCTCCATGAGCTTAATAATCCAAGGCCGAAAATGTAGTCCTTGCCAGGACCGCGATTGCTGTTCCTATACTCAAATTCAATATGGAAATCATTAGCAATAGGGCTAACTCCAAAGTGGTACAAAATCAAAAAGTGTAGAAAAGTCGAATCGAACCACCACTTGAGGAAACAACTACAATCCTTCACTTTTGGTTCAATTACGTTTGTTTCCCCTTTTTTCGGTGACATCTTAGTTTCGATCGATCGCAATGTGTCAAAAAAAATCTCTCAAATCGTACCGTGGAGTATGACCCCACAAATGGGGCCTTAACGCACAGAATGCGGTAATTAACGCAGATTACAACGAGGATTATTACTCCCCGAGAAAGACAAGAAAGAGCAGATTGAAATGATCATAGGATCGGCTAGTATTAATGCTGGGTAGGGCAATTTTGTGCTTCCCCTCAATTCGGCAATCTGCTCCTGACCGAGCACTATGGCTCCCAACTAAGCTATAAATAGAGGCAAACTTAGTAAACAAGGGCTAGGCACTTGCCCAGGCAACTGTCTCAACCGTTACCGACCCCCTCCGAGCCAATACAACGACGATATATGGCATACCGTCGTCATCCTTCTCCTCTCATCAACTGTCGCACTCCGAGGTCCCGGGACCCCGGACGAGCGAGAACCAATCACTGACGGGGTATTAATAAATCGCGCCAGGTGCAGGACGGCGCACCCGCTATATTTCAGAGAAAATCTTTCGCCACGGGCGCCCTCTAGCAACACCTCTCGCTCGACCAACTCACCTCCGTATGTTGTCCAGAGTCAGACAGTTTTCCACGTCCCGCCGGGTCTTGCAGACCATCGGGGACATCAAGGGTAAGGATGTCAACGCCGCCAAGTACATGGGGCAGAAGTACCACGTGATCGACCACGAATACGACTGTGTCGTCGTCGGTGCCGGTGGTGCCGGTTTGCGGGCCGCCTTCGGCTTGGCTCAAGACGGGTTCAAGACGGCGTGTATCTCCAAGTTGTTCCCCACCAGATCCCACACCGTCGCCGCCCAGGGGGGGATCAACGCCGCCCTCGGCAACATGCACAAGGACGACTGGCACTGGCACATGTACGACACCGTCAAGGGTTCCGACTGGCTTGGTGACCAAGACGCCATCCACTACATGACCAAGGAAGCCCCCGACTCCATCTACGAATTGGAACGTTACGGGGTCCCCTTCTCGAGAAACGACGAAGGCAGAATCTACCAGAGAGCCTTTGGTGGTCAATCGAAGGAGTACGGTAAGGGCGGCCAAGCCTACAGAACCTGTGCCGTCGCCGACAGAACCGGGCACGCGTTGTTGCACACGTTGTACGGGCAATCGCTCAGATACGACACCCACTTCTTCATCGAATTCTTCGCCACCGACTTGTTGATGGAGAACGGCGAGTGTGTCGGGGTCATCGCCTACAACCAGGAAGACGGGACCATCCACAGATTCCGCGCCCACAAGACGGTGTTGGCCACCGGTGGGTACGGGCGTGCGTACTTCTCGTGCACCTCGGCCCACACCTGTACTGGTGACGGGTACGCCATGGCGTCGAGAGCCGGGCTCCCGCTTGAAGACATGGAGTTCGTCCAGTTCCACCCCTCGGGTATCTACGGTTCCGGGTGCTTGATCACTGAAGGGGCTAGAGGTGAAGGTGGGTTCCTCGTCAACTCGGAGGGTGAAAGATTCATGGAAAGATACGCCCCCTCGGCCAAGGACTTGGCGTCGAGAGACGTGGTGTCGCGGGCCATCACCATGGAAATCAACGAAGGCAGAGGTGTCGGTCCCGAAAAGGACCACATGTACTTGCAATTGTCGCACATCCCCGCCAACGTGCTTAAGGAAAGATTGCCCGGTATCTCGGAAACCGCCCACATCTTCGCCGGGGTCGACGTCACCAAGGAACCCATCCCCATTTTGCCCACTGTCCACTACAACATGGGTGGTATCCCCACCAAGTGGACCGGTGAAGTGATCAAGAAGAACGAAAAGGGCGAAGACGAAGTTGTGCCCGGTTTGTTGGCCTGTGGTGAAGTCGCCTGTGCCTCGGTGCACGGTGCCAACAGATTGGGGGCCAACTCGTTGTTGGACTTGGTGGTGTTCGGCAGAGCCGTTTCCCACACCATCAGAGACCAATTGACCCCCGGTACCCCGCTCAAGCCGGTGTCGAAGGACATTGGTATCGAATCGATCGTCAACCTCGACAAGATCAGAAACGCCGACGGCAACAAGCTGACCGCCGAGATCAGATTGGCGATGCAAAAGACCATGCAAAAGGGGTGTGCCGTGTTCAGAACCCAGGAAACTTTGGACAAGTGTGTCGAGGAAATCAACGCCGTCGACGAATCGTTCAAGCACGTCAAGACCACCGACAGACTGATGATCTGGAACTCGGACATGGTCGAAACCTTGGAATTGCAGAACTTGTTGACCTGTGCCACCCAGACCGCCGCTTCCGCCGCCGCCAGAACCGAGTCGAGAGGTGCCCACGCCAGAGACGACTACCCCGAAAGAGACGACGTCAACTGGATGAAGCACACCTTGTCGTACCAGTCGGAATTCGGTGGCCCCGTCAAGTTGGACTACAGAGACACCATCAAGACCACTCTCGATGAAAACGACTGTAAGCCCGTCCCCCCTGCCAAGAGAGTGTACTAAGGAGGAGTATTTATTGTAATTAGCAAATTCACGCATTAGAAATTAATCTCCAACCCCCCGCAGCAGTCGGCAATTTCCGACGGCTAGGCAAACCGGTAAAAATTTGGTACTCGTATCGGTGATTGCCGAATCCACTGCAGAATGTAAACTCTTGCAGATATGATTGATCTGACATTAATCTAGGTTCTTTGAACATACTGTCGTTAGTCAATTGTGAGGTCTTTGGGTTGAAAACTGAAAGCCTCATGCGTAGATCAAAACACGAAGCTTTAAGTAATTGGTGTTGTGCTGTGATATACGGTTACTTTTATAAGTAGCCCTTTTCCTTAAATTTCGACGCATCTCGTGGTGCTGCTTAGTGAAATAGAGAGGGTTCCTCTTGATGCGAAGTTCTCTTCACTTCAGTCTTTGACAATGACTTCGATTCAAGTTTTCATCATTGAGAGGTTTCTTTTACAGGTTTCTTTCGCTACATGTCCTCGATGCCTAGGAATATAGAATAGTTTCAACTCCTTACTGCTCGCTATAAGTGCAAAACCCACTTGCCTTGAGGCAATTGACTTGATTTGTATACGTGTGATGTCTCATTCGGGCTATATACAATTCGATTAATGCTTCTTCTTGCCCTTCTTCTTGTTGGTGGTCAGCCAGCCGTCTTCGTCGACCGTTTGAACCTTATCGGCACTCTGAGCAATGGCGGCGGCCCATTCCACTTCGTCCAGCATGCCGATCTTAGCATCGACTCTTCCCCTACGCTTGAGGAACTCTTGAGCAAACCGGCGCCCGTCAACGGTAGCCAGCGACGCGTACATCGTCTCGGCAATCAACGCCTGCGAGTCGGGCAGCGACGTCAGCAACGTACAGAACATCGCCAAGAGCTCTTCCTTCAGAACCAGCGGGTACAACCCCGCCATCTGGCTGCGGGCCCACACCATAAACTCTTCTCTCGTCGCCAGGTTCAGCGTCAGCAGCACCGGCTTGGGCGCAGCCGAGACCATCCGCAACACTTGAGGGCTAGGCATCAGCGACGGCTGGTTGGTGATGGCTGGCGCTTGCGGCACTGCCGGTTTCTTAGTGGCGGGTTTCTTCAGTGCCACCGTGGTCCACGCCAGGTCGGGGATCGCCAGCAGCGCTGCCGCTGCCGCCAGAGCAAACAGCGGCACCAGCGATAACGAGGCGGCCTTTTGAGCTGCCCGCTTTTGTGCGGCGAGCTCAGCTTCTTCGCGTTGGATTTCGGCAAGGGTTTTAGCGGGAGGCTGTTGAGCCACGGGAGCGGTGCCCCAGCCGCCTTTACTGGCGAAATCGATGTTGGCTTGAGTGTCAGGGACACGGGCTTTAGCCTCAGCCGCGGCCCACGCTCTCTGGGCCTGTTCGGCGCGGATTTGCAGTTCCTGTTGCTTTTGCTTCGACTGCTTTTCCGCTTCCAATTGTTGAATTTCCTTCAAAGTAAGCACGGGTTTCTGAGGGGCTTGAGGAGCCGTCAGCCACGGGCACGCTGCCCCCAGTTCTGCCTCGGTCTTGGTGGTATCCTTAGGCTTGATTAATTCATCAAGTTGAAGCTTTTGCGGCTTAGGAGCCGGTTCCTTGGGTGTCACAACTTCCTTCAGTTTAGCAGTAGACTTAGCAGCTTCTTCCTTAGGCTGTTCGGACTTGCGCTTCAGCTTTTTAGCGGTGGCAGTGTCCACAGATGCTGGGGTTTCCACGGGAACCACAGGAGCCACCGGTGCAGCAACAGGTTCCGGTTGAGCATACTGTTGAGTAGCAGTGGTGGTGGGAGCGGCAGTGGTAGTCACGGGCGAGGGCGAGGGCGAGGCCACCAGGATCGAGGCACTAGCGCCACTGGACGCTACTCTGGGTGACGGGGTCAGTCTCACATCCTCACGTTCCTTACGAAGCGACTGTTGTTGTAATGATTGGTGCAATTGCTGTGCCTGTTGCTGTAACGTCGGTGCCGGACCTCCAAACAACTTATGGTCGTCATCGTTAAGCACGGAAGCAACACCAAAGTTATCAAGCACGTCGGTAGAGGGGGCAGCGACGTCGTCGCCGTTCATAAACGGCAGGTTCACCCGCAGCGACAGCGAGTTTGTAACACCCCAGGGGCTGGCGTTATTGAAATCAAGCCACGAACTGGAGGTACGCGAAAGGAACGCCGGTGCCGTAGCTGTGGGCTGAGGAGCAAACGGTTGCGGGTTAACCAATGGTTGTTGGAAAGACGCCAGTCCCAATTGAGAGGCAAATAGACCTCCTCCCGTGGGGGGTGCTAACGGTGCTGAGCCAAGAGCACCACCAGCAGCTCCAAGCAGCGGCAGGGCTAGACTTGCCAGTGCCATTAGCGGCAGCTGGTGGTATAGAGGCGTTGCCTGCTGCGTTAGTGGTGAGTTTAACGGTGATGCCGGTGACGGAGCAAACGGGTCGTAAAGACCTCTAAGCAACGAGAAATCCTTTTTCGCCGTTCCCCCGGCAGCAGAGATACCACCGGTGGGCGCCTGATTAAGATCAGCGGTTAACGGAGAGGCAAGCGGGGGTGCTGGTGGCGGCGCTGCCGGGGCCACCGCCGGCGCCGTATTCGCCGCCAATGGCACCAGGAACGGGGCACTGAAGTTGCCTGTGGCCTGGCACAAGTCCTGGATCGTCATGTAGGCGGTATCCTCCTTGCGGCGGATATTAAGGTCTAGATTCAAAAACCCTCCTGCCCACCATTCCGCCATCATATCCCCCGAAAACGGACCCTGTTCGACTTTATTGTGGTCGATATAGTGCCACTGGATCATTGACGGCGGTACGAGAGCACTGGCAGTGGTGGCGGGCGCGGGAGCCGGCGCTGGTGGCGAATTAAGCGAGAGACCACTGAGCGAATCGGCCACCAGAGCGTCGTGCGGGGTCGCCCCCAGCTTGTGTGACTCGTGCGGGTGTAGCTCGACATGGTAGATTGGCTGTGGATGGTCGGGCTGCTTGTATTTCTCGCGGGGGTCGCCTTCGAGAGTGGTGTTCAAGATGTCCTGCGCGGACTTATTCCATACTGAAAACACCTCGGCGAGCGAGTAGCGCTGGGAAGTATTGGCGGGGATCGTCATTAGCACGGTGAGGATTGTTAGTTAAAAAGGAACAGGTTTGGCTAAACGGTAATCGGCGCAAACAGGCGATGGAAATGAGGGATGCTGGGTGGGTGAACCGGTGGGAGGAAATCTTTCGCTATTGAAAAAAAATGTCGATGAGGGTGCGGCAACTCACAGGGCTGACAATAACAATGAGGCAGCGAGAGAAAAGGAGGGCAGGAATTGAGAGGGAATAAATTGATAATGAGGAAAGAAATAGGATTTTTAGTAGCAATTGGTCACCTTTATTTTACTTCCAGAAAGGGGAGGTTGGATAAATTTTTTTTTTTGGGAAGGATCACCGACTAAATGGCTTGATTGGCAACAAGAGCAACTTGTAAAATGCACCAATTAGCACCAGAGTCATCAAGTAATCCTCGTGTGACCAGGATCAAAATGGTAGTCGACCATCAACGCTTGTAAAGTTAATAGAGGGAGCGTTATCATTATTCATTATTACATGCCCATCTTCTTCTCCATGGCGGTGTGGAAACCAGCCAACAGCGACTGCGCCGGGTAGACATCCTCCCAGTCGATCTCGGCGTCTTTGCCCAACACCACGTCCCGGTGGAGGTTGGTGGTGGACAACGGGGTGAACTCGTTGTCGATGATGGCCAATTCCATCTGGTGCTTGATGGGGACACCGGCACCGAACACACGCCGGTACATTTCCATCTTCGTGTCGCGCTGGGTCTGGTCCCAGTTGGCGACTCTTTGTTCCAACGGGTGGCGGTTGTTGATGGCCAGAGCCACGTTCAACGGGCCTTGGCCGGTACGTAAGGTATCGGGTAACGTGGGGACGGCCTCGGAGGGGACGCCAAACGCATCACTGGCCACCTGGTCCCGGTGGTCGCTGGCGGGGACAATCTGGAAAGTCATGGTTACGTCGGTGGCAAACGCGCGCGAACTTGAAGGCCTTGGTTCAACGGCTTCGAGAAATTGATCAGATTAAATTCAAGAGAAAGTAAAAAGTAGACTGTTATTTTCGTTTCATTTGGCAGCAATTGCATTATCCGCAGTTTGCTCTCATCATTGAAGTGAATATCCGACTATCTTAATTGAAAATAGAAGTCTTGCGACATAATCAATATCTTGACAAGAGTAGGGTCTAAGAACTTGGAGTAGTCTCTAGTCTATAACATCATATTCAGTCTGTTTGAACTATACTGTTGTCAGTTAAGATCACCAACAGATCGTAGTAAAGTCGTGCTTTGTATGCCTTACCAAGTGCTCTATGAAATCTATTTTTAAAAGTAGAGAATGACTTTTTGTTTGCCTCGGGTATCGACTTCGGACGATTTTTCATACATCTCGTTGTCAGCGGTCAAAAAGTATTCCTTTAGCGGCCGGTTATCGGGGTACTTGTAGTAGTCGTCGTTCTTCTCGGATAAGTCTTCCGATAACGGGAGCGGTGGTGGTAGATGAGTAGCGTCACCGCCGCCGCCCGCTCCAGGGTAGGGAGCCGGCATCGAGTCCATCATCGCTCCGTAGGGAGGGCTACCGGGTCCGATACCGCCTCCTTCCACCGCCTGCGACGGAAGAGGCTGTTCGGGAAGCTCATTCAACGGCTGGTACTGAGCCTTAGACGGGTTCAATAAATCAAGCTTAGCCACGTATAATGTTGTCAAATACATCACCAAATTAATCATCCACAAGAAAGTACAGATAATGACAAACAGCGTCAATGCTCGCCGCATGGGACAGATGTTGGAAACACAGTCGTGGACGGGATTGACCACTGCCACCACCACCACAAACAGAGCTATTTTGAGTAAAGTAGCGACAATGGTATAGAATACGCCATTTCTCGACTCATAGTTGATTGCTCGCGTAAGGAATAAAATGGAGATGGCCAACGTGATTGTCAGGTCGGCAAGCACATACTGATAATACCCTTTAGCAATTGAGTCGTCGCGATCGAGTAAAATCGCCAGAATCGTCGTCAGAATAATGCAACATATCACTTCAAAAATGTGAATCACGCCAAGCCCCAGGATCAGGTACTCGGTATCTACCATTTGTTCCTGGTCCACTTGCCGTCGCTGGTGGACGATAAACGACAGATTCATCACTTGTTTCACTAAATCCTGTTTTCTTGGGTCATATTTGCGGTTTCTCCTGAGTGGCGGAATGTAGCCGGCAGTGGTGTCGGCAGGCGCGTTTTCCAGTAGTTGGCTGGGTTCCGTCATCGCCGGGAGATCGTCGGAATTGCGCGCTGCCGACGCCGGAAGCAGCGGGTTCTCCAACGGATGGCGACTATTATACGGTGTCGGGTGCTTCGACTCCAGCTGGTGTCTCAGCGGTGTCGTATTCAGCCCCGGAGCCATCGGTGGCATGTGTTGGAAACGGCTGTCTTTCGTTGGCGGTGTGGGAGGGCCTCTGTTAGTGTCAGTGGGATAAGGTCTGTCGCCGCCGGACGGTCGTCGTTGTTGGTGAGTGCCTTGCAGAACATAGTAGTGGTAGTCAGGGTCGAGACGGGACGTCACTGGCGGCGGTGCTGGGGCCAGGGGATGGGCCAGGGGCGGCTGGGGTTCTCGGGAATACGCCGGAGTGGTACTTCGAGGAAGCACGGTGTCGTGATGGAAACGAGCCTCGTCGGCATACACCTGCTGGTAGTCCATCGCGAGACGAGTACGGGGGCAGTGGTGTCGAGATGGGTGGAGTTAATCTGGCGCTGGTTTATCATTCGACTAAGCGGGTTAGTATTAAGGGAGGGGGGCACTGGAGTACTGCATATACCTGCGCGCAGCCTCGCACAAAAAGGCTGGCCCATTTGCAACCAGCCCCCTCGGTTACCGACATCGATGGACGATTAGAAACATTAAATGGGCAATTGAGGAGGCCAGAATTGTAGTTTTAAAAGTGGCCTTGATCAATTCGTTCATTAGATTCTTCTATCATAGGCTTAATTCATTGAAATCGAGTAATACCTAAATGTGGGGAGGCGTGGCTGGTAAATCGTCCCCTTGCGTGGTGGTAGTGCATATAGTGCTATACGAAATATCAGTCGACTTTTTAAATCCCAAAGCCGTTTAGGGCGGCTAACTCGTCTAAACTGTGGCTGTAGGTAGTATTTGAGGCAGTCAAAGGTTTTGGCTCGAACTAACGAACAACCTTTGCTTCTAGTGATTGTTCATCTCTAGTAATGTCAATCTTTATAGAGCGTATTCTATAGCTCTTGACTACTAACTTCAATATCTTGGTATTCTACGCCAGTTTATAGTTTGTCTAGTTGTAATTCACAACTTTGGGGAGGCCACGACCACGTCTTGATGCGATGGGAGCAATTGCCAGAGTCGATGGACCAGCGATGGCACCCTCGGTTGAACGCGATGGCGCCAGCAATATTCAATTAACCCCACCGGCAACGCGATCGAAAGCTCGGGAAGCTTATGGAGGCGTTCGTGTGCGGGCTGCCCCACCCACACCGGTGCCCGCACCTCGGCGTTGGAGCTGATAAGCCCGATAAACTCATGGTCAGCGGAGAACAAACCACCTCCTGACAGCCCGTTCCAGCAGCGAGCACTGGTGACCATCATCGCATCGATATCGTCAATGGTATACACGGTATTGACGATGCCCTGGCTGACTAAAGGTGCCGTTTGATGGGTAGAGTATACTAGGCCAAACAGAAGCGAGTATACCGGTTGACCCCGAGTGGTTTCAGTAGTGCTGGTTGTAATGGGAGTCCAGGGAGCGACGATGGCTCGGTTTCGAGGACTGAGGATGATAAACAGGAGGTCTAGTTCAGGGTCAGGAGTAATGATTTCATCGTCATCGTCAAGGCGAATAAATTGATGTGATGGTATCAACGCCACTTTAGCTTCAATGCGACGGTTTAAGGCATAGTCTTTGATCACGTGTTGGTTGGTAACGAGTACTCCTTCCTGCCAAAGTACACACAGCCCCCACCGGGTAGCGCCATCAGTAACCATTAATGCAAACACCAGACGTGGATACGGTAACGGAGGAATGGTCAGTTTTTCCGTAGGGAAGTTTCTTGGTAAATGGAGTTGGCCTTGGAGCCGTGAGAGTACTCGCCAGATGGTGGGCCACAGTACCACCCAAAGCAAGTCGCCGTCGCCGTTAGCCTTACACAACTGGCCCATGACTAATCCGTGAGAAAGTTCAGGGTTACCGGTAGCGGAGACTAGAGCACCACTCATATTTTCAAGGTATTTGACATCAGTTAAATACCCCACGGGAAAGCGTGGCTTACCGGTAGACACCGACCTCAGTCCCACCACAAAGCTTAAATGACCTTTAGATAAGAAATCACCGAAGAGTACCGCATTGGTAAAGTTAAATGGGAACGAACGGATACTGATGCCATCACCGACGTGAGCATCCATGGCGAACCGAATCGGCTTTGGAGTAGCGTTCCCAGTTAAATTAAGCATTAACCGAGGCGATTTGGTCTTGATCACCACCACTTTAAGCTCGTCATCGCTTTCACTAACCGTCTGACTGGGATTTAGGTAAAAACCGTGTTGACGGAAAAAGTCCAAAAACCCCTTAAGGCGTACATCGTCAGTCAACGGCACTCGAGCTACCACCAGCGCTGGGAACCATTCCACCGCCAGCGTGCCGTATTGCCTGGTCAGAGTCACCACACAGCCATCGTAAGCGGTATCGTCAACGTGGCTAATCAGCACGATATAGTCACACGCCACCACTGCCGTTTCCGGGTGGCTAAGCGTGAGGCGAGCTCCCGATAGCCCCACCGGCACGTCGCCATTGAACCGGATCGCCACGGGACACAGGTACCATTGGAAGTCGTGGTGGTCGTCCATGGCGAGTGTGGGGTGCGTGCGGCTCACGGTAATGTCCGCAGACCTTTCGACTCGATAGACAATCAAATGCGGGGCAATCATCGACTAGTGTGACTGATCACAGATTGACACCGTCAGAGACGTTGTAAGAGAAGTCCGTGAGCGCACTTGCTCAGGCCGATTTCATAGTAACTACCGTGACGGGTTGTGGAAATGAGGGACAGTCAATTTGTCAACGGTTAATTCAATTGAATTTCAATGGAGAGCTCGAATAGATGTCATTCAAAAATCTGTCGTTGAATCTCATTGGATTGTTTACTTCAGATGAGGCTTCCTTGGCCTATCGTACGGTATGGCTAAGACAATATTTCTGATTAGTAGCCATCACCAACGCGGGGAGGGAACTGAAACGACGATATGAAACACCTGATGAAACAAAGAAAACAGATTCGATCCACGTACTACTCCTCCAGAATTATCAATATCTCAATTTACGCCGTCGTCTCGCCGCTCCCAGTCTTTAAAAGTCTGAAAATTATCAATATTCATCTACTATCCCCAGGGGCAGATGCCCGCACTTCCCGGATCCGGTAAAGACGCGTCCTCCCACCAAGGCGGCTTAGTGAGGAAGAATTGACGAGAAAACCACCCCAGGCAACCGCAGGCATCCACAAGCGTCGCTGACCAATTCTGATTGAAGCGTTTCTCGGTTTAGCCAACGCAGGTGGGCGCCCGTCGCTTGTGGAATGGCTCTTACACTTTCTTCAAAATTTTGTTTACGCGCGGTGGCCCGCCTCAGGGTAGCCTACTAGTCTAGGCCAAATGCGCCGTTTTCGGTAACCGGCGTGCGTCGCAGCACGCGCGTGCGGATGCCTTGCCGATGACAGGCGTGAGAGATATCAACAAGCAAAAAACCCCTTTTTCGATATTTCTCACGCCATGGAGGTTGCCTCGTCCACAGCCATGGTCGCCGACGAGTGGACGGTGAACCAGCAGAAGACGCTTATCCGGTGGGTGAACCTGAAGTTGGCGTTGGCGACCGATCAGAACATGCCCCAAGTGACTCCCAAAGTGAGTGTGGCTGACATTGGGGATTTCAGCGATGGGCTCGTGCTCAATAAGCTTACGAACCAGTTGGTGTGGGAGGCTAATCAAGTGAAAGAGGATCCTGATTTGCACTACCTCGCCCCGATGAATAACCGCCCCAATTTTAAGATCCAGAAGATTGAGAATTTAAATGATTACATTGCTTATGTGCAGAAAGTGCTTAAAGTGCCTGGGCTAACGATCCTGGCCGAGAATATCTTCAACGGTGACGTGAAACCGGTGGTGGGTTTACTCTGGAATCTCTACCATTTTAATCACCAAAGAAAGACGTGGACGACGTTGAAATTGGAGATGCTCGCGTGGGTAAACCATGTTTTGAAACCAGTAAAGCTTCAAGTGAATAACTTTGCTAAGGAGTGGAGTATCGATGGTGGGCGTCCCCATGTGTTTCTCGAAGCGATCTTCGAACGGTTTGTTGACTTACCGTCATTACCAGACTCTCCTACGGAGAAGATTGACGCTCTCATTGAATTTGGTGGGACTGAACTTGGTATTCCTCCGTTACTGGACCTGAGTGATTTCACTCTGAAAACCCCGGATGAAAAATGCATCCTTCCTTATATTATTGAATTGCACCGATACTTCCACCCATTATTTAAAGCTGGGAAAGTGAAGGCAGCCCCAGCAACCCACGGTGCCGCGTTGCCTAAACCTAAGCCGACCGAGCCTGTGAAGGAAGCTGTGCCATCAGAGCCCATAGAGAAGGACGAAGAAGAAGAGGCTGAGGCTGAAGACGACTCGGAATTTGATTTCCATTCAGTCAACGACTTGGTATACGTCATTCTCACTACGCATAAGCTTCGGACCAAGTACGAGGCTAACGCTAATAAGTTCGTCGAAAAGGCGGCGGTGGCCAAACAACTGCTTGTACCGGAGTTTGCCGATATCACCAGTGAACTTAATCTGCTGGTGCTCAATTTGGAAACCAATAATAGCCTGATTGGCAAGTTTGACCTGACATTAAAGCTTACAATCATGCCGGCATTAACCCAGATGAACCATATGATTGAAGTTTATAAACAGCTGGTGACAAAGACCCGAAAGGCGTTGGCCAAGGACCACAGTGACCTCGGCTTGATTGAGGCTTCCATTAACCAATACTTATCGTTGATTGACCCTTCCTTACACTATTTCCCACAAAACCCAATGTTGGCGTACCCTAACCTATTTTGTCTGATCCTCGACGTCTACACCGCTGAGTACCAGTTGGCTTACTACTGTAAACAGGTGATTGATAAGTTACAGTTGTGTAAACTAGACAACGTGATGGAGACATTGGAGGCGGCCGTCACCAACGACAGAAACGAAAAGCAGGCGATATTGGACTGTTTGCAACAGTTTGAACAATTATTAACGCTTTGGGAAGGGTTTAAAGTGTTTTACCGTCGATTTAACCTTGAACAACTTGAGCCGGAAGTACCTGAATTCATCATACCCGAGGTTCCTGCCCCAGTGTTTACCATTGACCCCGAATTATACCCCACGTTTAAAGCCGCTATAAGTAAAGCTAGCGGCCACCAATCGCTTGCTGACGTGACCAAATTCCTCAAAGAACTTAAGGTGGACCCTGAACACATTGACGAGCTCGTCAAGATTCTCCCCGGGACGATTGACGATGCGTCTCAGGATGCCGACTTTAAGCTTGCCCTGCTGCTGGCGAGCCTGTCGTCGTTGTTGCTGGACAATGACGACGACACGTTGTTTGAGAATAACCAACCTCAAGTCGACCCTTTAACGAATAAAGTGTTTGACGTCCCCACCTTGATCGAAAAGATCGAGCTCGGGTTCTCCATTTAGCATACCCCCAATAAACAAGACCGACCTTCTTCAAAGTCAAGCAAAAGCAATTGTAGTTAACAACTTTACTTTCACCTTTTATCCATACGATCTTTATAGCATCTTTTGTACTTTCGTCCTTATATTACTTAAGAATTGCAGTCAATAATATTGAAATAGACATTGGTATCTACCATAAATCTCAAAGAATTTTAGCTCAGCAGGACTTTGGATTTATGGTGGTGTCAACTTCTAAGGCAGGGCTCGGTATGCCCCACACCACTTCTTCGGACGACACAATGCGGTGAAATGGCCGGCGTCGTCAAACTTATCAGTACAAACAACCTTCGTCTTCAATTGCTAGAGAAGTGGACCTGTAGCACCCGACACCAGCTTAGGTTGAACACCAATAAAGATCATGACATATATGCAAATGGATTTCAACTTCTATTTTACTCGTCTCCTTCAATTCCACCAAATTAAGCAGATCAAGACACATTCTGCGTTCAGTCTATGAGAAGTATCAGCATGTTTGAGATAACCAACCACTGCTGGAGGATTCATCCTCCTCAGGAATTTATTTCATATATGTCTTCCAATTTCATACTTGTCTTTCGATAATGATATCCATAAGCTAGTTTGATACAAGTCCTCACACACCTTCAATTTACCATGAAAAAAACCCTGTTAACATGACCTTTCATAGAAAACCAATTCCATCATAAAGCATGTCCCTATTCAATTGCTATCCATTACTTTGATCTCATTTATGATCATTTTCTTAAATCCCTTTATAGGGTGTTGCTTATCAATTATCTCTGCGATCGCGCCCCCGGTCTGTGTTAATGCCCACCCTGGACCGGTTTGACCAGCGCCAGCTCAGCGACACCACCCGCCATGCCCGAGCCAAACCGGTTGCTCCGTCTCCGAAACCGTCGCTGAACCGCATCAGCCACTACCCTGACCGCCCCGTCCACTTTGCCACCGCGGAGAACGTTACCCACCAGCTTTCGCTATACACCGGTTCCTACGGCGCCGTCGCTCAATTCGCCGCCAATGCCACCCATATCCTCGTTGGTTTCAGCCAGGGAACAGTGTTTGGCTTTGATTATCGCCAGCAGCTTCGGTTTAAGCTTGAATCGGCGCATACGGAGTCAGTGGCGGTCACTGCGCTTGCCACCAGCGCCGACGGCGATATGGTCGCCGTGGGCTATGCTAACGGCTACGTGCTAGTATGGCACTTGCCTCTGTTCTCATCTGATAACCAGAGCCCCTGGCACGTGATTGCTCCCACCACATTAAAGCACCGGTTCTCGCAAGCGGCTCTGGGCCACGTCGCCGTGCCCATTGACCAAATAATGTTCCTCCATCATTCACATACTCAGATGGTGTGTACTGATCGTCTGGGGCTCGTGTTTTACCACCATTTGGTGCGTACCAGCTACCTGACACTATTTTCCAGTGAGCGGCAATTTCCTACAATTCTGACAAAAGTGTTTGGCACTAACGATGCTAATCACGTTAATGCTAAGTTTGATATCTTGGCGGCAGCTGTTTTGCCGCTAGGCCTTACTCACCAGATAACTGATGATACGGGAGTCATAGCGATATTGACGCGAACTAAGCTCACGGTGATGCTGGTATTATCGCTAAACATCCCTACTAAAGCTCACATTCGACCCGTGTGGTCAGTGGAAAGGACCGCCGGTCCTGCTTCTCGTGGTAGCGTTGATTGGCTCCCCTGTACGCGTTCTCGCGATACTGCCGATGTGGTTAATGCCCGTTTATGTTATCTGTGGAACGATACGGTGACGGTAGCCGAAGTGAATAACCGTCACATTCCTCCCAACTGGCTGCTGATTCTCCAGGAAGCTAAGGATAAAGATAAAGCACTGCCACCAGTGACGATGACCAAGACGGCTCGGTGGCGAGCCTCTGAAGGGTCGGTGACTATATGTCGATGGATCTCACCTCAATTGCTTTTAGCAGGTACACCGTCTCTGTTTGTTGTCCTTTACTATGATGGAAAGCTTAGGGAAGTTGTTACTCAAGGGATACGCCACGGCCACTCGCAAACGGTATCGCCTACCCCTATATCGCTTCTGCCACTGCCTTCAATCAATAACGCAACCACCAACCAACAAGTGCTGGCGCTTACGGTGTGCAAACAGAGGGTGGTACGGCTTGTCGACAACACGGTGGAGATTGGCTACGTGCTCAATTGGGCCGACTGGATCGGTCAGTTGTTATCGCAGCTGCGATACCACGACGCGTTTACCATTGTACGAGAGCTCTATAACTTAGACGACGATGCCGTGGTCACTTTATTTGGCGTTGAACGCGATTTGGCGACGAGACACCACCAACTTCGTCCGTTTTTGCTTCGTATTCTCGTACTGGATGATCTTGAAGTACCCCTTGAACTGGTGGTGGCGATAGTAGCCGATTTAATGGCCGATGGTGCCGTTACTGAAGGTGAGCAAGTACTTCAACGGTGGTTTGACCGTAGTGAACCCGACTACTTTTTCCCATTAATTGAGCCTTATATTCTTAGTGGAGCGATCACGTCACTTACTCCAGAAGTTCTTCAAGCCCTCGTTCGCTTTTACGTCGTCAATCGTGAAGGGGTACTCCTCACTGAGATTCTCACCAGTGTTGACCTCACCAGCCTCGATATCGACTTGACCATCCAACTAGCCCACGAACACCAATTGGAGGAGTGCCTCGTGTACGTGTGGACGCGGTTATTGCACGACTATACCACTCCTTTACTTCGCTTCTATAAGGAAGCGAAGCCAGGACTGTCCCAGGTGTTCACCTATATGCTGTATATCCTTACCGGACGACAGTACCCCACTGACCAGTTTATTGCTGATCCTGCGGAAGAAGAAGCTGCTAAAAAAGCAGTGGTGGGGGTGGTATTTGCTGACCATTCAGTGGATAATACCAACGAACCCAACGAGGCACTTTTCCCTTATCTCACGCGGTTCTTGCATCTTGATAGCCGGCAAATGCTCCGCACTCTTAACGCGTTCTTTGAGGACTCCTACTCGAATCAAGGTCCGCTTCTGCGCCAGTACGTGGTCGATGCGTTGCTTGATATCTTCGATACCGATACCAAATTTACTGAAAGCGATCGCACTAATTTAGCGATATTTTTAGGAAGAAACTACCCTAAATACTCGCAATTTTTGCGGCTCTCGGAGCTGGCAATGACTAAGGTCGTCGATACTTTAACCAGTAGTGGAGGAGCTGACCCCGATGTCGAGCTTGCCCTCCAGTCGATGCTTTCCGTCTACCACCCAAAGCATACAGAACAGCTTGAAACTCAATTGAAACTGAGTCAATTTTATGGAGTATTAGCCGGTGTATACCGCAGTCAAGGCCACTACGGTAAGGCATTGGAGATGCTGCTTAAATGCCAGCTGGGACCGCAAATGATGGGGCAAATGTTGGAAACTGCATTCATCCATACCCGTCCTCACCCCACTCAACGACTGGCCCTCTGCCATACGATCTCTACCCATTTCCCAGAGCTTGTGGCCACTGATCTCGAGGCGTTGGTGGCGATGGTATCAAAGTATGCCCCTCAGCTTCATGAGCAATTGACACAATTGCTGCCGGAAAAGCAGTACATTTACCTCCAACAGCTTTCGCCGGTACCGCCAGCTTTAGTGGGTGTCTACGTTCGCCTAGCCAGTGAGTTTGACAACGCTAATACCGTATACGAAGTGGTTAAACGCTACCAAGGGAGAATTGAAGCCGATGATGTCACCCCCCAACTACTCAAAGATAACCATCTTGATGCAGTGGCATTGTTAACCGATGACTTTGACCAGTTATTAGCTTTAGTATCCCAAAGCATTGATGACAAAGAAGAGCCAGTGGTGTTTCAACGCGTACTTGGCCACGCTATGAGCCACTGTCACCACCCTGACGAGTGGCTTAAGCTCATCAATCGCTTAGTCGACCATACCCATACCCACCCTGAAGTGGTCAAAGCCATCCACGAGTGTTTCCGTGAGATCAATTCGGTGGATAGCCGTCAGACCATTACTGATCCTGACCAGCCGTCGATGTTCATTACTGTGCTCCAACAATTTTTAGGCCAAACCACTAACGCTCAGCTTGCTAGTGTTCGAGGAGTACTTCAGGAAGTGGTGGTGCTGTACTCGTACGAACTGGAATTGCTGGGTATTTCTCTCCGCATGCTTGGGGCGCTGATTGGCAATAGTCAGCGTATTCTCAGGGCTAACACTCTTAAAGGGATGGTGGTGAAATGTGACCACTGTACCTATTGTACTAAACCCCTTTGGGAGTCTAATAGCCAGTACGTTGCTTGGGAACAGCGTCATCTACGTTCAATTCTACCGGGGCCTGTCACTCAGGAAACGATGGTGGTGACGAGAAACTCGGTGGCGGTGGTATTTGCCTGTGGCCATGGATACCACCAGGGTTGTTCAATAAAGCTTAACGGAGGTAAAGCCAAGCCTCACTGGACTTGTCTCGTCTGTGGCGACGACTCATAACGAATTACGAATAGCATTCACTTCATATATAGATTATTACAAATCAACTTAGAGAGATCAATACGCACTCAGAAGTGAAAATGGAGAAAGATTACGCCAGCAGTGTACCCTCATTTAACAAGATACAATTGATTGGAATGAGGTGGCAATTATAACTGATTCGATTCATTTGAAAATAACTCAATTTGATTGAAGTGGCGAAAGAGATTTATAGACTACTCGGATGACAATTGGTGGTAATTGGCACTACAGAAATCTCACGGGATCATGGTATAATTCACTAGAACACTGGCTCAAACCTCCTGGGACTGAGCCCCCTTTTCGGGCTTACCCGACTTGGCGGGCAACAACGATTGGTGGATGTTCGGCAAGACACCACCTTGAGCAATGGTGACGTGCCCAAGCAACTTGTTCAATTCCTCATCGTTTCTGATGGCCAATTGCAAGTGTCTGGGGATAATTCTCGACTTCTTGTTGTCTCTAGCAGCATTACCGGCCAATTCCAAGATTTCGGCGGTCAAATACTCCAACACGGACGTCAAGTACACGGGGGCGCCCGACCCAATTCTCTGGGCGTAGTTGCCTTTTCTCAACAATCTGTGGACACGACCGACGGGGAACGTTAACCCGGCCTTAGCCGATCTCGACGTGGACGCTTTCTCGGAAGAACCAGCCTTACCTTTGCCTCCGGACATATTTGTGTATATGGAGTGAGACAATCGCTCGATCGCGATTTCAGGGGTTAATGGCAGCACGTGCCCGTGCGAACTTGCCACTCTAACACCGCACGGATAACTCTCTAGCAAATGGAAGATAGGAGATATATGATAAATCAGTGGTAATCAAATTGTTTGTTGATGTTTTGGTTTGTCATAAATAGCCAATGGGATCAAAACTCTATCTGTGTTGAATGGCATCTTTGCTATAAACCTGGTTTGTAACTACTATCAGATAATCCTTTTTTCATAACAAAAATTTCTTTAGTGAGAAAGATCTAGACAAGTTCTACATCTAGGAAAGATTTGATTATTGGAGTCGTTCCCTTTAGTACATGATAAAATGACTGAAGCAAAGCATATTTACAATTATCCCTTAATGAATAGCATTTGCAGAAATGAAATAAAAACTAGTGCCTTTAACATCACAGGAATCAGACTATATCATGTTCCTGATGCCTGGGCTTCGTCATAAGAGTATATGAAAGCCAAAGCTCTACGTCGTGTTTGGTTATCATCTATTAGGAGCGTCTATGGTAGTAAATTAGCGGGGGTCGATGTAGCCAAAGATGAGAAGACAGCACAAAGCATTAACCAAGTGGTGGATCCAGAACGTGTGGCGGACGCCGTAGACGACGCAGTAGCCGATGCAGTAGGCCAAGTAGCCCACCACCACCCGGGTGTACGTGTTCTTGCCAAAGTTGGGGATCGACCCGAGCCGGGTGACGATAAGTATGGGTAAAATCAGCAACAAGTTGTGGTGAGATGAAAACGGCGTCGTCCAGTTGACGGCGATGTTGTGGACAAACACCACCAAGATGGGGATGTTGACGGGTAGTGTCCAGAGCATCACCATGAGCAACGTCATTTGGTAGTGGTAGTTCAGCGCCAGCTCGGTGATGGCGTAGCGGCACACTTTGAGGGCCTGGATGACGACGCAGGCGACGTAGACCACCAGGTAGGGGAGGTAGAACGGCACCAACACGATCATCGTCCCCATGACGATCGTGCGGCGGCGCAGCCACACCAGCGCTGCCACCAGCGGCAGCAGTTTCAGGCGGATTTCCACCTCGGCGAGCGGTTTCGGCTCTTCCGTTGGCGTAGGCATGACCCGGCGGAACCCGCGACGAAGACCCGAGCCAAGGAGCGAGATCACTAATGCCAGCAGGTACACTAGCCCGACACCAATGGTGAAGAACATCGGGCCCAAAAACCACAAAAACGACTCCTCCAACCCGAGGTAGAACGAGTTGAGGCGGTAGTCGCGGCGGAGCAGGAGGTTGATGTCGTTGGGGTCGCGGAGGACCACGGGGTCGATGAGGTCGAGCGCCTCCTGGATCCACAGGACTTTGGTGAGGGGAGTGAGGATGATTAAGGTGACCATCACCGCAATGAGCACGGGGGGAGTCACCAAATAGGCCATCGCCTGGACGAAATCGGGCCAGCGGTGGGTGGTCTGATACACTCTGATCTGGCAGCACATCACCGCCAACAGGATCAGCACGCAGATGGCGACGAGGGCGAGCCGGTAGCGCAACACAAGGAGTCTAAGCGATACCCACCAGTTGACTCTGACATGAACCTCAAGGGCCTCCAGCGGCAGCAGCTGCCAGATCTGGAAGTTGACGCCGTGGTCGGTCTTTTCCGTCACTCGGAAGGGGGTGTAGGGAGCAATGCCATGCTTAGTAATCACTAACGAAGACAAATCGCCGTCGACGTGCCATTTGGTCTCGTAGGGTTCGGTGCCCCATTGACGTACCATCAGCCACAGCGACCCGTGGCGTAGTTTAGGGCGGAAGATGACGTTATAGGCCAAGATCAGCGACCACGCTCCTGGTACTGCCACTTCCAGAACCATCGGTCTATCCGCTGGAAGCGTTATCAGTTGTCCCCAGGCTAACGCCGCAAGCCCTCCGCTGATGGTATAGTGGGGAGGGTTCGACGGGTAGCTCTGGGCTTGAAGCACAGCATCGTCGTCGCTCGGAGTTAAGCGGTCAAACACCACCACCGTGTCCCACTCGGCGAGGGCCAGCAGGTTATACTGGATGGCGAAGTACGGAGAGGTTTCCCCGCCCAACGCTGATGATTTCAACGGATGGTGCGGGTTAGGCACCACGTTATAGTCAAGCAGCACGTCAATACACTGTTGGACGACCGTCGGTTGACGACGAGTAGAGACGTCGTAGTCGGCGCGGGAGGTGTTGGTTGCTCTGCAAAGGAGTACGGAGGGGTTGATGTAGTGGTTGGCAACGAATTCCGGCCATACTGTCGGCGGTACCGAGGTGAGCATGACAAAGTCGGTGTTGTTGGCAACGTCAAACACCGTCACGTGGTGGCCGGGGTGTTGTTCGGCGACCAGGAACTGGGTCGAGGCGTCGATATCGTCGCGTTTGACGTTGAAGGTGTGGTTATAATGGTGGACAAGCTTATCCTGGGTGGCGTAGTCCTCAAAACCTGAGAGTAAATGCTGGCGGAAGATCGACATCCGCTTGTCGAGAGAATAGGTGCGTTGAGGGGCGGAGACGTCGACGATGTCTAGGAGGGCGCGGGCGAGGCGGTGGCGGAGCTGGTCGCACCACACGATGGCCAAATGGTCGATGGGGGACCACACCTCGGTGATACCCGTGGTGTAGGCAGTAAAGCCATTGGTGGCAGGCACCATCGCTGCGAGGGTGGTGTAGTCTGCCGGTAGAGTATCGTCCAACATGCCACCGGTGATGGATATGAGGGAGACGTTGGCGAGACGAGCGTGGGCCACTGACCCGTTGAGGGACTCATCGTAGCCGTCGTACCAGAACCGGTCAATGCTGGAGTATAAGCGGATAAGGTCGCCGTCAAATGTTAACGGGGAAGCGGCGTGGGGACTGGCTAGGGTGACGATAGTATTGATCGACCCCGGAACGTAATTGGGTAATGTGACCATGGCTCTGGCCACCACGCCCCCCATTGAGTGTCCCACAATCACCACCAGTTGCGGCGGGTCGTGGTTATTCAGATAAAGACTCAAAATGAATTTTACCGCCTCATTGAGGTACTCGGCCTGGTCAAGCATGGTGCGGCCGTGGAACGCGGTGAAATCCTCGTTAAAATCGGCGGTGAAAACATCATAATTTCGAGCTTGCGGGTTCGTCTTAGCGTCATGTTGATAGTGCCCGAAATAGGTATCGGCGAGCTTGGCCGCTAGCGACCGCACCTGGCGGAACAGCCCGGCGTTGCCCGGGATAAACAAGAGGGGCACCCCGTCGAGCATGGCGAAGCCTTCGTCGTGTTGCGGGGGCACCGGGTCGACGTCTTCCTCGCGGTACAAGTATAGCAGATACTTCCGGGCGTAGGCGGTGTGGGAGGTGTCGAACGCCACCACTCTCAGGTAGCCCGGGTTCATGTAGGGGACGGTGCACCCCGGGGCGTCCAGCCCCTGGAGCGGTTGCACGTACAGCACGGCGATGAGCGCTGCCAAGAGCATCCCCAAGCACGCGATGAGCGGGAGCGGCAGCCTCATGGCTCTGGCAGTGGCGGGGGTCGTGTCGTGGAGGTGGCAGCGACGGTGGGGTCGGGTCGCACAATTTTCTCGCCCTAGCATGGCGAACATTTACTCGGCGCACGAAGCAACAAACACAAAAGGAAGCGGGCAATAAAGGAGGCAAGGAAGGACAGGAAACTGACGGGAAAATGGTAGCAATGAAACAGTAGACAGGTAGTACCACTAATGACTTCACCAGGAAGTTATTGGAGCCAATTAATTAGGTAGTCGGTGGGAGGAATGACTGGGAAACAGGGCAAGTCTGGCTCCCTTACTTTCTGCGATTGGGACCTGGAAGTAGTAGTCGTGGAAGTAGTAGGCAAAGGGAGACCTCAATGTATTGTAGGTATTAAATATGTGTATATGTATTCACCGGTTGGTGGGGTTTGGCGCTATTTGAGGGACCACCGATAATGTCTCCACCGCGCCCCTTTTCCGGGATAAGCCCCCCCTCGACTCATGCTTTTTTTGGGTATTTTTGGGGGGGCAAGGGCCAAAGCCTCACTTGCCCTCGGTCGAAGCTGCGCCGACACCCCCGAGCGATAATTGCGAGGGCCTGGAGCCTACGGAGGAAACCACCGCAAAACAGTAGCGGCTGGTGTCTAGTGGGGTGCGGCCCCCACTCGCCACGAAAGGGCGCAGTGGGGGGGCTGTTACCACGGGCTACAGGCCGATATAGGTTGCTTACGGTACCTGCCAAGCTTTTTTTTTTTTCCGTTTTAAATCGTGGGTGTGTTTGACAGCAGCCCCTATAATTACACGCGCCGAGCAGCAGAGCCCCGGGTGGCTAAAAGGCGCCGAGCAGCAGAGCCCCGGGTGGCTAAAAGGCTCACCTAAGCGCGCGTACCGTGTATACAGTGCGGGCTGCGCGCGCGTCGAGAGCGCTGGCGCTGGCGCTGGCGCTGGCGCCGGCGCCTAAACTGGGGTGGTCACTGGGGGAAAAGTGCGGTAGCGGCTATATTATTTACGGGTTATTGTGCGCGGTTGGCGCCTATTGTTCCGGCTATTGCTGGAGCCGTATCGACGATTATGCGTAGCGACTATGCTATGTAGTTCCGAGTGCCTTATTGGCTATCTTCGTTTGTGTCCTTCGTTGTGTCCTGGTGGCTGTTATCGTCGGTGGGGCCGGGTTTATGTTGTTGGTGTCTGATACCCCGGAGCATCGCCTCGACGCCGGCGCCCTCAGGCAGGTAGCCGACGGCGCCGGCGACGACGGCGGCGCCAGGGCCCGCCACCAGCTGTGAGAGGCGCGCCTGCGCCTGATGGAAGAACCCACACCGAACAAGCTCCATGATATCGTGCACTGAGGCCGACATCAGCTCGGGGATTAAGTGGCCGTATTTCTGCTGGAGCTCGGCGGGGGTGAGCCGCAGGAGATGGCGCTCGATCTCGGCGGGGGTGAGGACATCGCCAATCTCGTGTATGGGATGGCGCCGAAACGACGTGGTGGTTTGAGATGGTGTTTGAGATGGTGTTTCAGAACCGATTGTTTCAGAACGTGTTTCAGAAGTGATGGTCCCGGACTTAGTCGCCGGTGGTGTCTCCATTTCTTCACTAAGTTGTTAGTCATACGACAAAAGACTTTCTATTATACGGCATACTTACTCGTCGTCGTCGTCGAGGGCGACGGCCTCGACCACGTCTTTCAAAATCGCCTCATCCTTCGGCGTCAACAACGCCAAATTGTCGATATCGCCCACGTCTTGCAACCAGTACAAGTGCTTAGCCCCGGAGCTCAAAAACGTCAACGCCACCACCCGGCCGGTGGTACAGCTTTTGACGTGTTTGAAAGTGACGTCGCCGGGGATAAGCACCAACTCGTCCGGCTCAACGGCGCCGCCGGCGGTGGCGTCTTTGCACTTCCAAGTAAACTGAAGGAAATCAGGATCGTCCGTGCCCGGGACAATGGTTATGTAGCCCTTGTGCGGCAACGGCGTACACCGCTTGGTGTCCTCGTCAAACGCCACCTTGCCCGCGTTGAATCTGATCGACAGCTGTCTCATAAATGAAAGGGTGGTGAGTGGGGCGTGTGAGTGGCAATAGTGTTGGTGCGAACACTAAAAGTGCGCGCTGAGTAAGAGCCGGAGTAAGCGCCACCCAAGACTACACAATATTCATTAATATAGTCAGCGACAGTACCTATTGTTTTGATTTTAAAGTTTCATCACATGTTTCAGGCATCACACTTGAAACACACGTTAAAACAATCATCGCAAAATTTATTAGAAGATTCTTTGGGTGCGACCAATTTAGTACAGGTTTCTGTTAGGGTGCGACGATTCACTATACGTTTGTTAGGGTGCGACGGCTGCGACCATGTCTGAGTTCCCTCCCCCTGAGGTGCAACGGCTTGTCGGCGCCATTGCCGCCATCCTCAGACGACGAGGCGAGACGCTTGCCGTCAGCGAAGCTGCCTGTGGTGGTTTGTTATCGGCATACTTGGTCTCGGTCCCGGGAGCGCTGGACTTCTATATTGGTGGTAAGCTTCTTTACCTGTTGAAACAACGGCTAAAGCTTAGTGGCTGGACTCAAGATGATATTAATAACTTTATGGGCCCCTCCCAGCTGGTGGCGCTCAAATTGGCCCGCACTACCAAGTACGAATTGGGACTGACTTACGTCCTTTCGGAAACGGGGTTTGCCGGTCCCGGTACCGATCTCCATTTAGGCAGTGATCTGACACAGCCGGAGGCGACCGAACGGACCGTAGGGACGGTCTATTTAGGGTGGTGTGGTCCTCAAGTCCAGAGCCTGGCCCAGTTCTCGACGGGGTTATCGCTGAGACTGGAAAACATGACTGAATTTGCTAAATTGGGGTTGCAGTTTTTGCTTGAACAATTACAAGCAATTGAGGAAAAGGAGGGGAAGGATGACGACAAAGAAGATGACAAGAATGAGAAGGACTCCAAGAAGGATGAGAAGGAGGCATAGGGATAGATTCCTTTTGATAAGTCTTGACTATCACTGGAGTATGAAACGACTGTTAGTGAGTAGAATGCTATAGTCGATTTATTAAATCTAAACGATCACTCAATCTAGCACAATACCAATGGCACTAGTGAAAACTCTACTACTATCAAAGTGAATGACAATCAAGTTAATTAACTCTTACCATCGACTGATCGTTTCATGGTCTTCAAATTCAGGAAAACGCGTCGTAGATCCGAAGATCAAGATCAGCATTTGAAATACGCCTCACCTCTCATACCCGGTGCACTGGCTCGACTTTTTCGTGTTTTCGCGAAGAATGTTTAGCCACTCGTGAGTCCAAGAAAATGTGGGGCAACGCGTGTGTAACTAGCAAGAAAAACAGTATAGATTTAAACAAATCGATCAGTATTGAAACACTACAAATAGTAAAAAAAATACTCAACTAATTTCCCCTTAGTTTACTCATAGTCTTCTGCCCGTTTGTCGTCCTCGTCTAGAACACGTGACACAATACGCGCGCGAAAAACTGTGATTTTGCCCCCTCGAAATCAATAACAAAAACAGCCACGTACCCTCCCACACCAAACTCGTGAGCATGTCTGCCGAAGTTGCGCCCACGCTGTCGACGCCCGAGATCCCCAGTGTGGCCACTCCCACCCTCCCCGTGCCCGACATCAAGATCATCAAACGCCAGCTCAACGGCTACGTCGGCTTCGCCAACTTACCCAAACAATGGCACCGCAAACTGGTGCGCCGTGGGTTCTCCCTCAACCTCATGGCTGTAGGCGAGGCCGGCCTCGGTAAGGCGACGTTGATCAATACTCTTTTTAACCGCGAAGTGTTGCCGGCGCTGGACTACGACGGGCCTGACTACGATGCTGACGAAGTCGGCGTGCGCATCAAGACGCTGTCGGCGGAGATTGAAGAAGAGGGGGTTAAATTAAAGGTCAACGTCATCACCGCTCCTGGGTTTGGCGAATCCACTAACAATAACGACGCCTGGAAGCCCATTGTCGAGGAAATCAACCACCGGTTCGATCTTTACCTTGAAGCGGAACTGAGAATCAACCGCTCCACCATCAACGACGAACGCATCCACGCGTTCTTGTACTTTATCGAGCCCACCGGCCACTCGCTCCGGCTGTTGGACATCGCCCTCATGAAGCAGGTCCACGAAAAGGTGAACCTTATCCCCGTGATCGCCAAAAGTGATACTTTGACCGAAGAAGAGATCGCCGAATTCAAGTTGCGTATCCTCGACGACTTGGAATACCAGGGGATCAAGACGTTCCGCCCGTCGGAACACGTTGACGAGGATGAAGACACCACCGCCATCACTCGCCAGATATATAAGCAGTTCCCGTTTGCGGTTGTGGGGTCGACCAAGGAAGTGGAAACCCCCGACGGTCGTCGCGTGCGCGGGCGTAAGTACCCCTGGGGGGTCATCGAGGTCGACAACGAAGAGCACAACGACTTCATCAAGTTGCGCCAGTTATTGATCCGCAACTTCTTGGAAGAATTGAAGGAACGCACCCTGAATGTCCTCTACGAAAACTACCGTACCGAAAAGTTGCTGCGGATGGGTATCGACCAGGACGAATCGGTGTTCAGAGAGTTCGACCCATACTCTCGCCAGGAAGAAGAAAAGGCGTTGCACGAAGCCAAGTTGGCAAAGATGGAGGCCGAAATGAAGGCGGTGTTCCAACAAAAGGTGTCGGAAAAGGAAAAGAAGTTGCAGAGATCCGAAGCCGATTTGTTTGCTCGTCACAAGGAGATGAAGGACAAGTTGGCCAAGCAAATCAAGCTTTTCGAGGACAAAAAGGCCCAGTTGGAAAAGCAAAAGACGTTACCCCAGGACCCGACGCCCGCGGCGCCGCAAAAGCTGAGAAAGGGGTTCTTGCGCTAGAACATTGCCGACTAGACGTTGGCCCTAGGCACAATTTATCGAGCACCCACCCACTTACTTTAGCACCGGTGTGAGGCTTGTCGTATCCATGAAAACCAATTGATTCGTAGTAATACAAAACATTCGAAACCCTAATAGGTAAGATATAGTTCGTGGTCAAGGCATCTATCACGTAGTCAGAATCTGTACCATCGCATCCCAGTACAGTTCCACAGGGATCGCTTTTGTACTTTTGACGCCAAATTCTGCATTTGCACCTCAGTTTCGCATACAGTCATCTGTTCATATACGAGGAGTCTAACCTCAATAACTATGATCATTAACGTCACAAGCAGCGGCATAAACAGTGCAAACATGTTAACACTAAAGTTGAAGAAAGAATCTTGAGACTTTTCTTTCGAATTCGTTTCGTCTGCCACTTGTTGTACTGGACCATTCCACGTAGTCTACTTGTCAAGAACAGCACACGCGCTGATTTTCACTTCAAGTTCACTTTCGATGGAAGCACTTATACTGCGTTCATTACTAAAATGCTATGAGTGTGACCATTACAATGATCGAAGCTCTGGCTTTAACATCTCTAAACAATGACACATTCGCATCGAGCTTAAGGAGGTGAGAACGGCGCTACTGGTGGGCCTATGCACGTCCTGGATTTGCACTTCAATGGAAGGTGCAAACTCGAAGGGCCTCAACCGCGTAAGGTTGATGAGAGTCGGCATTGCCATGAGTCTCTGAATAACGCGAAAGATTAACAAATTGGATCTCTAACTTGCGGTCAGAGGCTTTGCGATAAGCATTCACCACTAATAAGACGAGTTAAGTGAGTTCTGATGCCTTTTTTATGATTAGCACGATTCAATTATGTGTGTCATATGGATCAGAACTTGTTTTCGGAAAAAAAATAATCAAAAAAAACTTGAAAAGAAAATTTGACATAATTTTAGACGAGCGGCGAGAACCTTGTATGCAGGAGTTGACGACCAACGCGGGATGTTATATACAGGCCGTTATACCACTGCTTGATTCAATTGACTGAGCTGTGACACTCAGCAACACGCTTATCGCGATGCTTAAACCACTATTATTTCGATTTCAATGAAATGCTGTCAAAGAAAGCAAATGAATGTCGCTCAATTGATCATCGAGGCAGTTCTGCTAGCTCAAGCTATGCCAATCTTTAAAACTGATTGAATAAGATCATCAAACAAAGCCAATCGGAACATGGAAAGTTTAGGAATGTTCAGCTGGTGATTTTGTGAGTGAATACTTACCCCTCACCAAGCAGAGCTAGATAGAAATTTGCTCATTCACAGTCAAAACACTATCTTTCAATCAATCTGGTGAGCATTCGGACCTTCTCCGCGGTGATGCTGAAGCATGGCCATCAGATGTGACAAATTTCAATAATCCTCATGTCTCATTACAACTATGTACATCACAAGCCCACAATCTCTTCAAATAATTTTTGGCAGGGCACCTTGGCCTGTAAGCGAGCGCATAATAAGTATACCCCCAGCAATTTTCTGTGCAACGAATAAGTTTCTTCTGGGGGCGGGGTTAACCGTTCGTTGAGCATGACGCCAATGTTGGACCGGACGCGGTCGGTGATGGTCTGGTTGCTGAAGTCAAAGCTTTGGCCGTGGTTATCGCTGGGGGAGAAGGCTTCACCCAACACCATCACCGAGTCGACGTGACACTCGGTCATTTCCTTCAGTTCGAGCCCGGTCAAGAACCCGAGCTTCACCGAGAGGCGTTCGACTTCGTCGCGGTCCTTATTGACTGCCGCCCGCAACACTTGCACGTAATCATTGACGAATTCGTCGCCAAAGTCCCGGGCGGCGCCAAAGTCCAAGAGCTCGATTTGGTTTGTCTGCTCATTGTACAAGAAGTTAGCCCAGTTGGGGTCGGTTTGCATGAACTTAAAGTCGGCGATTTCGCGGAGGGTGAGTCTCATGATGGTGGTGGCGATGTGGTTGCGGGTGGCCTGATCCCAGTTGCCTTTGGCCACTTCGGTACCTCTCATCCGCTCCATAGTAAGCACGTGTTCGCCACACAAGTTGTGGAACACTTTGGGGACGGCCAACGCCGGGTCGTCTTTGACCATATCTCTGAATCTAATCAAGTTTTGCGCCTCGCGGATGTAGTCACACTCCCATTTGAGCTCAACACGGGCGTTGGCGATGGTTTTGTCCAAGAATAACCCCTTGGGCAACATCAGCAGCGCCGTCAAAAGCATCAACAAGTTGTTTAAATCGGAGTCGATCAGTTCCACCACACCGGGGTACTGCACTTTAACCACTACGGGAGTCAAATCTTTAGTTACCGCAGTGTGTACTTGGCCAATGGAGGCAGCGGCGATGGGGACGTCGTCAAACAGCGCGAACAATCGCAGCCGCCAGTTGCGGCCCAAATCGGCCAGCATCACTTTTTCAAGCTGTTGCGTGGGCATGTAGTGGGCCAGGTTTTGCACTCTAAGCAAGATTTGTTGGATTTCTTTGGGTAAGATTGAATTGTCTTGAATCAGCATCATTTGACCGATTTTCAAGGCGGCGCCTCTCATCTTAGAAAACTTCTTCGCCATGCGCTCAATGTTATCCGGAGAAAGCAACAACAGGCGCATCAGCAGGTTTTTCCCCTGGGTATAGTTTTTGATCCCCTGGGCGGCGGCGCCGAGGCCGACGCCGGCGGCGAGCTGGCCGTAGTGGAAGATGCGCTCCAATCTGGTGGCAGGGACCTCGCTTTGGGCCATCTGAAACCCGCGAGGACGTTGTTTTTCGCCAATCACCCGGGGTTTGGCGACGACGCCTTCCTCGGTGGTGGTGTAGCTAGCGCGGCGCGCCGAGGTGTGGAACCCTCGAGTCTGGCGACTAGTAGGGCTCGAGGGCTTTTGGGAATGGGCCCTTATCAGCACCATCTTCGCCTCGTCCCACATTGGCAGCAGCGGGTCTTGGGAGCGGAGCCACGACGCCGGCACCAGCGTCTGCCACGCCGCGGCGACATCGCGGCACAAATGCTTCGCCAGCCTCGCAGCCACCTGCTGGGCCAGCTGGAGAATGACCTGGGCCTCGTACACTCTCAACATGGCTTAGACAAATAAACACTTAACGGGTAGTTTGACCGTGGCGGGAGCGTGGAGTTGGAAAAGGAGAATTTGATGGGGGAGGCACGCTCAGGTAGATTTTTCAGTGCGAAGAGCCGAGGCGAGGCAATACCCAGGCAGAGCGCAACGGAACGTGGCGGTATATAAATTGAGCAAAAAGATTGCTGGGCAAGGTTATGGACCTAAACAATATGTGGGAGGTTTTAAACGTCAAATGCCGAGCGGCCACGGTCTGTGTCCTGTGTAGAGCCCTTTTCTTTTTTCGGGCGTAGGGATACGTGTGGAGTTGTATCGTATACGGTACACACAGAGTCGAGCGCTACGGGTGGGTGTACTAGACAGCGCGTTTTGGCAGGCTCGTCGCACGCGTTAACCTCAAGCAGGCGCCCTTCGAGGAAATTTACTGATATCAACAACAATAATAAATTCGTTAATTTAAGGTGGAGATCGCCCACGTGGAGAGACCAAAGGGGACTCGAGTAAATCTGGATGGCTTAGGCCTGGTGGGGCGCGCTCACAGCAAAGGTGGGGCTGATGATGAGCCCGGACGACCAACTCCGGCGACCCGGGACGGCGCAATCAAAAGCGAGACTCGAGGAGGGCTCCAGCCGAGGATTTGGAGACTGCTTCCCTGATTATGAGCAAAAGTAGTGTTGATGACACGTGAGTTTCCGGGGTTATGGTAGTGTGTATCTATTGTGAGTCGGCTTGGCGGTCGTAGATTTACGGGGATGACGTCGTAGTGTTGAGGGACACTCACATGCCCTTCCAGTGTGGGTTGTTTTTTTCAACGCCGCACCGGTTCCGGCGTCCCGGGCTCTGACGGACTCGCACCCGGCACACTGCGGAACGATCATCTCCGGCTAACGAGACTGAGCTTCGCCACCAGATAATGACCGCCATCGCAGACTTCAGAAAACGTTACTATCATCAATTTGATGATCCAGATAACAAGGACTCATTGCAATGGTTGCAATCCTCATTAAACCTCATTTCAAATGAACCCGTAGATCATAGGTCAGGCCAGCAACCGTCGTACCCGTAAAAATCATATAGCGACAACTATAGGTATTATCATAAGACAAGTCGTACTCGAGCAATCGTAAGTAGGTTGCTTTGACGGGTCCTCGTCCCTGCTGCTCCGGTGTACCCTGGCGCTTGCTGTCTGTGGTACCTATGACCATATAAAGAATGACGTAACCGCCGGTCGCCACGCTATTTTTGGGTCGTATGTTTGTTTACCCCCAGAGCTAACCGTCACACTAGCGGTTACAATGAATTGTAAAAACGGCTGCTGAAGATATTCTATTGTAGGGTGCCATTAAAGCCAAGCCTCTTCCCCTCACATAAATTCGTGTCCAAAGCTATTATTCTTCATCGTTAGTTCGCATTAACCTAACCAGGATTATTGTTGGGTCTAGCTAATATCCTTAACAAACAGACTTTAAATCTCCACGCTCGTCTAATCGTTCTCGGCGTATGCTGCTAATTTACACCCCGTCTAGCTTCTAAAAATACTTCTGTCCCTGCCCTTATATCTGGCATGCTTCTCCGCCCCGTCGTGGCTGGCTGGCTGTTAATGATGGTACAGACGTGCATCGCGAAACCCGCGCCTCGTCAATTCCAGTCGCTCCCTCATAGCGGTCCCCGCCAGACACCCCACCCGCCAAAACCACACACACACACCCCACCAGCAAAACGACTTCCTAAGATGGCGCTGGCTAACCCTTACGAACGGGCGAAACGCCGCAGCGTCTACAACTCGCTGGCGTTGTCCCTGAACGGCTACGACAGCCTACACCCCCCCGCGACTCCC